CCAACCCAAACTCCAAACCCAAACCCAAACCCAAACCCAAACCCAAACCCAAACCCAAACCCAAACCCAAAACCCAAACCCAAACCCAAACCCAAACCCAAAACCCAAACCCAAACCCAAACCCAAACCCAAACCCAAACCCAAACCCAAACCCAAACCCAAACCCAAACCCAAAAACCCAAACCCAAACCCAAACCCAAACCCAAACCCAAAACCCAAACCCAAACCCAAACCCAAACCCAAACCCAAACCCAAACCCAAACCCAAACCCAAACCCAAACCCAAACCCAAACCCAAAACCCAAACCCAAACCCAAACCCAAACCCAAACCCAAACCCAAACCCAAACCCAAACCCAAAACCCAAACCCAAACCCAAACCCAAACCCAAACCCAAACCCAAACCCAAACCCAAACCCAAACCCAAACCCAAACCCAAACCCAAACCCAAACCCAAACCCAAACCCAAACCCAAACCCAAACCCAAACCCAAACCCAAACCCAAACCCAAACCCAAACCCAAACCCAAACCCAAACCCAAACCCAAACCCAAACCCAAACCCAAACCCAAACCCAAACCCAAACCCAAACCCAAACCCAAACCCAAAACCCAAACCCAAACCCAAACCCAAACCCAAACCCAAACCCAAACCCAAACCCAAACCCAAACCCAAACCCAAACCCAAACCCAAACCCAAACCCAAACCCAAACCCAAACCCAAACCCAAACCCAAACCCAAACCCAAACCCAAACCCAAACCCAAACCCAAACCCAAACCCAAACCCAAACCCAAACCCAAACCCAAACCCAAACCCAAACCCAAACCCAAACCCAAACCCAAACCCAAACCCAAACCCAAACCCAAACCCAAACCCAAAACCCAAACCCAAACCCAAACCCAAACCCAAACCCAAACCCAAACCCAAACCCAAACCCAAACCCAAACCCAAACCCAAACCCAAACCCAAACCCAAACCCAAACCCAAACCCAAACCCAAACCCAAACCCAAACCCAAACCCAAACCCAAACCCAAACCCAAACCCAAACCCAAACCCAAACCCAAACCCAAACCCAAACCCAAACCCAAACCCAAACCCAAACCCAAACCCAAACCCAAACCCAAACCCAAACCCAAACCCAAACCCAAACCCAAACCCAAACCCAAACCCAAACCCAAACCCAAACCCAAACCCAAACCCAAACCCAAACCCAAACCCAAACCCAAACCCAAACCCAAACCCAAACCCAAACCCAAACCCAAACCCAAACCCAAACCCAAACCCAAACCCAAACCCAAACCCAAACCCAAACCCAAACCCAAACCCAAACCCAAACCCAAACCCAAACCCAAACCCAAACCCAAACCCAAACCCAAACCCAAACCCAAACCCAAACCCAAACCCAAACCCAAACCCAAACCCAAACCCAAACCCAAACCCAAACCCAAACCCAAACCCAAACCCAAACCCAAACCCAAACCCAAACCCAAACCCAAACCCAAACCCAAACCCAAACCCAAACCCAAACCCAAACCCAAACCCAAACCCAAACCCAAACCCAAACCCAAACCCAAACCCAAACCCAAACCCAAACCCAAACCCAAACCCAAACCCAAACCCAAACCCAAACCCAAACCCAAACCCAAACCCAAACCCAAACCCAAACCCAAACCCAAACCCAAACCCAAACCCAAACCCAAACCCAAACCCAAACCCAAACCCAAACCCAAACCCAAACCCAAACCCAAACCCAAACCCAAACCCAAACCCAAACCCAAACCCAAACCCAAACCCAAACCCAAACCCAAACCCAAACCCAAACCCAAACCCAAACCCAAACCCAAACCCAAACCCAAACCCAAACCCAAACCCAAACCCAAACCCAAACCCAAACCCAAACCCAAACCCAAACCCAAACCCAAACCCAAACCCAAACCCAAACCCAAACCCAAACCCAAACCCAAACCCAAACCCAAACCCAAACCCAAACCCAAACCCAAACCCAAACCCAAACCCAAACCCAAACCCAAACCCAAACCCAAACCCAAACCCAAACCCAAACCCAAACCCAAACCCAAACCCAAACCCAAACCCAAACCCAAACCCAAACCCAAACCCAAACCCAAACCCAAACCCAAACCCAAACCCAAACCCAAACCCAAACCCAAACCCAAACCCAAACCCAAACCCAAACCCACCTTGCCTTGAAGAAGGTCAGCTTTGTGGATGATTTTGGAAGTGTTCTTCAAGCGACACTAAAGGTTGATGTTTCAACCATGCAAACAGGAGATTCCTTTAGAGTAAGATTGTCAGTCACTAAAGCGAACACTCGTAAAGTGGACGTCATTCCTGATGACGTTACCAAAACTGTTTTGGCAGATATTAGATTCATTACTCACCTCTCCGTCCAGCGTTAATCAAGTAAATAATCAGTGAAAGTGAGCAAGAATAAATACTAGTTTGAAGAACAACCAATCACGACAATTTTCAGATTTGACTTATTTTCAATATATACCGAGTAATCACATTGTTGATGAACAAAAACAAACAGAAAAAAAGAATTATTTTTTAAAATATCATATGCCCTTGACTCCTCTTCCGAATAATAACAGCTCAACTTCAGCCCCTCCATCATCCTCTGCTTCGGGACCAACACTGCAGAGATCATCAACCATAGGGATGAATACCATCATCATGAACGCTACCACGGGTCCTTATGGATCTGCTTCTACGAGTGCTTTAAATGTGGGACGAAATTTATCAACGGCATCGTCCACAGTTCCTTCTCGAAAAGCCTCTCAACCTCCTGTAACGACTAACACAATGATTTCTCTTGGAGTAGCACCATCGTCATTATTGATGGGTACTAATAGCAGTTCAGTAATGACTACCAATTATAATAATAATAATAATCAAAATAATAATAATAATCACATTTCCAACAATATCTCCACAACAAATGGAACACCCTCATCATCATCATCAACAACCTCTCACACTAGTAAAGAATATGAACAAGTGAATCAAGTATTTGATGGCCTTTCCATGAGTATTCATCAATTGTATCATCAATTAAAACAAACACAGGATAGTATTCGGAAAATATCGGAGACTCAACAGTTACAGTTGGACCCAAATTTGAGCACAACAACTGCCCATAGTCAACGTTTTCTTGATCGATATGGCCAAGAAGATCAGCAAAAACAAGACTCGCTCACACTCGAGGAGGTGACAAATGATCAGGTTCTTGTGAACGCTTCAGCAACTCGGAGTGCATCACCAGTAACATCCTCATCTCTTCCTTCATCATCAACAAAGGACACAACATTCTCAACTACTTTCAACAATAGTACTGGTGTAGCAAAGACAACAGCTATTATTGAACGACCTTCTTTCCTAAAGAATGTGCCTTCTGATATCTCTTCGTCACTTAATGACACATCGATATTTTCAGAGCTGCAATTAGAGTTAACTTTGAAAAATGAGGAAAATGCAACACTAAAATTGAGAATTGAAGAATTACTACATCAAATAGAAACACTCCAAAAAAGAGTTTCTTCCAGCACCTATGTGATTGAACCAGTTTCAAAACCAGTTGCTTCTCAGACTAATGATGAAGAATCGATCGAATTCTTAAAGGAACAACTTGCAACTCAAAAGGAAATTAATAGAATTCAATCTGTCAAAGTTGCTAATTATGAATCAGCCATCAAATTGATACTTTCAAGATCTCACGACAAAATGGAAGAGCTCAAACGAGAAAATAACACCATGACGGAATTAATGAAAAAGGAAAATCAAACGTTACAAGCTTTAAATTCCAAGCTTTTAAATCAAAATATAATCTTAAAATCAAGACTGTTGGAGGTCATGGAAGTGTTGCGAGACGCCGCACGACAACGAGATCTTGAACTTGTAAAAAATGAAAGTGTTTTAGAATCATACATGAAAGAACGAGAATTATTACTTTCATTGTTAAAGATTTCAGAGGAAACTGAAACCACCACGCCATGAATTTACCTTTTTTATGAGGTTTTTTAATTGGATGGTAACGATTGTACTTTTCAAACATAAACAACGCATTTGACAAGATTTAGAAAGTCGAATTATTATTAATCCAAGTATGAATCAAAATTTTACTTAACACAGGGTGAACTTGCCAATATCACAAACAATTCCTGTGGTTAAAACAGGATCTCTCTTTTCCTTAATTTTTAGTCCAGTATCTAAAGGTGGTTTGATTTTTACCCTTTTTCGTAGTGGGTTTTGTTGTTGAGCAATGATTGCTTTCTTTCCTTCTTTTTCTGCATTTGAAAAGGATGAAAATTTTTGCATTTCAGGCATGTGCTGCGGCTTTGAGGTGATATTCATGTTTTTAACAGCATCGAATGGGTTAACGCTACTGAAATCATACAAATCAGTGGTGGGTCCTTCCTCAATTTCTGAAGTTACTGAGCTGTGATTCAAAGCTCCCTGCTTCAATTCATTTTCTTGAAGAACCATTTTTTGAAATTCAATGACCAAAGTGTTTCCCTTATTTTTTGCCCTATGTTCATCTTGTTGAGAAGCATTACCCGAATCACCACAATAAGCATCCTTGAGTGGCACTTTTGGTGCGTACGGATTAAATAATTTCAACTTGGTTTCTGAAAAGGTTTTTGAGAGAGCTGACGAGTGTTTAGAAGAGTGGGAAGATTTGGATGCATTCGACAAGAAAGCATTCGCCTTTCGTTTAGAAACTTCCTTCTCAATCATCATGTCTTGAAGAGAATTCTTTTTTTGATCATGATTGGCAGCAATAACTCCCCTCAGAGGTGCAGAATGTGGCCTCTGCGATAACGGATGATTTGAAATTCTATTGCGAATGAGAGTTGAATGATCATGGTGACATTCTTGATGAAGGGAGTCTACAGAAGATTTTTCCTGGATGGACGATTGCGTGCTAGAATTGTTAGTACTTGAATTTGTTGATTTTTCATCTCCAAATTTCACCTTTCTCGAGTTGTGATCTTGTTGAAAAAGTTCTGATGCCAGCTGTTCCAATATTTTCTGTTGTTTCATAATTTCTTCTCGATTTTTTTCATGGTAATCTATTAAGGTGGAGTTATTGGAAGATCCATTCGAGTTTGAATGAATGGAATTTCTTGCACTATTCTCATTTGATGATGTGCCAGATTTTAGGAAATGATTAGAAGCTATGGCTGAGTGCGATTTTTGAACTGATTGAGGAGGACCCTCTTCATTGTCATTATGTTGAGGGATTAATCGTAACGGATCCACAGTATTTAAAACTGCTTGCATTTGAAATCGAGTCAATCTTTTTCTATGCTCATAAATTCCAATAAGCTGTCGATCTTTCTTTTCAGATTGTTGTTGTGCAATTAGACGCTTAAATTTTTTCTTGAGACGCCACTTGACCTTGTCACTGGTTCTTGTTTCTCGTTCCCTTAAAAGTTTGTTTTGAATTAAATCATGAATTTTGAAAAGAATTGAGGAAGTATTAAAAATATCGTTTGGAATTTTGGGCTTTGGTGTTGACAACTCTCGCTTCGAGCCGATTCGTTTCAAATCAGAGAGTAGATTGTTTTTGGATGTACCGTTGGTGGCACTTAAGGTTGGTGCGAGCATTGTAGTTAGTGAAAGCTGGCTTCCACCTCTTTGGAGTGATGTTTTCATGGTGTCGATTCGTTTTTGTATTGCATTACTTCCTAGTTTGATACGGTCCCAAACGCAAAGTTTTTGATTGTTGTTGTGGTTAGTGTTGGGTGATGGCTGTTGAGATTTCGAGTGAGAAGCATCTCCATCATTATTTCCAGTAGTCACCCCGATGCTTGAGGAAGGTGGTTTACAATTATTGGAAGTGGTTTGAGATTTGGGATGTTTCTGTTGTTGTTGTTGAGGTGGTTGAGACGGTGGCACCATGGAATTATGGATGTTCGTACTGGCGGAGGAGGAGGTTTGGTTTTTTCCTTGATACACTCTTGTACCCTCATATTTCACTAACTTGGTTTTGGAGGTGCTATTTACATGACTTGGGGATTCAATTTTGATGCTTAGTGGTGGTTTTTTCAGAGTTTGTTCATGATGATGAGAAGTTTCGTTTTGTTGAGGAAGTGACAACGGTGGTGAGGAGGATTTTGTTGGTGTGGAATTATGTTCCGTAAATGGAGACGGCGAATCTCCACGAGGTTCAGGTGTCACCACAATCATGGTTGAAATAATGGGTGTATTTTGAGGTTCAGTTTGCGGTTTTACATAGAGAGTGTTCATTGCTTTTTCAAGATTCAAAATAAGAGGATCGACCTTAGAGTTTTTAGGGTCCTCAGGTTTGGTTGAGGCATGCGATGCCTTTTTAAGGGGAGCAGAACCTGGCCGAGGATGTCTTGATGACAATTTGGATGTAGTTGAGCCATTGTGAGAATTCACTTTGGGCCTTATTGGTGTGTTGGATTTCTGATGGGAATTTGTTGTTGAGCTACTTGTAGCGGCATGTGATGTTTTTGAAACCACTTTTGTTTTTACATTTGTTTGAATTTGTAATGTGTTTGATGGATGAGTTGCTTCTTTTGTTGTTGTGACATGTGTACTATTCAATAGGGCGTTCGGTGTTGTTGATGATGTCATTGCGGAACTCAAAGTCGAGCTCTCTGCAAGTCCAAACTCATTCAAAAGTAATTCCTTGAGAATTCTGTCATGAGGCTTTGATTCCTTGATTTGAGAGGATAGATCTTCCTCTTCCGTACTGTGCAAACATATGCTTTCACTACTCGCCTTCATAATGTTGTAAGGAGGACAAAAATTATCTCCCAATAAATGGTTGGCGGCTGGCTTTGATAGTTTTTGATCATTATTATTGTATTGAACATTCGAATCCGAGTCTAAATCATCAATAAGGCTCGAAAGAGATGAACTTCGCGAAACTGTTGGAGGTACTTCCAACTCGACCACATTACCAACAACAACTGTTGAACGTTTGACAGTGTTGTTGAGAATTGGCTGTCGAGGTGCAACACCACCACCACTACTTGCTGTTTTCTTTCGGAATAAATTAAAAACATCCTCTCCTTCATCATCACCATTCAAAATGTCATTTGTTTCTCCAAACACATTGCCCGATTTTGTGATGGTAATTCGGGGTGAAGGAAAAGAATCGATCATCTGGGTCTCCTTCATGGTGTTCTCTCAGTAGATCATTCTATTTTTTTGATGCGTTTTGATAGCGCGCAAATAATAGTGAAACAAGAAACCATTGAATGCATCGAGATTATGATTCGAATACATTTATTGTGTTTGAAAATTACCAATGGTGCTAATAATAAACTAATTAGATTTATTGTGTTTGAAAATCCATAAAATCATCATGGGGTTGGAAAGGATCGTGGAGATGCGAAAACTCTGCATTCTTCCTATCAGATGACTGGTCTGTGACCACCACATTCATTCGTTCTTCGAATTCGCTCAGTTCAACTTCACGAATGTCATCGTACGGATGGGAATTTTCACCGTTTTCTTCTTCATCCAGCAGTTGCACGAGCATGTCACCACTGCTACAGTTCCCATTTTGTACTTGTTCTTGCCGTTGTTTGTATTGCGCAACTTCGTCTGCAAGCAAATTGTCAATTTTGTGGTTGAATGCAATTTCATGCTGAGTATGGAATGGTTCTTGCATATCATTTGGAAAATCAAATGTAACTCCATCACGAGTCAATTGTGCCTTGTACTCGCTACCAGGCACATAGCTTGGAAGGTCTGTATTAAATTGTTCTGCAATAGAGTCATCTCCCGTGAAATTGCGAACTTTTCTAACATATTTGGCAAGAAATGGAAAGAAAGGTCTGTTGTGTTTTTTCAGAATTTCTTTAAAGTGCAACAAATTCATACTGGTGTAACCAGATTTAGCGTCTTGTTTGTGTTGTTGCTTCCAAACACTTTCGCACATGGGATTATATTCAATGGTAGTAGTGTCCATTTCTGAATTGGGATGAGGTATGGAAGGAATATTGTGGGGTGTAGCGTCATGTAATGAAGCTTTGGTACCATCTACAATGTCCATCGAGGTTTGGATCCTCGATAAAGATGAATCAGCTGATTGTTTTTCATCATGATTATGAGTTGATTTGGCATGAGAGTTGGTATGAAGGGATGAAATGGGGTCCTTCGCATTACCATTTTCCAGTGAAGAAGTGGTGTGAATTGGATGAAGGTGCCCACTTGTCAATTCCTCTTGTTGACAACCATTCACAACAGCAGAAGGACCAAGTTTGTTCAATAAAACTTCTTGTAACAAGGTCACATATTCAAGCTTCTTTTCTTCTCGTGTGTTGATCATTTCCATGAGCTTGCTGAGTGATATTAGGTCTTTTCTTAGCTTTCGAAGTCGTTGAAGAGATGAGGTGTCATTTAGAATTTCCTCAGATTGTTTTTTTGGGAGTTGTCTTGGTCTAAATGCAGCATGATGATTTTTGTCATGAATACTCGTTTGTTTTTCAAAGTCCAAAATTAATGGCCTACCGCATGTTGGGTAAAGCATCTTATCTGTACTAGAAACAATTCTAGATAAACGTTTTTTTTTCCAGAATAAATAAATTTCATAAAGAAAGGAAGTTGGTAGTATCTTCTTCGAAGAAGACGGGCTGCTGCTAGTACTGCTATCACTTGTAGATGGTATCGAACAATTTGTAGTAGTGTTCATGCTGCTAGAATAATCAGAGGACGAAGAAACGGAATGTTGGGAAGGAAAGTGTAATAGCGGTGATAGGTTAGGTTGCCTAGTTGTGGTTGATGCTGCTACATCTGCTTGTAATGGAGTTGGAGAAAGGATAGAATTACTATTGGATTGTTTTGTGATGGAATTATTTTCGGATACGGTTTTTGAATTAGCAAATATGTGAAGATTATAGCGTGAATCAGAGTCATTTTTGGTGAACTGCTGCAGGAATGGAGAGGAAGAGTTCAGTTTGGAAATTTGTGATGTCGAAGTGGTATTCAATGTGGAACAGGTACCCAAGGCGCTAGTGGTGGTGAGGTTATCATTGCTTGAGGGTTCTGGTTGATGTTTGTGGGAAGGATTTATGCTTGGTGAGGAGGTGGCATGGTGGCTTGGTTTCAGACCTAAGGGACTTTTGCCATTCTGCACATGCGGAAGTGTTAAATAATTTTCAACATCGAAAAAAAATCGTTTCAAGCTTGGAAATTTCTCCAACGCACTTCTAAATGTGCAAAGATCATTCGAAAATGCAGTTGTTTTTTCGAATCTATCGATACATTCCTCAAAAAAGTCCTCATCTAGAATTTGAAGTGTTTGTGCTGGTGTTGGCAGTAAATGTTTCGATGACACTTGCCACCTCTGCAGCAATTGGTCCATGGTTATAGTCCTCTTATTTCGAATTCCATTAAAACATATCTCCTCACCAAAGCATTCTTCGTACATTCGCAAATAATTTTCATGAAATTTCTCCAAAAAAATAAAGTCCTCATCCTCCATGTCGTATAAAATTGAATTAATGTCTCTGTCAATCTGCAAATTGTTTGGTAAATAGTGTAAGTAATGTGTTGTTTGTTGAAATTTGGTTTTCTTCCGACTTTGACTTTGCTCCTTTCTGCGCCGTTTCTTTTCATTAATTGCTTGAGAAAACTCTGCACGTATCCTAGATGCATGTCCATTTATGTATGCATTTGTCGTCGACGACGACGATGCACTTGACGAATGATCCGACAATTTATCATTATTTTCTGGTTCAGAAATAATTTTAACGTTCGGTATATGAATGATAATATCGGGAGCAGTTAATAATGAGTTTTGAGATGATGACGACGATGATCGAAATATTGCTCCACTTCCGCCTCTCCTAGCATTACCCAAACCTCCGCTGCTCCTTCCATGATCTGATTCTTCATCAATAGTGTGGTCGTACGTATAATTATGAGAAATATTATCATTATTTTCTTGACATTTCAGTAGAACCTATTACACAGTGATTGGACAACAGAATGTAGAGAATATCACATATGTAATGATCATTCCAATGTTATTGTGATAAGTCATTGAATCCCCAACATTCAAATGTAAATTGAACACCACATTTGTTTTTCAATGAATGGCAATCATGTGACAACAGAATTTTAACAATCATACATACCTGAAGTGTGTCCTCATCGAGACCTGTTTCTTTTGCAATTAATTTTAATTCTTCTTGAGGCGTCATGGATTTTCGTTTTTGCAATTTTGACCTTTTCTTCTTCTCAGTAGAACTGGTTGATGCATGATTCTTGATGACAAATCCATTGCTGTGAGCGTTTCCATTCTTGATATTGTGTGAAATTTTGTCAGGATGAGTTCCGATCAACTTTAGTGAATTTTCAGAATTTAGTTTAGACACATCATTGTGTATGCTTGTGTTACTGTGGTGAAGAGTTCCATTTTGATTTGAGCTGCTTGATGTTTCGGTTGTTGTTGTCGATGATGCAGACAACGTTGAGTTGCCGCCTTCCGTTGAGCCCTTGTTAAGCAATGAGTAAAAGATGACAATAGGCAAAGGCTTGTTCTCATCGATCTTTCTTTGCCTAATATTTCTCATCGTTGTTGTGCAAGTCCTAAATATTTATGGTGTTTAACGATCGGTGGCACAATAGGATCCAATAATTTTGTTTTGGTAGTGTGTTGAGATGATTTCAAACCAAAATTCAAAGCAATAACTAAACTTGATAAAAAGTGGACGAGAATGTGATACTTCTTTCAGTAAGTGATGGTGTGTAATATCAAACAATAATCAAATATTCAGATGATGCATATATTCGGAATCCACCCGAATGTCTTTCCGATTCTTACAACACCACGCTCCACGTATCAATAATATTGCTAGAAATTAAATTAAATTAAAAAAGTGGTGCAAACAATGATCGACGTTTGAGAATCAAATGATCACTCCACCGAGAAATTGTTGCTCAGCCGACAATGAAAAGTGGATAGCAGCCAATAATAACCGTCAAATTTTTTTGTTGGCGCTTTTGATCTGATTTTCGTGCTGTGTGGATCCACACACAATGAAATTCAAATCCAATGAAACTCAATACTGATTATATCGTCGTTGATGTGTTATCATTCACAGCCCTCACTCACTGAAAAGAAACGCATGAGCGAAGGGAGTTCGAGGTTTCACTCGTTCAGAAGAGTGAAAGAAGTGAAAAAAGAAATTTCATAAAAAAAAAATAACGTTTTTGTTGTTGGACATCACCAGTCCACCTCAACTCAATAACATTTTGTATCATCACTCCATCTCCATCATTAATATTGCAATAACAACAACTTTATAAAATGGAAGATACAGAAGATGCTGAACGATTAGAATTGGGTGATTTCAAAGATAAGACTTGTTTAACCATTTCCGAAGTGGCCCATATACTTCAAAGAAAGAAGGAGGAATTGGAAAAGGAACAATCCGATTTTATTAATGATATTTTCGATAAAAGTTTATCGTATGCTAAGCGATTTGGAGGTGGTTTGAGTTATGAGAGTTCTCTCGATATCAAAACCACACTCGCAAGACAAACTCTGGCATTGAAAGACTCACAAGACAGGAAAAAGCTTGTATCATTCCAAATTGCACAGCTCGCAAATCTAATGCCAGGTGATGCAGAAGAGGCGATCACACTCATCCCAAGTCTAAGAGTTTTTGATGAATCAGAAATTGAAAAGATACTCAAAGACATGGAAACTAGGAAAGGTTATTAAGAAAGCTCCATAGTAATTAATACTCAATTCGAGATGTCGTTGTCCAACGAACATGAAGTAGCAAATTTGTAAATGCAAAAGGCACGAAACAGATCTGGCTTGGAGGATCCTCTTTGAGTAAACATGATTCTTGTCATGCAACCCAAAACTTTACCACCAATTTCCATTACTTTTTATCATGAAATCATGCACTTCGCTGTTTCGACGATTATAACAAGAACGACCAAAACAATGTGATTACATCTGACAGATAGATCGTACTCCTTTTAAGGTCTGCCATTTTCACGACCAAAACGCACAAACTATCTACTATTCACAAACAAAAAACATACAACAATATCCCACAGCAACAACACAAACAATTCACAAATGTCTCCAACTGAATCACCAAAGAAACGAAACCGAAAATCCTTGGCAAGCACTCTTCACCAACGAAAGGCCTCCATAAAATCCATCTCCATGGCTGAGTCTCTCAATAACAATACCAACCACCGCAAAAAAAACATTTCCTTGTCACGAATATCACTTGAGGAATCGAATCGAGATGTTTCATATTCATTGGAGTCTCTTCGGATAAAGAAAGGAGATTCCTTGAGATCCAAGTGTATTCTTGTGTTGCAAAAGTTTTTAAACAAGAACAACAACACGAAGGAGAAATAGAAAAGATTGAGATTCATCTCATACGCATTGAAGGTATGATCGACCATGAAAAAGACGTGTCAAATGAACATTTTTGACACAACCAAGTTACCTCTGAAGTAGTATTGCAAAAGCAACTCAAACAAACGAACGTTGAGAGGAATAAAAACTTCTAGATGTCAAACAGTTTTATACTGGAGCTTCCTGAATGAAAATTGTTGTCATTGTGATGATTGCAATTCTTTCATTGTGTTTTCCCTCAATATTCACCCATACCAACTCTTGAAGAACTCCATCCATGATTTAGTAGTAAAATCTCATCACTCTTCTTTGAAGCATTCTTCTTCAGCTGTTTAAAAGTAATAAAGGCGCGCAAAATAATTGAAAAAATTACGGCAAGCGATACAGAGCAATCCCGTCTCATCTTTATGCTTGGACTTGTTCCAGCAATCATTACTTCTTCTTCCGACGCTTGTGTTTATTGAAACACTCTTACACTACACGAGTGTACAATCATCAGCTCAAAGATGAGTACTCAAATTGCATCTCCTTCGAGTACAACATCTTCATCATCGGCAGATGAAACCCCCCACACGAACCCGAAACACCCAATTTCAATTGTCGTCAATGGTCCTCCACCTACAGCATCAAATACAACAGAAATGGAAGATTTTGATGGCATGCTTGAAATGGTGGATTTCAAAGCGCTGAAGGACCAATTTTCAAGCCATAATCTTGTTTCGGTGTCATCATCGGTCCTGTTGGATACAGAAAAACTCATCACCACAATCAACATTTTGCTAGAGACAGTAGAGAAACAAGACAGAAACATTCGTGCTTTGGCAAAGGCCATTCCGAGAACATCGTTCAAAAATCAATCATCATCAACTACACGAACGAAAGAAAATCAACCGGAACAACAGAAGCCATCAATACAGGACGATCAAAAGCCAACAAAATCTGTCACACCTCCTCCGAGGATTGTAGAAAAAGAAACCATAGTTGTGAAGGAAGATGACCCTTTTTTGAAAAATCAACTTCATCATTTAAATAATGAATTTGCAGTCATACAGGAAGAACACTTGCAACATCAAACAAGACTTACTGAGCTCGAAGAAATTGTTCAAGAACAATTAACTCAAGAAAAGATGAAGGTTGAAATGAAAATTGATGAAGCCAAAGAAATGATCAACGTTTTGAAATTTGATAAAGAAGAGTTATTGAGGCAAATGGTTAAATTGAGAGAAGACATGAAATTGGCTATTGATGAAACAACTGGTGAAATTAATCATGAAATAAGAACAATCTTACAAAGTTTAGACATGCACGTAACCAATTTGAGAGATGAATACAGAACACTCATTTCATCAAACGCCGATAATCTTCAAGGAAAAATTGACTCTCTCTCACAAAAACTGGGACAAAATATGGATAGTTTTAAGGAAAGAATGGACTCCCAACGTAATGACATTGAGGAATTAAAGTATCGAGTCACAAAAACGGAAGAAAATTTTACAAGAAAATTGGAATATTTAACAGACAAGATGGAAAAAAACTTTAGACTTCTTGAGAAGGACGTTCTCAAAACAAACTATGTTGCAAACTTGATTTATGACGTATTCCAATTGGATAAACAAACAGTAACGGATTTGCCTGACACGTATGTTCAAGAAAAATTCCAACTCAAGGAAGACATCGGAAGATACTCGAAAATGAGAGCTCAGAAAAATAGACAAGAATTGAGGAAAATCTATACAGATATGCTACTTGTGACTCCCTCTTTTAAGAGTGTAGCAGAGAATGCAACAAACAACCTTAATGAGGTAAGGTGGGAGCTCTTGTCGAGAATGGATCGTGAGTCTGACCGAACTCGTGAAGATATTGACGATATCCGAGAGAATATGAAACGATTTGTTACATATCCCGAGTTAAAGGCCTCCATTACAGAAAATGATGTTATCAAAAAAGTGGTCACCGATGTTGAAAAACACGAGACTAGTATCCAAAATTTTTTCAGAAACTACCTCAACAGAGAAGAAATATGGGAGGCTTTAAGACAAAAAGCAGACGAAAAAAACATGGAGCTGAAGGCTGATCGTAAAATTGTGAATGGCCTCTTTGATTATCTCAATGAAAAATTGAACACAATTTTAGGAAAAAACACAACCGAGGAAATGATGGAAGCGATCAAGAATTTAGAGCAAAAACTCCAAAATAAGGCTGATAGACAAGAACTGGTCGATTCACATCATACGGTGTACCCTCCAAATATTATTAATATTATCAGAAAAGATATTGTACCTGATGATTTGATTGTTGGCATGGGTCTTTCACAACCATTCCTCATGGCCAAGGGAGAAATGGAAACAAAAACAAGCGGCTACAAATGCCTCAGTTGCAACCGGCCCTTCACCAAACAACAACCATGCTCCTCAACAGGAAACTCACCACCTCGACGACAATTGCAACAGCCCTCGATACCTTCGCAGCAGCAAGCATCTACGCAACAACCAAGTGTCACTTCTACAGTTATCTCGTCCACCATTGTAAATCCACTCCAAGCCACCCCATCAACAACTTGTACAGCAGATTCATCAATTCCATCATTACAACCAAGCTCACTAACCACTTCCCTGCCTCAACAAACCTCTTCACTCACTTCGGCACCATCTATTCAACCCTCTCTCGTACAAGATTTTTCAAAAGTCCTCGCTCAACCACCAGCATCCACACATGAGACCAATCACGAACAACAAGCGAGTAGCTCTTCAAGAGTACGTACCGATCCACCACTTCTTCCTCCGGCGAGCCCTTCAGATTTCTTTGACATTCCAAAACTTAATCTTAAAAAAGTTTTAAAACCTCCCGAGTAAGTATAGATGAAAATTTGACGAAATTATTTAGCGTTAATATGGCATTAATAATTATCTGCGATATTTCTTCAAAACAATTTCAAATACGGCTTGTGTGAAAACTCTGAATGCAAACTTTTACTCTTCTGATGACGAAACAGTTACGACAATCCCATTTTCAGGTATTCCCTTAAATCCTCCAGCAGGTCTGTTGAGGAAGAAATGATGGAACACACGGATCGTATGACAAATGAAAACGTTGACACTAATACTCAAGAAAGATCGGACACCAACCATTCAGCTCTTTCCGATATCGAGCAAAAACCTCCTTCACAAATGTTCGACATTCATTTGCACATGACAACAACAACACCGACTATCGATGATTCTCAAACAGACTTGAGGCCCAAGCCACCTCGAAGTGCTCCTCTCCAAATGAGTTTTTCACGCTACTCTGTGAGGTCCCTTAAAGATGGCAATGACTCTGCGACGATACCCTCTCAACCTCTCACTCCAAAACTTGTGATGAGCGCTCGAGATAAGGAAAATGCATTTTCAAACACGACATCCATTCGACCCTTCTCTGCTAAGGAACCCAGTCGTTCCTCCAGAAATACCTTTTCCCTCAATGCTGCTGTATCTGCGAGTCAAAAGCAGCCAAGCGAGCTCAATAGCTTCCCTTCGACCAATCCTGTCACTACCTCGAATTTATCGTCGTCCTCCTCGTCGACTGGCAATTTTCGCCATCTTTTAGTGATCAAACCAGCCAACAAACAAAGAGACAATAGATTTCCAAAAATTAAATAATGAAAGACTGTGGCTGCTGATGTCAAACGCTTGAAAAAGATGAAATTGACAAATCATATGATTTTTTTGGAAGGCAAGGCATCGATTTGAAGCAATTATGAGGAACCAATTACTACAAACAACACACATCTCGTCTCAGTTGAAAGCAACAATTTTTGATTTTGACTGAAATAGCACAAGTACCCAACACCATCAAACAATTAAATAATTCCTCAAAGATGACAAATTCTTGAACTTTGGATGGTAAATTAATTTTCTAATGTGTTGTTAGAGAAGTTAGTGGAGTTGTTGTTCTGAAGTTTGGCTGTGAAGGTTGTGAGATGTTTTTGAGAGACCTTGTTCAACTTACAAAACGATCTAAAAAGGTTTGAGCTACTAAGCAATATATATTGAGATGAACAACTGATGAATTCTAGAAAATATCTTCGTACGATGTCTCCTCTTCTTGTTGTGGAAAATGTTCTCTCAGCACAGCCTCTTTATCTTTAAAATAGCGCAATGTTTCTTTTGTTTTTTCAGTTGAAAAAAGCCGAAATAATTCTTTGGGAGATGACCTTTTGATGGGATTTTCTTTTAACGATGAACCAATAAATTCTTTCAACAATGTTCGAGAGGATTCTTCTTCTTGTCGTTTCAAACATTCTTCAATCTTTGATTTGTTGCGACAATCAACTTTGTTCAACTTTAAGCATTCTAAAACAACAAGTCCCAAAGAATAGACATCACTTTTCGGAGAGATTTTGTGTTCTTTTTCTCTTTCTGGTGCACGATAACCTTTAGAATAGGATTTACAGGTCAACTCTTTGTCACCACGTTTGCATTCATAACGCGTATCCGTTTCAATACATTCATCGAAGGTTTCAGAAATTTCAAAATCGATCAAATAGTAATGATTGTCATATTTAACAATGTTTTGAGGTTTCACATCGTTATGAATCATGTTCTTCGATTCTAATATCACTATTTGGCATAAAACGTCACAAATCATGCCTTGCATTTCCTCCACTGACATTCCAAAACGAATTGTTGAGGATAAATCAATACCTGCGACACTGATCAAACTATTGTCTGGTCCACAAACCAGGTACAACGTTCTCATCTTTTTCATTATTGTCGATGTTTTGCTCCATTCCTCGGTTTGGCATGTTTTCCAATAGACTTGCAAAGAGAAGTCTTTCCGTAGGACAGGCTGTGTCAACTAGCCGCTGCTCACTTTCTTTCCATCATGTGATGTCCTATGTTCTTTAGGAGATAAATTAGAATCATGGCATAATGATATTATGACATTTGGTCAATATATAAAGATCATTATTTCCAAGGCTATGATAAATGATATCATCAGGCTTTAGAATCCCCATGTAAGGTGATAAAAGTGTATTGGATACATTTATATTGGAGCTTATATCAACATTTCTTTCCAAACTTAAGACCATGGATGATGGTTTTCATTTGAAACATACCTATTTCTGTTACAATTTTCAAATAGAGCACAAAAATCAAAAAGTGGATCAAAAAGAGGTCCACATAAACTCATCTCTGGAGGAGTAGAAGAAAACACAGGAACAAATTGTTTTGGATGCAATGCTCGGGAAACTAAGATCAACATCCTACACCTCTGATATGGAACATTTAACTCTTTGGCCAATTTCTTCAAAGTATCAACGGAGAAACTTAGATTTTCATTCGAGAGAGCTTTCAAAATGTCCTTACAATTCTTAAAAATAGAAGTTTCTTGAATTGCATCACAAGTTGAAGCTGGAGACAACGAAATTCCCAAAGCTGTTACCATGTATTTGAAAAAGTCCACTTTGCGATCACGTGGAACAGTTATTGAGTCATCCACTGATCAGGAAGAACCATTTGTTCAATTTTAGAATCTAGAACCTCTTGATATTCACATTTTTCATGCTTTTCAATATCTTCGCACAACTTTTTCACAAGAGCTTCTTCTAATGATTTTTTCTCAAATCTTGTTCATTCAAAAAATGGTGATAATGTAAAAAGAATGATGTACAATAACGAGTACAGTATTGTCATGCTTACATGATTTTTTTGGATTTCTTATTCTTTGGAGTGGAATAATCATCCTTTTCAGTAGTTTTCTTTCTTTTTTTTCATCTTTTGGGGTGGAATCCTCTTTTACGTCTCCCTTCGAAAATTCTTGTTGTTTCTTTTTACTCTTTCTATCTTTCTTTTTGGTGGGAGTGGAAATTTCCTTCTTCTTTTCAGTTCTGTTGTTGAGCTTTAATACGCGACTATTTTGCAAAGATGAAGCAGAGGATGATGAAGGCTTTGAAGCTCTTGCGCGAGGCATTTTTTTATTAAAATGTTAACGGCACCTTTTGGCGGTTTTTATGAAAAACGTTTTATTCCCAATTTCCAATTAATATCGGCATCATCCTCGTCATCCTCTGAAAGGATGCTGCGAGAGTACGTACCGATCCACCCACCACTTCTTCCTCCGGCGAGCCCTTCAGATTTCTTTGACATTCCAAAACTTAATCTTAAAAAAGTTTTACAACCTCCCAAGTATAGATGAAATTTTGACGAAATTATTTAGCGTTAATATGGCGTTAATAATTTTCGCCATCTTTTAGTGATCAAACCAGCCAACAAACAAAGAGACAATAGATTTCCAAAAATTAAATAATGAAAGATTGTGGCTGCTGATGTCAAACGCTTGAAAAAGATGAAATTGACAAATCATATGATTTTTTTGGAAGGCAAGGCATCGATTTGAAGCAATTATGAGGAACCAATTACAAACAACACTCATCTCTTCTCAGTTGAAAACTTTCAAAACAACAAGAAAAAATCGTCATCATCCACTCACCACCTATTCTCAGTATCAAACAACACACACTCTCTCCTGTTGTATTTTGTTTCGATTCTTTCCTTGGAGGACAACCATAAATTTACCAAAAAAATTGGCTGTTGGATCACTCGATTTCTCTCTATTTATTCACCAGAGCTTCATCATCACATTACCAATTTTCTCTCTGTATAAAATCTTCATCATCGTCTTTTAAAATCTAATTCCACAAAATGAGTAGCAACGGAAGTGATGTAACCAGTGAAGACTCTCACTCCTCTGAAATTACCTTCTCCGAAGAAACACAATCAAGATCACAAATTGCCAAATCCATCCTCAAGGAAAAGTATGGCTCTCAAAAACTCATTAAAGAAGGAGTTCCAACATGGTCTGATCTATTGAAATCAAGAATTTCTCTGAGTGATTTCGATATCCTAAAAGTGATTGGTAGAGGAGCCTTCGGAGAAGTCATGTTGGTTAGAAAAAAGGATTCTAAAGAAGTATTGGCGTTGAAGAAACTCATAAAGAAGGAAATGATGAAGAAGAAACAAATTTTACACGTGAGAGCAGAACGTGATATATTGGCTCATTCTAACAATCCTGTATGTAATATTATTATATTGTTATTGTTGACCATCGTCCTAAATAATGACTTTTCAATACATTCATTCATTAATTCCATCTTGATATCATCAACGAACGGTGTTTACGTATGCAATTCCGACACGTCATATCATCGATATGAATGGTAATGACTGGAACGATATGTACTCTGCTGTTTGCTGGTGTCAACACTTGGATGAAATGTCAACATGACCATCGCTTCTTCATGGTGTTGTGGCATCTTTCAAATGTTTACTAATTGTCTTGATGCACTTCCTGTATTCACTCATTCACATACTTGTAGTGGATTGTTGATCTTCGTTACTCATTCCAAGATGAAGATAACTTGTATTTGGCCATGGAATTTTTGCAAGGAGGTGACTTGATGACTTGGCTCATCAAGAAGGAAATCTTTACTGAAGAACAAACAAGATTCTATATTGCCGAATTGATTCTTGCGGTAGAATCCATCCACAAAATGAGTTATGTTCACAGAGATTTGAAACCTGACAATATTCTACTTGATTCTAGAGGACACATCAAACTGACAGGTATGTATTGAATGTTTATTTCGAAGAATGTGAATGAACAAAATTTTCTTTTTTGCATCAAACACCATGACGAAATTTGAAATACATTTCGGAAAATCATTGCTATGCAAACGCTGAACATATTTCCTTAAACTTATATGTGTGACAACCATTTCTTTCACTCAATTTCGCTGTATATCACAGATTTTGGTCTTTGTAAACCTTTCGATGAGGATCCATTTGAAGATGTCAGTGAAGAAGAAATGAAACAAGCTCAACAAAGCACTCAAGAGGGACCTATTGATAAAGTTGGCTCGCTCTCAAGACGAGAAAAGATGAGAAGTTGGAAAAACGAAGGCCGAAAATTACTGTACTCAACTGTGGGTTCACCAGGCTATATTGCACCAGAAGTTTTGTTAAAAAAGGGATACAGATATGATTGTGACTGGTGGTCTGTTGGTGTCATCATGTATGAAATGATTTACGGATATCCACCAGTAAGTATATTATTATCACTTGTTGCTTCTCTTACGAGATTGACCTTATTGAACTATTTGTTGTCATTTATTTACACATATGTGTTTCATAATGATACAACATGGTGGTTGTAATGATGATCAATTTTTAATATTATTTCAAATCACACAGTTTTATGCAGACGATCCACTCAAAACATGCCAAAAGATTGTCAGATGGAAACACTTTTTAGAATTCCCAGATGATATTAATGTCAGCGCTGATGCTAAGGATTTACTGCAACAGTTATTGTGTGACACTGATAAGCGTTGGGGTTCAGAAGACGATAAAACTAGAGGTGTGGACGCCATCAAGAAACATCCATTCTTTAAGGATTTGGACTGGTACTCTATTCGATCTAAGCAAGCTCCGTTCACTCCAGACGTCAAGTCAGATATTGATACGACTCACTTTGATGAATTTGGAATTGCCTTTTTACCACACACAACATCCAAGACCAAAGTGAGTAAAAATCAAGGAGCAGAATTTACCAATTTCACCTACGTACGAGATCAAGATAAGAGTAGAAAAGGATTGGATCAACTTTTCGTTAATCCCAACCAAAAGCAATGAGCAGCAACCTCTCCGCTATCTCTCCTACTGTGGTCCATGCTCGCCACTAACACCTCATCCACAACCCAACAGAGCATTTGTACATGTAGTATGATTTCAAATGACAGTACTTGTAAAGTTATATTCAGCACTGTTTGTTTTTTTGTTGTTCTTTTTGAACAATGTGATTTGTGAACATCCTCGAACACTTTCGTTTTCCGATTGTGAAAATCAAACTCAACAAAAAAAATATGAACTCTTCCTCCGCTACTACAGCCGATGCCTTGACATCAGCAGCCACCACCACCGCCACCACTCGCACGCCGACCACTATTGCAGTGGCAACTATCAACAACCACAATCATTCACAACAACAACAACAACAAGCAAGTAGGTATATCTTGTTTGAGTAAAATGAAATTCCGACCAATAATGACGATGATGGTGATGCAATAACTATTGGCTTACTGAACCCCTTTCAATTTATGATTCTGTAATCGCTTGATATATAATATTCAACAAACGTTATCTGGCATGAATCTCAATCAATTTCTTTGTATATGAAAACGGAACAACGAATTCTTTTTTTCTTGGATGGACGAAATGAAATTCAGAATCCGAATATTGGGCACACATCAAAGGATTCACTGCAGGTGTCTGTAGTGGAGTGGCCAAATTAGTGGTTGGTCATCCCTTTGAGTATGTTGTCTTGTTTTTCTCTTTAATGACCTTCTCACAACACTTTGCATTTTCTTTGATTTTCAAAAATGTCATTCAAATTGGAAAAAAACATTTTGAACGTTATTGTTGAATATTCTTTCTGAAAAAAGTACTGTGAAAGGTAATTACTTTGATTTTGCAGAAAATGGAACTTTGTAACATGCAAATTCTAACATAAATTATTTGAATATTCACTCAGTTCGTTTACAAACTGAAGGATATCACGGCAAATTCTCTGGTCCCATCGATTGCCTCGTTCAGACTGCCAAAAAAGAAGGACTTCCGGGTCTCTACAAAGGAGCTCTTGTTCCCTTATTTGGATGGTCTGTGATGGACAGCGTCTTGTTGGGCACAGTGACCTATGTCCGTAAATTCATTAAGGAAAATTTACATCGAGACCAACCAAACTATCAACTCACCATTATGGATCATTCCATTGCTGGATTTTTTCGGAGGAATGGCATGCAGTTTTGTGGCTAATCCCATCGAACAAATTAAATCTCGACTCCAAGTTCAATACAATTGGGATGCTTCCACTCAACGTTACAAAGGACCTTTCGATTGTATGAAACAATTATGGAGAAATCATGGAATTGTTGGATTCTATACGGGAATGAGTGGAACTTTATGGTTTCGTTCATTCTGTTCCATCTATATTGGATCCTATGAATATTTCAAGCTCAAATTGGCAAATTGGAATTCTTCATTGCCATCGAGTGTCATTAATTTCATCGCGGGAGGAAGTGCTGCAACGGTCATGTGGATTTGTTGCTTCCCTGCAGACACTGTGAAAAATCGAATCATGTCTCAACCTGATGTTCCTAAAGCCGAATTGAAATATAAGGGTTTAATTGATTGTGTGAAAAAGATTTATTTGGAAGAAGGTGGAATGAAAGGATTTTATCGTGGATTTGTGCCATGTTTGCTGAGATCCTTCCCTACGAATGGAGCTTCGTTTTTGGCTTGGGAATTGGCCATGAAATGGTTGCCTTAAGTTGTGATCTGTGAAGGAACTAAGGTGCTTTTATAATAAATTATTAACAGCGACCACCACAAACGGAAATACAAAAACATTTTGTATAAAAGATGTAGAAAATATTTGTATGTATTCATTCAAATCAGTCAACCTTAATAGACAATGGTTCGACACAAATCCAAACATGCATCATTTTCAAATCCATCAACTTCAATTCTTTGAATGTAAGGACATGATGTGATGATGGCTTCACATTCACTCTGTCTAAATGCTTTCGTTATGGACAAATATTCCAAACGAGGACATGCCTTGTAAAGATTAATCCAACTCATACTTGCGGCATCATCGTTGAGTAAATCACTTCCTTGAATTTTCAAAATCCTCAAATTTGGAAAGCTGGAGGTCGAAATTTTCCCCAACAATTCACTCATGAGAGATCCTCCACATTGTAAGGTCAATTCTTGGAGTGACTGCTGTGAATGGTCAATGCATTCTTCAATGCCTTCAAATTTCTTTCCTTGTAGTGACAAAGAAGTGAGACGACCTTTTGGCAATTGTTTCAAATTAAAAAATGGAGGTCTCTTTTCACTTCTTTCCGTGAAATTATCCATATATCTCATATCCAAATTACTGTGCAAATCGAGGCATGATAAATTGGGACATTTTTCAAAAATATACAATAAATCTTTGTGTGTCACATAGACATTGTGAAGAATGAGTGTTCGTAAGGTCTCTTTCATAAATCGTGTCACAAATTGTGGTAATTGCGTCTCTAACATGTCTGTCTTTCTAAATATATCGTAACAAAGTGCCACTGTTTCATACTTTGGAAAGGCTCGAATTAAACTATACAATTGAGGAATGGAATCGATAAATAATCCATCGACATGTCTCAAATCAGGACTTGATAATAATAATACATGTTCCAATTGCAAATTTACATTTCCAGTCACATATTGCAATCGAGAAAACATTTTCAAAAAATCAATGACATCAATTCGAGAATTCATCCGTTTGGACATTTTCAAATGAGTGACCGAATTATAATAATTTAAATTCCAATCGAAACTAATAAATCGAGATTTTTGTTTTCCATTATTGGTTAAAAATGTTTGAATGAGAGTAATTAATTCTCCAGGTAAATTAAATTTGTTTTGTTCCGATGGTGATGACGGTTTGACGTTTTGATGTATAGAAGATTTCGAATTTAATGTTTGTTGAAACATTAATGGTTGTTGCTGGAGAAATTGACAAGAAATTTCGTTCGATCTCTCGGGAGATGATATTGTGAGCATGGTGGTAGAGGCATCCTCTTCGGTGAGGTGAGAATGTCTATTCGGAACAGGAGAAGATGGTACCGACATTTTTTTGACTTTTGGCACACATCACTCAGCATCAAGCTTTACAAATTTTCAATATATAAAAAAATAATGACTCGGCATGTGGAGCCCTTGCACAATCTTCTCTTCTCGCTCGATCCGAATCGATCCATCATTGAAAAGGTCATGGAGAGTCACTACCATCTCAACACCGCAACATTCTCCGGAGAGGACAATTCATCTCCGAAGAATACAAGTTGGTTGAGGAGATGTGGAGTTTTTGGAATTCGAAATATTCTTTGTCGAGAGTCGTGGGTAGGTGTTTGAAATTATTTGAAAATATTCATCGAATTGATGAGTTGATATTTTTAATGAAATTTATCGCATCAAATTTTGAATTTAATTTTTGATTTTAATTATTAATTATTTTATTATCTAATTATGTATTTATAATCATTAAATATTATAAATAATCCTCATCACACACGAAAAGTCTTACATTCTCACAGAGTCTGGCCATTTATTAGAAATTCATCCTGATTCCAATCAAGCCATGACAATGACTCTACAAATTCTGAACCACCTCTTGGAACCATCTGAAAAAATCATTCACATGAGTGCAGGACATCATTTCTTGCTTCTCCTAGTGCAAGATATGATCACACAAAAAACAAGAGTTTTAGCGAAATATTGCAATAATCAAACAAGTGATCCATGCTTTTATTATGTACAATCAGTCAAATGCTACGAACAACAAGTCATTTCACATGAAGGAGGAGAAAAAATTGTCACAACTCTCTTTCCAATGGGTAAGAAGTGGTGGTATGAAATTTGTGATTTTCAAAACATGGAGGATTGGCAAGTCGATGAAGAAAATATCATTTTCACATCATGTGCAAATTATTCAATTACTTTTATTTCGAATAAGGGAAGAATTTTTGCATCAGGATCGAATACATTTGGTGAATGTGCTCAACCAGTAGTGGGAATCTCTTCCATGTCTCAACATCAAGTATTGGAATGTAGAATTGAACAATTGGATCATTGGAAGGAAAGACCATTTTTTGTTAGATCTGTGAATGGTGATCATTCGATTATTGCTCTGACAAGAGATCATCGAGTTTTCTATTGTGGATGTTTGTTAGGTCAAGATGGTTCAGATTTAGAACTTCTTAGAGAGTTTAATCCAATGGGTATGGACACTGATGAATATTTTGTGGATATTGCTTCATGTTCTTTTTCAACATTAATTTTAACAAGTAAGTAATTACTAGTTAGGGAAGTGCCGGTTTGATTTTCCAATTCTTTTGGTGTGAATTGCACCTTTGCAGACAAAAACAAGTTATTTTTGTTAGAAACTCATACAATAATTGAATGGAAACCAAATGTGAAGATTGTGACTTGTCGAATTTTTTCAACCTCTCAATTGTTTTTTATTGTCGTCAATGATTCGAAAATTTTCTCCTATGAATCTAGTGTCAAAGAGTGCAATTTTGTGTTGAATAATCAAAAGTCACATCATCATTCACACTTGTGCATTACAGGTGGTGAGATAATTGTCATGTATTGGAAAAAGCTAAAAGAAGAATCCAAGTCCATTCAAAACATGCATGAAAAATTATCGCATTCTTTGAGTGTTGATTTTTTACTGGATGTCACCCTTTGCTTCAATGGGGCAATACATTGAAAACGACTGTAATGGTGATCACATTGTCTTACCAGTTGTTGTTTCTAAGGAATATCATGATTACCCATAATAATTTGAACATTATAGAAATTTTAAAATATGATGAGAGAATAGAAATTCATTCAAAAACACTTCAAGTTGATCGATTTATTGGATAGAAATGGTCTTCTTCAACTTGGCAATAATCTTGTCAGCAGCAGCAGAACTCTCTTTCACATCTTTTTCAACATTCTTTCCAGTTTGTTGTCTAAACATTAATGAAGGACTATAATAACCATCAACACCCATCACCATGTATCCATTTTGTAATAATAAATTTGGATTTACCAAATTGAATCCTGGCAACAAGGATGACAAATCAATCAATTGAATTCCAGAAGCAAGATCCTTATTGAGAATTGGTAAATAAACGTCAATTAAGGTAAGTTGGATGATTTGTTGCAAATTGGCAAGATTGACAGGTCCAATCCAAGATTGAGCGACAGAAACTGAGAATTGTGGATTGACAATTTGAGCTGTGAAATTCAACTTGGAACCACCAGAGACAATTAATTTTGGATTATCAAGAGTGGCATTCGCAACGAGAGAAAGAATGAAGGCATTGGCAGTAGATCCACTTCCAGTCAATACTTGAAATTCAATATTTCCATAAAAGTAAGCAGAAATCATTCCTCCATTGAGTTGTGAAATTTTGATATTGGGCCACAAGTTAGCATTTGATGCAGCATTGCTATACAAATACAATTGAACTTGCTTATTTGGATAAGCATTGTACAATTGTGGAATCAAGTTCTTCAAACTGGTGGTATTCAATTGAATGGGAGAATAATTTGGAATCATGTCTGGTGTGATAATGGTTTGCATTTGATTTGAGGAATATAATCCATAAAGCATCGAATTAATGACAAAATCTGTAACATAGGCATCAATTAAATCATCAATTTGTGATGGAGGTTGATTAGGAAGTGTCACATGTCCAAATGGTAATGGAGAAATTCCCTTATTAGGATCATAGAAAGTTGCACGAGTTCCAACTGCCAAGAATGCATTATTCAAAACAGTTAATTCACTCACACGATAATCCACTTGTAATTTAAAGTTATTGGCACCAAGTGTCATATTCAACACTGGCATCATATTTGCAGCTTGAATATTATTATTCACACGAGCCACTGCAGATGAAATGGCAGATTCCACTCCAGTTTGAACACTTGATTTGATTTGTGAAGCAAAGAGATTTTGTAATAAATTCAAAATCCATCCACCACCTCCAGAAATGTTAATGTTCAAATTACCCAAATCAATGGTGTTGGCTGTTAATTGGAATTGTGGCTTTCCAGAGTTGACATCGAGTTGCATCAAGATGGTGACAGTCATAGAGACAGTGTTTGTGGAACAGACAGCAGTTCCAGAACCACTGTGAATGACATAAAAGTCAAATGACAAGTGACATGAAAGGATCACCACAAATGAAATTCATGAACATGGAATCATTCCAAATTTTCAAAATCTTTCATACACACCTCAAATGAATCTATAATTACTCACCTACTATGTGGCCAATTTTCTTGTCTATAGGCCCAATTCAAACTAATTGTAATCTGAGCATTATTATCTGTCAAAGACACTTGATTGGGACTTGTCATCAAGACTTTCAAATTACCCAAAGCAACATTACTGATGGTAATTCCCGTAATGCTAATATCAACATCTCCAATGATTGAAACATGTTCTGAAGATTAAGGATGAAATATGAATTTGATCATTTCAGGAATCATGGTTGATCACATCAATGGATCGATCATTCACATGAAATGTTGTTGTTGTTGTTAATGAATCCATCATCGGAATGTGAGCGGACAGATGTGCAGATCCATCAAAATTTCAAATTGAAATCATAAAGATGGTTTTACGAATGTCATTTATGTAAAGTGTGTGTGTGGGTGTTCATAATCATGATCATCATTAAGTGTGTGAAGTGACATTAAAAATTAAATAATGATGATGATGATGATTAAAAGGATTTCAATCACATTTCATATCAAAATTGTTCAATTGTTGAAAATCATCATCAACAACCTCTCACCTACCTTTCAATTGCATATCTGGAATCTTTTGAGCTTCAATTTCTTTAGCAAACAATGGTGATTCTCGTGTCAACAAGTTATTCAAATCGGAATCAGAAAGGAAAGCACGAACAGTCGATAATTGACCATTCACACGATCCACCACCACCACGACTGCTAATGTCAAACAAAGAAGTAAGAGCAGAGTAGTAACAACGGAAAACGACTTGTTCATTTTGTTTTTTTTGATTACGATAATTTTTGTAAAAAAGACTCCCTATTGTGTGAAATTTGAAAGTTCAAGAAGAAAGGAACGAATCCATCATGAAATATGACAATCTCAGGATCTTTTTCTCCAATAATTGCGTATTATTGAATTTTAATAACGAACATCTGATGAACAAAAAAGAAGAAAAAAATGAAACCTTTCATTGAGAAGCATCGGAAACAACTTGAACAAGATTGGAAAGAAAAAGAAATGGATGAGAGGAAGGGAAGAAGTAGATATTATTCGGATTTGGTAGGTTTCATTTGGAATCATGTGAAAGAATTTAAATGAAAATTGGATGGTTGATTTTATGTGAATGATCAAATTTTTTATTATTATTTATAATTCATATATATTTCATTCAATATTTTAATAATTTCCTTATTTGAAATTTAAAATGAAATTTCAAAAGTTTACCTTAATTCTAGGAGTTGCTGTAATTGGAATTGGAGTTGTTTTATTTAATGGATTTACAAAACCAAGTGAAGACGAAGAGCAAGTGAAAGCCATCACTGCAAATTATGATGATACTGTTTATGATCCTCAACGTCCTTTTGTGCAATAATTTAATGAAATCATGCAAATAATTAGAAATATGTTAATATATTTTCACAAGATAAGAATTTTTTGCGGTGATTAGAATAATTGTTACAGATCATCTCTTTTTGAGAGCGTGACATTTCGTCACAAACTTGAAGGATTCGAATTCAACGGATCGAATCTTTTCACATGTTTCAATTATTCAAAACGTTTCAAAATGTCCTTCATAATTAATAATGATACATTCTTTGAGGAAATTAAACTTGTCTCCATTGTACTAATGACACTTTCCATACTGTTGGGATAATAAATTCGTTGGTGCAATTTCACAGGAGGTTGGACAAGATTTGGTTTCAAAATTGGATAACTTCCATGTTTCCAATACTGCTGAACGAGTTTGCTTGGGCCAACATAAATTTCATTCAATAGTTCTTTGGTGAATGGAGCGTGTGAAAAGGATTCAAAAATGTGGTCCTTGTTCTCAGTGTTCTGTCCACTGTTTGGAGTTTCTCCTTGTGGTGCAATATTATTGAACGGTAATTGACTCACTGTTAAAGGTTTCATTGTGGTAATATATACAGGGCCATCTGAGCTATCCATTCCAAAATAATTCTTGTTAATGTCTTTGGCAACCACAAGACTTGTGACGAGAATGTTCATTTCACGTTTTTCTAATGCCTTTGGAGGAAGATGAATGTTGTCAAAGTGAATATTAGTGAACTCGAGAGGTGTTGCAGCAATAATGTAATCAATGTTCGTGTCAAGAATTTCTGTATGGTTGGGTGTTGCCAAGTTCTTTGCAGTGATGGAATACTTGTTGCTGGCACTGTCGTAGGAAATTTGTGACACTTCATGCATTAATTTTAGGTTCAATTTTTTGGATTTCAAAGCTTCGATGCAATGTTTTGGAAGTTGTGACGTTCCTTGAAGGACCTTCACACGAGTGAGCACACATGAGTATTATCTGTCGTCATGAAAATTTAACAACATACCTGTCTAAAATCAGAAACCGCTCCTGCCAATCCAACAATTCCAGCAAACGCAGAAATAGTTTCTGAACTTGTCATGTAGTTAATTCTCAAAATCGAGTCACAATATTCCTTAATAAATCTCTCTTGAATCCAATTCGTTCTTGCAAAATCATAAAATGTTTGAGTGGTGAGCTCTTGCATGCCAGTTTCCTTCAAAAAGTCACTTGTCTCTTCCCAAGTATAAACCTTCTTCAAATCCTCACTCGATATTTTTCCTTCATGTGGCACTTGTTGCAATTCATAAATTTTCAAAAATCGATCTTGTGACAAGTAGTAATGTACATTTCGTTTCAACAAGTAGAGTGGAATTCCAAAATCATATCTCCAAGCTCCCTTGATTAAAGTCTTCCACCACGAAGTTGATTCACAAAATACAATTCGTTTCTCATCACCATTCCAAATTCCAATTCGAACATCCTCCAAATGTGGTTCTTTCAAAGTCAATCCAAAAGTCTCCACCAATTGCAAGGCATACTTATTTTCCAAAATGAGTGAACTTCCACCCACTTCAAACGAGTACTTGTATGGATTCTTCTCATCATGGACATTGGGAAATAAATTAATTTCTTTTAATCGTCCACCAATTTCAACATTTCTTTCATAGATGATAAATTCGAGAGGAGGCTTTGTTCCGTTCGAATTCCTTGATGACAAGGAAGAATGAGTGGCAATCAACGTCGTGGAGGAAGGTTCAGGAGAGAGATCAATGGAGGACCCATTCATCAAGAAATCCAAACGATCATAGAGATTGGAGAGAAAATAGGCTGAACCGGATCCAGAAATTCCTCCTCCAATGATGGCTACTCGAATGGGTGGTTGTTGTTGTTTTTGTTCTCTTGATGATGAATTGGTGGATGAGCTCATGATCGTTGTGGCAGAACCTTTTTTGGATGAATGGGAGTGGTTGTTGTTGTCATGAGGATCACGATCATCGGCCACATGTGGTTTGGATTGGAAAAATTTGAACATTGATGATTGTTGTTGTTGTTGTTCGGCTTGAATGAGATTTGTGGATGAATGAGTCTTGTAGAAGGTGAGGGTTGCAGCTGCTGCGGAACAAGTGCCAAGTGTCATCAGACAAGTTGGCTTGAGGATCTTTTTGAACATTTTTTGAAAGAATCGAAAAAGGAACGTGTGAAGAATATGATGAAGAGGTTATGTCATCATCGACCAGTTTCAAATGGGTATAAATGCTCATGGCAAATATAATTATTTAATAGATTGTATTAAATAATTATATTTGTTATTGTTCAAGTTGTTAAAGTTGTAAGAAAAAACTGAAAACCGCCAAAATATTTACGATGAAATTCAAAAAAATTGCTAAAAAAAATGTCCAATGTCTACTATGAAGGCCTCTTGTCGGAGGTGTTGGTCGAGTTGAGAGATTTGCTCGTGGTGGGAGAGAATAAATTGGCAAACAAGGCAAATCTTCCGAAGAATATATTGGAACATCAGGCATTGTTCAATCAGCACTATCAGTCATTATATGTAAAATATGTAAATTTATACAACAAGATGGAGGTAGGTTTTGGGTGGATTTAAAAAAATGACCGATCTGAACAACAATGCCTATTCGGATTTTCGACCAATGCTCCCTTAAAACTATTTTAAATCTTGAATAATATTTTGCAATAATACAACAACAGATGTGTTATGATCAAATGCTGCAACCTCAAAAAAGAGAAGATCTCAAACTAATTCTTGAAAACGTGATTGGAAGAATTTTGGAAATTAAATCAATCATCATTCAATTGATGGGAGAGTTTACAGAATTTGATGAAGTTTTAATCGATTTGAAATTAGATCCGAGCGAACTAGAAATTAGAGTACCTAGATTCTTGCATGAAGACAATGAAAAAGAAATTCGACGAAGAGAAATTTTGCTCGATGTATTGAGGAAGAGACCAAACTCTAACGGTGACTTTCTTGCTCGCTCCGATCAAAACCTGTCCCAAAACAATCAAAAAAATAATACGCTCACCATCAACCAGGCCGTTCTTATCATCCAAACCAATGAACGAGGTCGACAAGGAAGAAATATTGCACGAATTAAACTCGAACAAAAATTGGGAGAAGAACTAAAAAAGATGAAAAGAGAAGAAGACATGGACTCAATTATGGACGAAGCAGCCATAAAAATCCAAAAGGTCTTCCGGGGATTCTACTGGAGAAAACGAATTGACAGAGAGAAGAGAGAGGAAGCAAAATTTCTTGGCATGTCTTTGGAAGGAGCAAAAACACAGCATAAAAAACAAGCTCAAAAAGAAGAACACGACCAGGAAGACAGGTCCAACAAAATTAAAGAAATGGATCAACTGGGAAGAGCCAAAAGAAAGATTAAACAGGCTGAAAACAAGAGAGATTTAGAAGAGCAGCGAGTTAAAATGCGAGCTGCAATTTTGGAGGAAGAAGGACCACAAATGATGGAAGACATGCATGACGCACTCATGGAACAAATTCTATTATACAGACAAGAAGGTGACGGTGGAATTCCAAGCTTTCCTTCAGAGGCTGATGGTGGCTCAAAAGCCTTCATGCAAAACATTATTAAGGCCACAGAGGAGCAGAAAAAGTTGTTGGAGCAACAAAAGATGGAAGCTCTAGCTCCACCCAGTAAAAACAAGAAGGGAGGAAATGCTCCAGCAGCCTCTTCAACAAAAAAAACCTGCTGCTAAAGGAGGAAAAGATCAGCCACAAGCAGAAGCTACTCCTACCATGAAAGACGAATCAAAGTTCATTCCTACCATTTCTACTCTGTTAAAACAACTCGTGGAAAAGTGGCGAGATCGAATGAGTTCTCTTGACTTTGACCAAAAGTTTGACAAGTCATTACTGAGAAAGGAACTCATGGAAGGTGATCAAGGTATTGAGGAAGAAATTCGGAAAAAGGTGGACAATCAAATACGAGAGGAATTGGACAACTTGAGGATGCAACTCGAAAGTGAAAATCCCCCAAAAAAGCCAACAAAGGAGAAGCCTCCTCCAAAGCCCAAGGAAGAAGTGAAAATGCCATCTTCTGAAGCATTCTTTTCAGATTTGGCATCTATGGGGATTATCACCAAAGTTCCACCTATAACATTGGACTCTTTCTTGGGAGAGCCCCGACTCATTGGTTCCATTCTTGAGTGGGAAGAGCCATCCCTCGCTCAGATTCGTAACCTATGCCAAGAATTGATTCTCTTCATGTCAACACCTACAGTACACAAAGCAGCACCTCCTTTGCGATCCATTCTCTTTTATGGTCATAAGGGTACAGGAAAGACCCATCTCGCACATGCCATAAGCCATGAATTGGGAGCTGTTTTCTTTGATTTATCTCCAGCAGTCACTCAAAACATTTGTACAGAACAAAGTGAAGCAACCACCATGATTGGAAAGGTATTTCGTGTTGCAAAGGACATGCAACCTGCCATCATTTACATCGACGATTTTGATACCATTATTAAGGGAAAAGGAAAGGGAAAAACGAAAGCCAACATGAAACGTTTGAGAAAACCACTCCTCACTCAAATGAAGGCCATGTCACCCGATGATCGAATTTTGATCATTGCCAACATGAATGAGCCTTGGGATGCTGATGCAGCTCTTTTTGGAGACTTTTTCGATCGCATGATTTACACGACTCTTCCTGACTATTCATCATGCAGAGTCATTTGGAAAACATTGCTCGAGAAAGCTATGGCCCGCCCATTAAGCGAAGAATTTGATATACATACTCTCGCTCACATTTCAACCAATTATACTGTTGAAAGTATCAAACTTATCATTGAGAGTGTAATCAACGAAAGAAGAATTGCCAAACTTGACACAAAACCTCTTCAAGTTGATGAATTTGTTGTTCCCTTGTCAAAAATCTACCCAATCTACCAACAAGACGATTTGAAAATGAAACAATTCACTCAAAAGCTTCCGCAGAAATATCGAAAAAAGACAAAGGAAGAGAAAGAAAAGGAAAGACAAGACCTTGAAGCAAAAATGGCTGAAGAAAAGAACAAGAATAAAAAGAAGAAGTGAGCACGCTCGAGCTATATTCATAATATTGACACAACACATTTCAAGGTTTTTGCACTTGACCTCAAGGCACTCGAGAACTTGAACTTGCAAGTCAAATGTCAAAACATGCATCACAAAGAAACACCAACCTCAAACCACCTCAAAAAAATATGCAAGCCAAAGTCACCCAGTTACTCTCTCCAAGCATCCATCATGAAGGTCTCCTTCCCTTCAAATCCATCATCAGCCATGCCATGGCCTGCACTCGACTCGATCCCTTTTCCATCCAACAACAACAAGAACTTTCAGAATTCTCTCTCTTTCTCTTCGGAGGTCAAATTGACAACAAGAGAAGCAATGCCCTGTATGAAATTAAAATCGGAGAAGAAGCCTTTCATCCTCACCACCTTCGAAACGTTGATCAAGAAGAAGAGCAACACATCCATCAAGTTTCCTTCTCCATCCCAAATTCACCATCTCCGGAATTATTATTGCGAAAGAGAATACAGAAATGGACCAATTCTTCTCTCATGATTCATCACATTGAGAAAATTGAAAGTTCTTTGATGCCATCTGCTCGATCGCATCATTCAATGATTTTTAGAAAACCCAATCAAGAACATGTGGAAGGATCATTAGTGGTCTTTGGTGGTCAAGATGCACAATTCAAAGCATTGGGAGATTTATTTGAATTTGATATTACCACTCGAACATGGAAACAACATGTGGAGAATTCTGGAAATGAAAATTGTGGAAATATTTGGCCTTCGAAAAGATATGGTCATTCGATGGTGTATCGTTCGAGTGTGGATTCTATTGTCATTTATGGAGGAATGGACACCACGAATCGAACCATTCAAGATTGTTTTGAATATAGCTTTTCGATTCAAAAATGGAAAAAACTTGAAATTGGACTTCACAGTAAGGTGAGTGGTGAATTTGAATGATGATGAAAGAGTGTTTTTTTGTCCTGATTGAATGATCTTTCTTGAACGTTTCTATCTTTGTACAACCTTTAAAATGTTATCTGTATGTTGTGCTCACAGTCCACATCCTTGTCACTTGCCAATGCTCCAAGTATAGACCTGAATTGTTTAAGGCCAAGAGCCAATCATAGTGCTGTCATTCATAACAAATCTTCTTCAAAATTTCTTCAATTACATTCACTCGGCCAAGAAAATGACAACAATCATGAGACATCTGACACCATGATTATCTTTGGAGGAAATAATGAAGAAACATATTTCAATGACATGTTTTCCATTAATTTAGACAACTTGACAATGAAGTCTATCTTCACATCGACCCGATCGACTCTCGTTTTTCCCAGAATCAAACACACAGCAATGATCCTGAGAGGAGAGAAAATTCTCATATTTGGAGGAAGTTTGAACTACAGTTATGGTATTGACAAAACCAATGTCGCAAAAGGATTTTTCATGAATGTCATGGGAACTGTTGCACCAAGAGCAAGCATTGATGCAACTCTTATTGCAGGAGCCACCAAAAACACTTTCGTTGATTTAGTGTATGAATTTGACCTGTTTTCAAGCGAAGAAGAAAAAAAGTATCCCTTTGGTGACATTTCACATCACACCACATGCGCCATTTCACCCTCAAGCTTTATTCTTGTGGGCGGACAATTCAATACTGAGAAAAAAACTGCCACTTCAAAGAATGACAAGATTTGGCTTTTCAGTTTAAAGGACGTCGAAGAAGTGTTGCGCCGTGTTGAAACCGAAGAAGATTATGTGAATTTTGGAAACTTATTTCACAAGAGAATGCAAGATACTTTTGGAGATTACATTCCCATTGGTTGTGACATTAAGGTGAATGTCCTTAATGAAAAGACATTCTATGTCCACAAATTTATGCTTTCTCGATTTTCCTACTTTAGAGAAATGATTGAGAAAATGGACGAACAAGACACACATTCTTCCTACGACCATGGTGAGAAAATTCCTGAATTGAATTTGAGCTCTCTCTCAGTTGATACTTTTAGTCACATTGTGGATTATTTGTATGGAATTGATCCACCAATATTTAACAATCGAGAGGAAATGGTGCGGTTAAATACTTTTTGTGAAAAACACAACATGACATCCATCTGCAATTACATTCATGGAAAAATGTATCAAAATGGAGAAGATGATTATTTATTACCAACTCCTGCCAAACAATTAATTGCATTTTTGAGAGATGTTTTCAACGAGAAATATCCAGAATTATACAAGTATTTTACAGCGACGATACGATTGATATTCACCAATGCAGAAGAAGAGGAACAGAAACTCTCCCAAGTGGAAGATTTGGAAAATCAACCACATTCTCGCGCCATACATGACATTCAAGTTCCAATGCCAATTTTAGTCACTAATGATTTTTTCCATGCATGTGTTCGAGATTTGTGGCTCAAAAAACGACATCAACATGAAATGGGTGAATTGGATCATCATGGTGACACCAGAAACAACAATCAAGAACAATTCTTAATTGAAATTGACAACACAATATTTCCATATTTAGACGAGCAATACATTCCAACCGTTGAAGAATACATTGCCACACTTTATGGAGTCGATGCCCGAATTCATGCACCAGAAGATGACACCCTCATTGCAAAATTGATTCAACTCTATTTAGTGAGTAATGTGTTTAGTGATACAAAAATGGAAAATGAAATCATTTCAAGATGTAAGAAGAGAATTTCATTTGAAAATGCATTCCAGTTGTTGTGTTTTGCACATCAACATCCTTCTCCGAATGATGTGTTTTTTATTTACAAGGAATGTATTCGAGTTCTGAAAGATGTGTTGCCAGTGCAAGATGTGGACAAAATTGTGCAATTACTACATTTGGAAATTTCACAGGACGAATCACTTTGAAAATCCAATGATTGCATTCATCATGATGAGAATCCTAACAAGCTGGTAATTTTCCAATTAAGAAGAAAATTTACACAAGAGTGTCCATTTTGGTTATTTTCCAAAAAAGTCATTCGCTCGGAAATTGTTGTCGAGTGTGACAGTAATGGGTTGCATCTTTGTACACTACTGAGCAAAAAAACAATTCAATTACTTAATACTTTATATCACCATGGTAGAATCAACAGCTTTGTTTGATGGAATTCAATTTCTTATTCAAGATCATAAATTGATCAGACAATTGTTTGACAGATGGCATGATGCTTCTTCACAAATTGATAAGAACAGCATTGTTGAACAGTTCATACGTGAAATTTGTATGCACGCCTCAGCAGAAGAAAGATATTTGTATCCTCTTATTGCTGAAAAGATTGATGGAGGAAAACTTCTCAGTGATAGAAATTATTTGGATGATCAACTCAATAAGGAAATGTTACAATTCATGCTTGACAATGTCAATCATCAAAAGAGTGACATGGACAAATTCGTTTTCAACAAGACAGTAGAAAAGTTTATTCAAATCGAATTGGAACATTTGCAACAAGAAGAGGATGATGTTTTTCCAAGATTGAAAGCAGTCTTGACACAACAAGAATTAGTCACTCTTCACAATGACTTACAAACTGCTAAAAACAATGCTCCTACTCATCCACATCCAATGGCACCCATGAAATTTGGAAGTAAGATTATACACCCACTGGCTGGTGCCATTGACAAGTTGTTGGATTATGGAAGTTCAAAGACAAGCACTACTACAACAGGAACAGCAACCACAACTTTAGAATCGTCAACATTGAGTGGACCTAGTGAAGTGAAACAGCAAGCATCGACTCTTCCTGAAGAGAAGCCACTGTTGAGTGAGACCTCTGTTCCAGGAACCAGTCAAGTCTCGGATGAACAAAATAAGACAAGTCAAGGTCTTAATATTTCTGACATTCCCATTCACAGATCTGATCAGACACAAACCACGGATATCATGTAAAAAGGATTGCCAACCAAATAAATGATGGTTCACATCATTCATCGTTCTTGTAATTCGAATGTAGTGGTGGTTTAAAGAATTATTTATGTTGACATTCATTAAACTTTTTGCATATTCGTTTCCTTCATTTCTTGTTCATTCTTGTTCATCTCTTTCATGAGAAACAATCGTTGAACTTCCTTCAAAGGATGATAAATACACAACAAAATGATCACAAATCCCAACACTCCAACATTTGAAAAGACATGATAAAATAACAATGAAAATTGCCATGAAATTGCTCCTGGAATAAAACACAATCCAATAAATTGAACAAAGAAGAAAATGGAAAGGCCAACTTGCAAGCTCAATACTCTTCGAAGGGCTTGTTTTTTCATTTGATAGGTTCGATCATGCTCCAGTGTTGCTTTTTGAAGAGATTTCAGTGTCACATTGTCCATGCTGGAGATTTCTTTCATGTTCTTACTCTCTTGGTTGTTAGGAATGGCTCGTGGCGAATCTTCTCCACCTGTCACAGATGCGACTGAGTCACTGTCGACGTTTGCAGCATTAGTGGTGGTTGCTGTCTTCTTCATGATCATATTCTTCACTTTTTGCTTACTTCTGTGTAAGGTTGCCAACAATCGAAATCCAAATGTCTAAACAAGGTTCACACACATGCATACGAATCAAACAAATATATTGTTGATGTGAATATTATCAATGTAACTTACATTCAACAACACAGCCGTTGCAATCAATCCCAACAACAAAATAATCATGGGAGATGTGAAAATGACAATCGAATAATCAAGTGATGCTTTTGGAGAGAGGGCATTAATGGATCGCAGAATGTGCAAAATGAGAATGACCATGACATGTCCCAATAAAAACAAAACGAACAAGATGACCATAATGACAATGAGAAGAGCGAGACAAATCTTGAAAGTTTTTTGGGAAATGTCACATGTCGCTCGTGATGTTTTCATGCTGTCAAGCAAGACAAAAGGTCAATCAAAAAAATGATCTGTAATTCATGTACTTACAATGCAAAGCTAATTAAACCCATAATGAGTATTTGAGTATACAATAACACAGCAGCCATCGAACGATCCACCATTTTGATCCAATTATTCAATTGAAATGCTGTTTGATAGACTGGATGCAGGAATGACAATTCACTGGCCAATCTTGTCATATTTTGAAAAGAAGCAAACAGTGTCAAGGCGAATAACATCCAGAAGAGCACATGCTGATTTCTCTTGAGTTGTTTAAATTGCATTGCGTAAGATATTACAGCAAACAAAAAAACACCAAGAAATATCACTATAAATGGTGAATCGAGACCTGCCACCAAGTCACTGGAAATGAATGGTCAAGAAAATGAGAAAATGATGAGTGGTCGAAGAATTCATACAACAACAACCTACCTGTATAAATCAAATTTAAAAGAAGTGACATTGCTTGTGGATTGTTGTTGGAAAGGAATAATGCTTGGAAAGAGTTGCGGTCCATCACTGCCTCGTGATGCTATTGCTGAGGTCTCGTCGTCATGAGGGCTCAGTCCTGTAAGTCCAGCGAGAAACGTATCGCTCAACTGATTCTCAAAGAGCAAGAATACCATGATTCGTTTTTTTTGTGTAGTTTCTTTCTTTCTGTGTTCATAGCATTCCTTCATAAATGTTTGTAGCTTCCGTTTTCGATCGGTTTATTTTGACTTTTGAGGGAGCGTGAAATTGAAAGAATCCGATTTCTGTTAGCCAACAAGCCTTGCAACTTCCATTGACCAAAAAGAAGTCGGTTTGCCTGTCACTCATAGTCGTAGATGGAAGGGCAAAACAATCCAAAATGAAATAAACATGAAAATGTTGAAGAAGGCAAGTAGTTTCAGTCTCATTCAATTTTTGAAAGCACATGACATAAAATAGAGATATCTCTATTTTTTCTTTGGAGTGAACATATGAAAGGTCAATCCTGATGACTGGTCCCTGATGGGTTGTTGTGTCTTATCAAACGGGTGGAACGTCCATGAAGATAGTGATGACGAGGCGGTGGTCTGAATCGGAGGTGAATTCTTGAAGGTGCCATATTTAGTAGCGTCTTCTGGATAGGTTTTCGTGACATTTTGAGAAGGTAGTTGCTTTGAATTACTATTGGTCAAGTTTGAATCATAATTCACTCTAGAGGTGGTAGAGTCTTCCTTATTTGCTACTTGTGTCGAAACAACAGCGGACGACATTAATATTCCTGGATTGCTTTTCGAAGTAGAAGACATGGGCACAATATTGGTAACTGAGAAAGTATTACTTGGCACGTAGCCCTCAAAGTCAGAACTTGTAAAATTGGAAAATGCTGCATTTGTGGTGGTTGCGTTTGATGTTGTTTTTGAACTTTTTAAAACTCGAGAGGATGACGATTCAGTACTTCCTGTGCTGTTTCGTTTTTTCGTATTTTCCGATGTTTTCATGCTGGACGATGGAAGATAATCAATGTGTGACAACGGTTGAGCGTAATTGTTGGAATAGTCTGTAATTTTAAATTGACCTAGTTGGTGGTTGATCGCTTGCTGTGGTTGTTGGGAATTATGTGCAGAAGACGGGTTCATCACTGAAGTGGTCTGAGGAATAGTGGAATTGTGTGGCTGAGTTTGTTGGTGAGGTTTTTGAGGAGGAACGGTCATCATCATACTTCGTTGCGTGAGTTTCGAGGAGGAAGGCAACAGTGGTTGTGCTGAATTGAATGAGGAGTGATTGGAATTTACATTTAGGCCAATGGCTTGTTTTGGCTCATAATTCGAAAATTGAAAAACTGTAGTTGCATTGCTCTTTGATGTTGCTTTCGGAGTTGTTTGTTGTTTCATTGAGGGTGCATTGCTGCTGATATCTTGTCTAGAATTATTATTATGTACAAAAGATTGAGGCTCAAAATTATGAAATTTGATGTTTTTGTTCTTCCTAGGAGGTGATGAAAATTGTTGTTGTTGAGGTGTATTTTCTGGTGCCAGAGCTACTTGTTGAGAGATTGGAGGATGGAACGGAGTGGATGTTGTCGTGGGCAATGTGGTAGTTTGGGCGACAATTTTCGGAGATGCCACATGCTGCTGTTGAGAAGAGACCTCTTCTAGTTGTTGTTGTTGTGGTTCATGTACAGTATGAGGGCTCCTTTCGTGTTGTTGTTGTTGATAATCATTTATTGTTGTTGATGTTCTTGTTGTTTCTTGTTCATCGGTTGTAGAAGAAGGTTTGTTGGGTACAAGAGTTGTTGTTGTTGTTGCAGCTGAAGTCTGAATTTCATGGTAATCATGAAGACTGGATTCGTTGAAAACAACAACACCACCTCCATGATGATTGAACTTATTCAATTCATTGTTGTTCGTATTGTTGTAATTCATATTACTATTCATCAGCTTTCCAAATGGAGAAGAAGCAAAAGGCAATGATGATAACAACAAGGCTGCCGTTGAGGCAGAGAGGGGAGTACCGTTGCTATTTTCTTCTTTTTCATTGTCTTTGTTCGGCGGCGAAGCTTCCTCGTTACTTTGAACCGATCCAATGATTTCTCTTCTACTCTCCGAAGATACCCATGATGAGGATAGTTCTCGTTGATGTTGTGGTTCTTGTTCGGATAACAAAGATGATGATCCACTCATGGACGGGGCACCATCAACAACAACATCATAATCATCACGATTATTCGTATTGGTTGTTGTTGCTGTTGTCAGTGGTGATGGTGGCGGTGATGATGATAATGATGAGCGCATTTTTCAAAGAGGTTTAGAAATAGCCCGTCGCGCATGATGCAAAATTTGGAATTTGGTTGTTTTTGCATGTGTTGACAAATTTGGATTTTCAGATTCAGAAATAGAGAAAAATGATGAGGATGGTTACTCTCGAGGATGATGATGACCTTCGTACATAAACTTTGAGAATACCTCATTCCAAATTTCCTTTGCGTAGTCATTTCTAGAATCTGCTTCTTTTAAATAGAGTGGTTCCATAACATGTAAAAAACTGTGAATATTCCCATCTCCCATGCCACTATTATTGTGATTACTCGATGATGAATCGGTCTGAACTTTGACAGCCTCAATAAGAACAGCAGTGGTTGCATTGACTTGTTGTTGTTGGGGCTGATTAGTATTGAATTTCTTCTTCTTCTTCTTTGTTTGACTTGAAGATGTTGAGTGGTGAGAGTGAGTGGTGTGTTGTTGTGACAAGTCCTCTCCTCCGTCGGCATGTTGATCCTTCTCCATCGTCGTGCTTCCTTTTCGTTCACTCTTCGAGAAGACAAATTGAATTCTTCTCACTTCCAATCGATACTCTCGCAATGTGACGAGAATGTCTGACAATCTGCATGCACGATGAACCATGACGAATAGTCCATAATTTTTGAGTAGCTGGGCAGCACATGAAACGACATCTTTCAAGTTGCACTTGATTTCAAATTTAGCAATTGAGATGTGACTTGAACGATTAATGGCGCCTTCTTCAGGCCTGAAATATGGAGGATTACAGGTGACAATATCGAATTTTCCTTGTCCGGCCTGAGTGACAAAACCCTCGCATGTTAAATCGTCATGAATAATTTCAATGACCTTACTAGAACCCTCATTGAGCTCTAATGTTTTTTGTGCCAATGGAATGATGTCATCCTGAATTTCTACGCCCTTAATCATGCAAGGAATTTCTATTTTTGAAAATCGTTCATCAACACTCTCATGAAAGAATGAACATGTTTCATGGAACTTTTTGGATGCTCCTTGTTGTGTCTCACCATTTGAATTTAAATGTTCATGAAGTTTGATTGCTGTTGCATTTTCACAATTATGATTCAAAGAAGGTTCCATAATAATATTATCTTTCATTTGTTGCTTGATCGAATTCAAATACCTATTCCTTTTCTGTTGTTTAATTTCCTCTCTTTCCATAGCCAAATATTTCAATCGGTAATATAATAAAAGTGGAATGACTGCATTTCCGGTACATAGGTCCATAATTTTCAATGGTGCGTTCTGTTTCTTGACAATGACACTCTTCTTCTCCAACGGTACAAAACTTGCTAACAACACAGCATCGATCGAATGGGCACACACTCCCGATTGTTGAGCGAACTTAATTTTTGGATTACAATTTGCATAGTCAATTCGAAAGTTTGTTGTCGTCGTCGGTGAGTGGCCACCATTCGAACTTCCATCAGTACGAGATAAATTATTATTTGTCATGGATGAGTCTCCTCTTCCTCCTTCTCGATCAGATTCTGAATGAGAAGAGTCCTCTTTCAAATTTTCATCACAAGCCTGATGAAGATGATTTACGGAATGTTCTCGTTGAAACATTTTTTTTTGATGTGCGGTGCAATTTGGAAATCCATTCGAATGGATCCAATTGGGTTGATTTGTGTATGAGTGAGTGCATCCCTCTCATGTTGCCTCATGATGAATAGGATGCAATCCAGTCCTCTCGCAAGATTGAGAGTTTTCCGATAGCGTCATCCAAGCTCTAAGTTGTTGAAGATTTTACTAAATTTTGAAACAAAAAAATAACTTTAACATCATGTCTCTCGGAAAGTTATTAAATCGTTCATCGGAATGGAACAATAAGGAAGAGGTTTTGAAAAGTATGTATTCAGAAATGCAATGAATTGAATTCATTGGTTGAGTGGTTGTTATTTTCTTTACTCATTGTTATTATTTTACAATTTTACAATTATTTACTCTCGGATGATGACAACAAAATGTGGTATTATTTAAAAATTATATGACCCCTCTTGATTCTCTAAACAAATATACAATATATAGCCATCTACTGGATTAAACAAATTTATGCCATTATTAGCGGATTAGTTTTCGGAATTGTTCCAATTCTAGGATTTGTTGGATTTGCTAGCTTTGGCGTCTCCGTTGCTCTCATTTCATACAGCGTGGCTTACACTGTGATGCGAGTTTCTCAAAATGTCATTGATTCGCCAAGTACTGTCATTACTGAAGGAATGTTTCCTGCATTAACCCTTTTTATTTTGACTTGGACTTGCACTTATTCCTATTTACATGCATAGTCACCATGATATACATACCATTTCAATTATCATAATAATAATATTAATTATTACAATAATACCATTTAAATTTTGAATCAACATTTTAGAATTATTTAATGAATATATTTTCACAAAAAGCTAAACAAGCCAGAACTTAACAAGTGTGATATGAATTCAAATATTTATCTTCCTCACAACTTGTTATGACCATTCTTTCTTCTCATATACATAATCCAGTTTGAAATCCTCTCATCGTCTTGTTTTTCATATTTCAATCGATCATGCTGCAACTTTAGCTTCTTATCCATCCAATCCTCATCAATCATACTATACCATTCGGTATTCCTCGAGAAACCATCTTTCGACACGCTTCTCCATGAATTGTTGAAAATCCTGAACACTGTGAAATGGCACTTTGGAACCACCCATATATAAATATTCCCAAATACTTTCCTTCTCAGGAGAGCCATGACTCATTTCGTAGAGTTCGGGAGCGTCTTGAGAAGGATTACACGGTTGGAGAGTAATGTATTTACCTTCAATGAGAACATTGGGTGATGGAATTTGTGAAACATTGGACATTTTTATTTCGTGAATCCATAAATTTCACAATTCACTTACAATGATTGAATGCATGAACGTTCATGGCAAATTTGTGAAAATGGATTGAATGTGAAATTTCAGGCTTGCACTTGACCAGTCATTTGATTCAATGGGGGTTCTTCTTCCAAGATCTTTCATTTAATATCCTATGAAAACGATGTGTGTCCTTCCAGAAGGATTCTTCTCGATCCTTCTTTTTCCAGTTCCAGAATTGGAAAAACAGCACAATAGAAAAAAATGCTTACTCCGATGGTTGATGATCACGAGCGGAGTCCAGTTGGAGATGAATCTAAAAATCAATCAGTCGTATCATCATCACAGGCCTCAACCACCACCACCACCACCACTATCATTCCAAACAGTTCCACCATTGGCTCTTCCTCATTATCTATAAAACAAAATCTCAAATTCAAGCCTTCTCGGAAAGGTAGAGGCTCAGTGATCCGATCAAGAACGACCACATCATCAGTTCCGACTTCTACTCACGATGTAGAAACGAATAATCATAATAATAATCATAATAATACAACTACTGTAATGAATGGTGCTAGCATGAACTCGACAAATTCAAATTCCGATGAAAATGTTCAAGCCAATGATGTACTACAGATACTTCAAAACAATAATACTACTTGTACTTCTATTACTACTAACAATAACAACAACAACAATTATACACAACTATCAACCTCTGTACAAAGTAATTCAAGTCTCGGCGGAACTTCTACTACTAGTACAACCACGTCGAATCCAATGTTGGGTGGAAATAGTGTTAATAGTACAAGTTTTATGAATGGTGTTGGAATGGAAGGCTCCTCTCCTCTCACACACACACCAATGACAGTGAACAACAGAGGCAATTCGTTTTCCGGCCTCACAAAACATCAACAGATAGAACTTTCTCCACAGAATTTTTCAAAACGTTCTGGAAGTGTGGCCACCAGTTCTTTGAGCTCACCAATCAAGCCTGCTTCTAGTAAATTAACTTCCATGATGCAATCTCAGTATGGACCGACAGCGTGTCAGAAACAGTCATCATCCACAACAGCTGTCAATAATTATAACAAGAATGCCATCCTTGTGACACAATTTTGTGAGCAAAAAGGTCCCTCTTTTGTGTTTTGTACACAAATGATCAACTACATTCAACGTTTGAATGAGACTGAAAAATTTATTGAGGAACACAAACAACAATTTTCTCAAATGACGAAAAGTTCAATGTTTGACGATCAACAAAATTCCTCACAAAAACAAGAGCAACAGCAGCCAGAAACAAATGAACAAACGAATAATAGTAATACTTCAAGTCGGAGTTACATGTTGAATGGATCAGAGACTATTCCATCTCTTGCTTCAAAAGACTTGATCATTCATCTCCAACAATTTAATCCTAATTTATTTGTGGCAGAAAATTACTGCTCCACACCCAACTCAAAAACGACAGACTCTTCTCAAGACCACTTTCAACAATTAATAATGCTTTCCTCGATCGAACAATTCACAATGGATAAGGAAAATGACCGAATATTTGTGAGTTCACATCAAGAAAATTCCACATTTTCTGCACATTTTAAGTCTCTCGCAATTCGAAGTACCTCTGCAGAAATATCAGTAGGCCAAGGAAGAGAAGGTCCCGTTTTGTTCGGAGATGAAATTAATGGCTACAATTTTGCATACATTTTCAAAGTGAAAGACAGTATGGCAAGAGGTTTTGCTCGGTGGTTTGCTTTTGTTTTGATGGATCCTTCCATGACACTTTTGTCCATCTGTTGGCCCTTTCTCAAAACTGCATTTGGAAAAATTGTAAAATTAATTCGTACACGATCACAACAAATATTTCTGGAGGAAAAGGAAAAACAAAAACGATCTGGCTCTTCCAATGCACTCAATGAAGAAGGAAATAATGTGGAAGATCATGGATATAAGTTTTTCCATGCTGGAGGTCCACTCTCTGCAGATTTATTTCGACAAAAACGTTCTAAAGGCCCAATGCGAGATTTACCAATTCTATTGAATTACCCAAATTTTTATTCGGATTTACATTCTTGCTTCGCTGGACTGCTGCAGTCATTCCAGAACAAAATTTCAGAGGTTCAAATTCCAAACTTTCCCTATGAAAAGATTGACATGCAAAATTTTCAAACACTACACAAAGTGTCGTCGTATACGCAAATGCAACGAATTGAGTCGTTTTCAAGTATTGTGAGCGAAGTGAGCGAATGGGACTATTCAAGTGGATTTAACACTCTCTCTGATTTTTCCAAACTCATTCATCAATGTATTTTAACAAAACTCTCTCTAGATGGTAGCAATAACAATTTGGATCATGTCACACATGGAATTGACTTGATTGATTCAGATGACTTAATAGAGGAGGCGTATCATCAAAGCGAAGAACTAATTCGTACAATTATATACAATGTAATTATTGGAAACCAATTGATTGTGAGAGGCGACGATCCTCAATTAAGAAATGAAATTTGTTTGCTATTTAAGAAGTTAGTGCCTTCCCACTGTGCCAAGGTCATTCTCGATAGCGAAACATACAAATATCCCTACGATGCAAATTTTTTAACCGTTCCAACCAGCGTCCAAATTTCTAATAGTATTGTGGATTTCAAATTTGTGATTTTAATGAATTTGACAGGATCACTGGCATCCTTAGAGAACATTACAATTCATACCGAAGAGGAACGAAAAGACACAACACTAGGCAAAGAATTCGAATTGTTATTCTTTCAAAATTTTTATCAACAAGTTCAACAACAACATGCATGCTTTAATGTGACTTTGAGTCATATTTTAGATATGGAACAGCATTTGATACAGAGTTTAGTCCATGATTGGACCAGGTAAGTGAATATTTTTAGTATATCATCGAATTCTATGTAAACTATCAAAAAATGAATATATTATGAAAATATTAATGACACACATCTTTATATATTACTAATAATTAATACATTACTATGACAATTATTGATGTAATATATATTAATGTCAAACACCTTCATCATTTATATGCAAAATGATACATCAGAAAGGCAAGATTTTTCGTTTACTTTCAAAAGAATAAGCTTCTTCTCAAAGAAGGGCATCAACATGCAAAACCATTGCACATTGAAAACTTTTTGAATGAACACAAATTTAATGAGAATGACATTCCTGTATTGCGATACTTTTCCAACTCGTACCATCCCTAACTCTTATTGATCCACCAGAGAGGAGTATCAATTAAAAGCTAATGCTCCTATACAGAACACTAATGCATAAGTGACACATAAATAACAAGTTTATCATTAAACTCCACTCTTTGGAAATGTAAAGGTCACTGGCTTTGACTCCACAATGGAATATTTTGGTTTGTACGATCCAACACATGGGAAATCATTATTTTTTGCCATGTCTTTTCTTCGTTTCATCCTTCCCATGTCAACAAAACCAATCTTGAGATTTTGTCCTGGCTTTACGTTTTCCAAGACCTCATTTGGATCTAGTTGGAAATTGTGCTGGGCTTTGAATAATTTGGTCTTATTGTTGTCTCGCGGCAGCTGACATCGAATCAGCGGGTCTCCCTTAATTCGCTCCTCCACGAGCGTTCTGGATGCGTCATAAAAATTATCAATGTTTTCCTTTGGGTTGTACCTCATTTGAATGGGTGCTTTCCATTTATCTCGGCTTGTGTCAGTTCCAAAATTGTGTGAATTGGTCGATTTGGAGCTCCAATCCTCTTGTGGGACGTAGAACTTGTAACTGTCATCAACTTTAGGTTGTTGCATTTCAGGAGTTTGCTTTTTCTTCTTTGGTGGCATGCAAGAAATGTTTCTGACTCGTTCGAACTTGGAAGAAGCATTTGGTTGAACAATATAATCCAAATCATTTCCTAATGGTGGTTTTGCAGCTAGCTTATGTCGATCGATTTGTTTGTCCATATAACACATAAAAGGAATGTTAGGATGAGTTTTCGAATAGGCATTCATTTCACTATTGAGACCCATAGAATCTCCTGCATTCTTCTTGTCCTTCTTGAATCGTTCAACTTCTTGCTCAGCGTCTCGTTTCTTTTGAAATTCAGAAGCATTGAGTTGGTTGTAGTAGGCACTTGGTGTCCATAACATTCTCTTGTATGGAGGAGTTTCCTCACGTGAAATGTGCTTGTCAAAACTAACCACTCTCTCGAATGTTTGACGTTCGTTTCCGGGTGCTGTCGATAATTTAAGAGTATCTTCAGGATTGGAGAGGTGAAGAATATGCCAATTTGGCATGGAGAGTTGAGGATTGTTTTCGATATCGGTCTTTACAAGTTCGGTGTTCATTCGAGAGCCTTTTCGTGCAGTTTTTCGGTCACTAGATTTACCAAAATCAATAATACCTTTCGAAATGGTTGGACTATATACATCAGGGTTAATTGTATCATACATTAAATCTCTCATGTTTGGTTTGGTTTTGTTTACATAGAGTTCAGAAGCCTTATTTCGATCGAGGCTCTTGTCAAAGACAAGGGTGGATCTGTCTTCCTGGAATTTGACAAAATCTTTTTGAGGACCTGTTTCGAGAAATTCATTCTCATACGAAAATCTTCTCTTGTCATGACCATGAGCTCTCGTTGTTTTTGATTTGAACTGATAGGTTGTTCCCTTTGCATCATTGGTCGACAATTTATCTCCTTCAAGATAAAACTTGTAATTTTCATCAATCACTTGCGGTTTTTCTTGATGAGGAACCCATTTGAGAACGAGTTCCTTTTTATCAATTAAATTATAATTTATATCATATTGTCCGGGTGTGGTTTGAATATTTTCATCTTTTCGATAAATGGGTGCCTTATCTCTTTCGATGGCCTTAAAACTTGAAGTGCATGCCGTTTGAGGTCGTTTCACTTTCTTTTCAATCATATTCTCCAGAGCTTCTTTTTGTTTTGCTCTCCGACATAATTGAGCGGACCTCATTTGCCGATCGGCAATCTTCTTCTCACTCTCATCAAAATGTGAATACAACTCTTTCCGAGAGCCTGCCAAAAATGTTGCACTCGAACTTCCGGCCTTACTCACCGACCGATCCACTGAACCCACAATTTGAGCTACTTTTTTCATGTAATCCTCTTCTTGAGCCAACACGGGTCGTTGTGGCAGCAAGAGAGATTGCGTCATTTTTTTTACGGTTTTTCTTTCGAAAGAGATTTTCCGTTACATTTGAATTCAACGAACTGTAAATTTTATGGAATTTATCATTTATTTGAAAAATACTTGATTTGTGGTTGCAAGAGAACATTTAATTTCATCATCGTTCGACATTGAATCAAGGAAGCTAAACCTTTTTGTGTTTATTCCTTTCAAACACGGAAACTAACACAAGAATGATAAGATTTGGTAAGGTTTTGTAAAATTTCGAAAATTCCCGCCATTCCCAACCGTTATAAAGATTTCATTCAGAAACCAATCAAGACTCATCACAAAAAAAACACCAAACACATCTCTCACAACAACAACAAACTTCTCTCTCTAAATTGTACATTCTTTTTTCATACAACTATGGCCGAACACGATATCAGCAAGGAAATTAACTACAGCGACAAGTACTATGATGATCAAAATGAATATCGCCACGTTACTTTACCACGTGATTTTGGTATTCAAGTTTATAAACATTTTGGTGGACAATTACTTTCTGAGAATGAATGGAGAAGTATCGGAATTGAAATGTCCCGAGGATGGATTCATGTAAGTATTTGGCAATATTAATCATTTGTAATGTCAAATTTCATAATGACTTGTTGACTTTTGCAATATATTATTATATACAAAATTTTGCTTCGAAACTCTGTTTACGTCACATGATGATGATTGTGTGGTATTCATACTAATAGTATGGATATTCTCCATCCGAACATCACATTCTCCTCTTTTACAGAAAATACACTGGCACAGGCGTCACTCCTCGTGTCAAACAAGAACAACAATATCAAAAGATTATCGAAGAAAGAGAACAAAATGTGTAAGAAACAGTGTTGCCGCTATGAATGACACAAATTGACTTGAACCTTCTTTGACAATATCCAATGGGTCTTTTATTCATTGTTGATCCTATAATGATCGTGTTAATGTCATTGATCATGTCCTTTGCTTTGAATAAAAGATGACCTTTGTTTGTCCATTTGGAATCAATGATTTTATTGCAAGAGTTTCTGTCATACAATTAAGAATATAAGACCCTATAGAGGGGGATGGAGTACGTCACTTATATTCTCTTCTGTCTTTCCAGAAAGACGACTTTTCTTAAACATTTGAATGAACATTTTCATCCGAAAGGTACATTCTTCCTGAACCAATGGGTGATGGAAAATCCATATACTTGGGCAAATCATCTGGAATGTCAATCACTCGATTCTCATAATTCACATGATACTCTGGTGTGAAAAATTGCTTAGTCACTTGATCAACTTCCTTTTTCAACACTTGATCCCTCGGACAAAATTCTTGTTTCATTTCATCATAGACACAAGCAAAGGTACTCACAAATGGATAATTCAAACCTCCCTGAGCCACATGTCCACCACAATGTCCACAATAATAGACATCCATTTGGTCTGAAATTTTAGCAATTCGTAACCAAGTTTCTTCACCTTGAGTCCATTCGAAATGGTCTTTTGAAACTCCAATCACCATGGACACAGGAGCACTCGTCGCAAGTCGACAATGTCTACAATGACACAATGAACGATACTCAGTCGAGTTGTCTTTCACAGAGAAACGTAAATTTCCACATCGACAAGAGCCAGTGTGTACTGTCATGAAGGATGGAGTGCTGATGATTTGATTATTGTGGTCAATGACTTGCATCATGGGATGGACAATTGTGTTTTTTTTGAAGTGTGTTTGATTGTTGTGACCTTTCCAAATTTATGGAAACAGATTTTTTGAAGGCCTTCAAGTGGAAAAGTTCGAGAGTGTGCTCGAAGTGTTTTGTTCTATATTTTTGTGAATCAACATTCATCCGCTTTATTCTTAAAGAAGAAGACACAACAACAACACCAAAATTAATAGATGAAGCTGTCTTATTATTGGCATTGACAACATTCCAAGTCCTGAGATTGACATGCATTCCAATATTAAGTTCCACAACCTGTCAAATAATTAAAAAAATTCAGGAATGAGTTTATTGAATAATAAACGGGTTATGTGTGCTCAATTAACCGACTAAAGAATGTCTGTTTGGGTTTTTGAGGATGTTGAATAAGCGTTGTCAGAGTTGAGCTTGCTAGGCTGATTGGTAATATTTTCCCAAGCGGTTGCAAATTTTGCAGTCTTGGGTTTAATAATATAGCCTCTAGCTTTCTTAAGCACAGTAGAACTGTTCCAAGTAGCGTTTTTGTAACAACTACCAACATAGGCAGCGAATGAGAGATATATTTCGTTAATCCAATCAGTCAAAGCTGGGAAAGGTAAATTAATTGTGGTTGTAATGATTTCTCTTGAATACTACCATTCCATTCCATTAGAGTAATCAGTAGAGTGTTCTGAGGGAAGACTAATTAAAGGGACATTGAATTTGAGAGAACTGTCGTCCCATTTGGAGTATAATAATTTGATTTCAAGACCACACATGTTATAAGAAGTAAAAACATAATCCCAATTGGCCTTGGAATTGCATATGTGGCAATTTGGATAATCTTTAACAAAGTCTCTAAGAATTTCTGCTTTATGTAAATGGGCAAATAGTAGTCTTTGTTGGAAGGGTTTGAGTGAATAATTATTCCAAAAGGAGGTAGTACATGGATGCCAAGTTCTATTAAGGTCTAAGGATCCAATGCCTGACATGGTGAAGGATAATCTATCATTATTGAGTAATTCAGTTCTAGGGTCAATTGGAACTTCATATTCATTTACAAATGAATTTTGGTCGTCAATATATTTAAGGAACCAGTTATTTTTTGCGGCTATAGATTTAACAATCTAATCCAATATGGTTCGTCGAATGTAGAGTCATTCCAGGCAGCAAGAGCAATGTTTTTGGTAATGGTAGAAGGGGAATTAAAAAATCTAATTGCTGTACAAATAGGTTCCACAGAGAATGAAGTTAAGGGAGCACAGTGAATTGTGTACTCCCTACAACTCCCGTGAAACCTTAAGCCGTTCCCCAACGACCGACATTCGCTCTCAACCTTAACGCGCGACGGGACCGTCTTGCCTCGATTTCAATTTCCAACTGGAGTACGCAAATTGAAGTTGGATCACTCCCTTTGATCATCTTGAAGATCGAAAGATTTTCAAAGAAAAAACAATTTTGAAAGTCATGATGGATTTATTGGAACGATTTAATGTAATTATTGTCGTGAAAATTTCGGGAGTGGAGAAAACAGAACTGGAACAATTACGAAGAGAATTGTTGATCTCAAAGCATGTTTCTTCTTCCGAATGGTTTGTAGGAAAACATTCTCTCACTCATGAAAGGTTGAAACGTCACCTTTCAAATCAAAAGAAAAAATTTCATATTACGAGAAATGATTCTAGTCATTCCTCAACAAGTTCCTCACAAATTCAAAATGATTATGAGTCACTATTGATTTCAGCCCTCACAAAATTGAAGGAATTACTTGTTGGACAAATCGCCTTATTGTTTACCAATAGTTGTGAAGATTATTCAAAATTGAAGAAGGAAATGACACGACATGTGAGCATCAAACCAGCTCGAGTAGGATCTATTGTGAAAGAGGATGTCTATTTTCAAGGACCTACTCGTTTGGATCCCATGTGGATGTCCATGTTTCTTCAAAATAATATTCATCCAAAAATTCGTATGGGACAAATAGAATTTCCGAAAAAACGCCAAATTCTAAAAGCCAATGAAGATTCTCATAAGCCAATTGAATAATCATTCTCAAATTGAGCAAATTTAACAGTTCAATCTTTTCCCTCGAACAATGTGGAACCGTTGTATGTATTTAACAAAAAGGAAGCATTTGTTGTATCGGATGAACTATTGGAACATGATTGGTTTGAGCAGTGTGTGGAGACAGCCAATCAAATGACAGCTCTTTCATTACGAATCAGAGCCTGAGTTGAATGATGACTTGTTTGATTTATTTGGAGTGTAATTTGTTAACATGGAGCATTTGTTCATGTCTTGATGTTCTCCAAAGAGAGTAGAGAAAAATAATTATTCGTGAAGGCTTTTCCTGAATAAGGTTTTACTTTTGCAATTAGTGCTAAATTTGACATCTCAAAAAGAGTTCAACTTGTCAAATTGTTATTCATAGAAAAGAGTTGTAAACCTGAGGCCTCAGGTTAATAACTTCCTTGTTGCCATACTGAATTTCCATTCAAAGGTTATTATCAGAAAAGAGATGTTCGAAAAACAAATGAATTCAAATTGTAAACCAAAGTTCCGTGTCTCCGTGGAATGAACGTTTCAATGTTCATCACTCACATTTATGATGTTGATCAAACAATTTCCATTACAAAAAATGTCAAGCGGAATACAACCGAGACGTTTATTCAAGTCCGTTTCATCCTCAACATCATCCTCATTATGGATATCTCGGAAAGGTCCATTCACATCCTTATGGTTAGCCTTGTTGTTGGGCAAGATGAATTCGAGCCATCATGATACTTTGGATCATCATCGGCTCTATCATGGATCATTCTTTAGAAATCAAAACAATCAGGATCAACGCCAACAACAAAATCAACAACAATATTATTATTATTACCACCCTCAGCATGCTGGTTATTCACCATCAACAGCAATCAATAATAATTTAAAAACAAATCCCGATCCGAACATCACCACCATGGGCTCGCAACAAAATTCTCCCATTGTCGTACAACATCTCATTCAAGATATTAATTTGGAGCGCCGAAAACGTAGACGATCCAACAGGATTATTTTCTTCTTGTTGATCATGTTGGGTGTTGTCTCTTTTGAATATTGGAAATTATATGAAAAGTTTAATCAGAGATTCAATTTTGAGGATTTAAACAAGTTATTCCGAAAAGATCCATCTCTATTGCCAGAGGAACTTCCATTTTGGATTAGTCGTATTCTTCCTAAAAAATCAAAACCTACCGATGAAGAAGAAGGTGAAGTCAAGAGTAATGTTGATCTCAATTCAGAAGAATTGAAAAAGTGGTTGCAAATTGCAAAAAACTTGAAACAAGAACGTGAATATAATGATTGCATTCGAATTTTGGAAAATATTTTATGGAAATATCCAACATCTTTTGCAGCGAGAGAATTGGTAGGTTTGCTGTTGTCAAGTATAGTGTGTGATACATAATCATTTGCTTTAACTTTTTTTTTCACTCTTCATTGTCAATGAAAATCTGCCCTCTGATATATTTTCATCAAATTTGAATATTGACCACTCAATAGTACGCTCTTGTGTTATTGGACAAAGGACTTTACCGATCTGCATTGAAGCAATTCGAGAATGCTGTCATTTATTCAGCTACTCCAACCTCAGAAGCTTCATGCTACAACAATATGGGGGTGTGTCTTTCAAGACTGAAACAGCACAAGGAAGCAGTAGTTTGTTATGACCAGGCCATTCAAACAGCGCCTTTTGACGCTAAAAATCGAGGACTGTACTTCTTCAACAGGGCCATTTCACATCAACACAACGGAGATTATCAGTTGGCAATTCAAGACTATTCTCGATCGATTCAATGGGAGGAGGGACCAGAACAAAATGCTAGCTCACTATCAAAAAAGTACAAGCAACGCGCTACCTGCTACTTTTTACTCAAACAATATGAAAAATCTGAACGGGATTACACTCAATGCATTCACTATGAAGAGCAAGACAAGAATGTAAACATTAACCACAAAGCGGAAACTTATTATTTGAGAGCCAAAGATTATAGAAAGCTCAAAAATTACACATCGGCCCTTGCAGATCTCGATCGAGCTATTGAGCTCAAGAAAACAGATCCTGCATTATTCCATGCTCGAGCTGTCACCTACAGAAAACTAGGAAATTATGAAAAAGCTTTAGAAAATCACAACATGGCTCTCCATTTAAAATCAAATTCAGCCAAGTACAAGGATAGCATGAATAAGACGAATCTCTTGTTGCAACAAGAACGTGCTGCACTGTCGCAACAACAACAACAACAACAACGAACTCCTCCATCAACCTCTTCGGAAGATCATCATATGTCCAACAGCAGTACAGATTCCACGTCGCCACCATCGAATATTGTCGCAGGCAGTGGCAACACAACAAATCTCACCAGTAATAACAATAATACCATTGTTCCAAGCGGTGAAGTGAATAAATAATTTAATAATTGTATTACATAGATTGTATAAGTGAATAATAAATAATAATAACAATAATAATATTATAATTTAATAATTGATGATGATAGACTCAACAACGACAATTTTGTAAATCCAAATTGTCACTCAGAATCGTCTCTCCTCGCCCTCACAAGTGTCACCAATCACCAAAAAAAAACATTTGAAAAAACGATACTGTTGGCATCTCCTTGTTCTCTCTCCATCTCACAGACAACTAGCATGCTCTCCAAACTCAAAGACTCCTTGAAAAAGAAGACGAGTGGAAACAAAACAAGCGGAGGAGACTCTTCCTTCGACTCTGCTTCTGACAATTCCAATTCCCAATTAAATATTGACACTAATCACTCCGTTGCATTGAGTGGTTTGGCATTGAATGATCATTCCTCATCGAATGCCTTCGAGTCAAAAAAGAAGAGTGTTCGGAAAGTTGAAAATGAAGGATATTTATTGATGCAATTAATTGGGGCCACAAATTTGAAAAGTGCGGATGTGAATGGATTGTCAGGTGAGTTTTTAAATGTGAACATGTTTACATGTGTTATCATCATCATCACGCGATATGATGGAAAATGTTATGTCTCGACTGTTGATTGTGAAAATATCTCTCATGATTATTTCTTTTTGAATGATCTTTTTGAATGAACGGCATGATGTGAATGGGATGATGACACTTTCAGATCCATTTTGTTCGATTCGTGTGAAAAATTCTCGATTGAGTGAATCGGTTGAACAATTTCAAAAAACAGAAGTCCTCAAAAAGACACTTGGTAGGTGATGAAATAGTCATGACGATTTCACATCTTATTGTTCATATGAACACAAAAAATGATGATTGTAAAATTCATAGATCCACGTTGGAATGCATTTTTCTTTTTTGATGTTATTGAGCTTGCTGGCACTTTTGTTGAATTTGAAGTTTATGATTATGATCGCCTTTCAAAGAATGAGTATGTAGTAAGAATTAATTGTTATTTATCGATGACAACTCGACCACTTGTCATCCTTTGTTTGAAATTCAATAACATTATGACATTTCAGCTTATTGGGAGGATGTGCTTTCAAATTAGCATTATTAACTCCATACATTCAAACAGAGTTATCCATCGGCCTCGATACTCAAGGAAGTGTTGAATGCAGTTTAATGTACATTCCACAAAATGCGTTTGGATTTCTCATGAAGAAATGTATTGAAACAAAATCTTTATATGTCGATAAGGAATTTCCTGGTACTCTTTCATCCATTTGTTCAAATGAGGATTTTTTGAGAAATAGAGGAATTGAACCTTCTGCAGTTCGTATGTATTGTGTACAGTTCATATGAATGTCACATGTGAATTCGTGTGAATTTTGGTAATTTATTATTGTTTACTTTGGTTTTATTTATTATTACTACTGAATATGCTCATGGTTTTTACATGATTTTCCGAAAATGTAAAAAATTGTCTTGTCACATTTCCTGACATTCAAATTGCAATCATGGTTTTAATTTTTGGACATGATTCAATCACACAAATTACAATGATACTAATGATTTTTTGGACATGATTCAATCACAGACTGGATGAGACCCAAAGACTTTTGTAAAGGAAGTTTAAAACCAGAATTATTCTTGGCAGGTATTGAACCAGCAGATATTCGTCAAGGTCGTGTGGGAGATTGTTACTTTTTAGGAGCCATTGCTGTTGCAGCATTGCATCCAAAACTCATTAAGGCACTCTTTATTCCATCAGCTTACAATGAATATGGAATTTATCAAATCCGATTGTTTTATAATGGCATGTGGCGTGAAATCATGATTGATGATTATGTACCCATGATTGTTTCGAATAAGATTGAAAGTAAGACACGAAGTAATTTTGCACCATTGTTTGCGAGATCGATCGATATTGAAGAATTGTGGGTGATTTTATTAGAAAAGGTGAGTGTGAAAGTGGTCAAAAGTTATTAACTTTTTTATGGAAATGATTTCACCACACACTTGGTTAATGTCACTCCATTTTCGATGAATTGTGACAAATTGTCACTACTGTCACTCTTCACAGGCCTATGCCAAACTACATGGCTCTTACGAAGCCATCGAAGGTGCTCATTCCATTCGTGAAGCTTTCGAACACTTGACTGGTGGTTGGAGTGACGCCATCGATCTCAATCCCTACGCAGAAGGTAAAAAAGACATGACTGAACTCTTCAACTCAATGCTCGAATGGAAAAAATGTCGTCACCTCATGGCCACATCCACCACAAGTGACTCTGATTTTGATTTTGAAAATACTCTCATTCCCAACGAACATGGAATTGTTCCAAAACACGCCTATTCCATTCTCGATGTTCGTTTCATTTCAAAAGATGATTCTCCTGAAGGAATTCCTTATCGCTTAATTAAATTAAGAAATACTTGGGGTAAAACGGAATGGCTTGGAAAATTTAGTGATGCATGGGAGGGATGGACTGACACGTTGAAACGACGTTTGAATTTAGTGAATAGAGATGATGGAGCATTTTGGATGGGAATTGAGGATTATGTTCAACAATTTAATTATATTTATGTGTGTCGAGTGCCCATCACCAAAGAAGTGACAGGTGCCGATGGTTTCATGAAGGAAATTTCAGCCATTCCTTCCAATTCATTGAATGAATCCACCAATGCCGACTCGACAACGACGACACGTTTGAAAATTTCAGATCGACATCAATATACCATTTTTGATAAGAAAGGAGGATCATGTGAATGGAATCACCAATTATATCAAAATGCTGGAGGACAAGCTTATTTTAAGGATACCTTTTTCCATAATCCTCAATTCAGACTTTCTTTGGAATTGCCTCCCATCATGAATGAAATGAGTGGAAATGGTGGAGAAGAAACAACACTTGGTTCCTTGTCACCTTCTTCTTCTGTGAATTCACCACAAACTTTGAGTTCACCTGGAACATCCTCCACGTCCTCCACATTGGGTCGAAAACTTTCCAAAGATTCCAAAGAGTCTATGGTGAGAGTCATTCTCAGTATTCGATTATTGGAAGAGTCTTCTTCTTCTTCACAAAAACAACAACAACCTCAAGAAAGTATGACACGAAAACGAAATGCAGCAGCTTCCAAACAAAATCCAATTGGACTCTATATTTACAGAAATCGAAAGGCTGTGAAAAGTGGAAAATATGGAATGATGGATTTTCCATCTCAACAAGTGGATGTGATTGGAGAAACTTCCATGAAAAAACTCACACGCGATGCTGTGGAAGTTTATTTGCCACGTCCCAATGTGAAAAAATATGAACAAGAGAAGGCAGAAGGTTTGCATGATTATACAATTGTGGCGTGTCGATGGTATCCACAAACAGAGGGATCCTTTGCTGTGCAGGTGTGTTCAGATTACAAGTATATGGTTTTTGAATCGTTGGAAGGTGGAAGTGGTGGCAGTGGAGGAGGAGGAGGAGGATCAAATGTCACACGTTCTGCAACGGATTTCTTTAAAAAAGTCATTAAGAGTGAATGGAATGGAATTGATTCGTGTGGAGCTCATTGGCAAACTTCAACTTTTAGTACCAATCCCAAGTTTTTGTTGCAATGTTTGCCTCAACCTTCTGTTCCAAGTGCTGGTGGTGGTGGCGAAGGAGGGGTTGAACAATTCTTGAAAAATCCAGTGAATATCTATGTCGAGTCTGAAAATTCGAAAATTCCCTTCTTTCCCTATGTGGTTTCATTGGCCAAGTTCAAGAAATGGATGCAACAATCGGTGCCACAACCTCTCACGAAGGAAGAATGTGCTCTCTTTCCACCGAATGGGAATGAATTTTTCACCATTCGTTCCTCGTTTGATTGTGAATTGGCCACTCGTCGAGACAAGCCAGTATCGTACTTGTTGATCATGGGAACACCTTACAAGATGAGTGGAAACTTTACAATTGTGATTAAGAGTCAATATGAAATTACTGCAGAACAGGTGTCACTTTAAGGGGGTTTGCGCCAGTATTCTTCAATCGATTTAATAATGTTTATAAATTACTTCGACCCAATTGCTCAGTTCTTCAAAATTTTGTCACATACTTTATTGGGCAATTCCACAACAAGTCAGTCTCAGTTCAACAAATGATGACTCGAACATGGTGGTTGAATTCACAACAACAATCTCTTAAATTGCCTTCACAGACAAATTGAACTTTTCCACATAGTTCTTTCTACATTGCATCTCTTCAACTGTTCCCAAGTTACGATTGAATGGAGTCCATACAGGCTCAGTCATAACCTCCAAAAACAAACGCATGGCAATTGCATACTTCTTCTCATCCAATGTAAATCTATGATAAATTCCTGCAGGAAGAACCAACAAATCACCAGCCTCCACATGAACTCTAATCCATTCATCTTGTTTATCTCTGACATCGAAAATTCCACTTCCATCCACAATATATCTAATTTCTTCAAATTCATGAACATGTTCTTCAAAGAATTTTGGTAACATTTCATCAATATTTGGCATCTTCTCTTTGAAGAGATAAACCATAGAACGATGTCCATATCCATGTTCCTTGCAAATTTCTTGAATACGACCTTCATAGTCATGATGATCAATATAGGTATACATGACTCCGATGGTTGATTCCAATTCTTCCAAAGATACCGATTTTTCAGGCTGTTCCAAATAATAGGCTCTCACCATTTTCTTCGTGTGTATTCTGTTTATTCTGGAATGATGATAGGTTTTGTGTCGACTGTCCTCTTTTCACTTCGCGTGTGTCGTGTCGGTCGTGTTGGAACGAATGATGATGATGATGACGATCACGAATTTTCGTGTTGTTATTTTTTTTTTGTAGTGGATTCGAAACATTCCGAAGCAGTTGTGATGATGAAATTTAAAAGAAAGAGCGAATGAGACACTAACAACAAGAACAACAGGAACATATTGGATGTTGAATGGGCCCTCTTTAATACGTCCTAAGTCCGGATGTAGTTTTGTTGTTCATAGCATAAATTATTTCACTCATGAGATTGATTCGAATCATGCATGGCCACTTGTTCAATTTATTGGATGACAAGGTTGAAACAAGATATTTGTGAGATTACAAATAATCCAAGTTTGAATATTCATCGAGTGTTCGATGAGCGCCAACACCAACACCATTCACACCAACACCAACACCACCACTACTACTTGCAGAAGAGGAACCTGCTCGAGCAGCAATGTTTTTCGAATCGAGCAAGGCATTCACAATTTCGTCATCCTTACTCATGTAAGAGCTGAATCGTTTGTGATGTTGCAATGCATGTTGTAAATTTTCAATTTTGAATGCTTGATCTTTGAGAGTGGCATTTTCTTTTTGTTCAACCGTTTCGTCAGATTCTGCTCTCTCCAATGTCATGGAACGAAGAGTTGGGAAGAAGGTAATGTATTGTTTTTTAGCCAATTCTGCCACGTATTGTTCAATTCCAGTGTATTCACTCGGATCCTTATTTTCTAAATAAATTAAATAAAAGACATAATTCCACATGTTGTGTTCGTGTTTGATGTGACCTTCGAAACTAATGCCTTCATTGGCTCGAACGTCAAATCTTGACTTTTTGTGTGAACAAATAAAGCAACATCCAGTCTTTTCTTGTTCCAATTCGGCTTTCTCTTCTCTTCTCTCGCTGAAACTGTCAAGCACAATACCAAACACAACGTTCACCAAGAGAATGATAATCAATAGTGAAAAGTATAAATCAATAAAGATACGAGGTACATCGAGAGGGTACTAAATAGTTTTCGATGGGAATGAAATAAATGGGAAAAGGACGTGTGGTGTTGCATCATGTGACATGAAAAAAACACATTCAATATGCACACACAAATTTTCACACAATGACAGAATATATACATGAATGGAAAACACACAAACAAATACTTACAGCATCAGTGATATCTTCCCAGAAACCACCACCTCTCAAACCATAGTTAACAATGGACATGAAACAAGTCAGAGTTTCCGTACACACAATGGTGTTGTTGAACTTGAATTGGTCATATTTGAAGCTAAACATCAAGAAGGTATGCAACAACACAGCAAATAATGTGAGAACTGCAGTGTAGAACAACTTTTCATAGTTCTGACCGATCGCAAGAATAATGTCCAGCAATCCATCAGGTGAGAGAGCAATAATTTCAAATGTCAATACAATATACGCAAGCGGTGTCACAAATATTCCAATCAAAATGACCCAGAAGAATAAAATAATTCTCCATATATAGAGATCTTGTAAAGCATAAAGCAGAACATTGTAAATGAAACCTTTCGTTCTGGTGACATCACTCCAATTTTCATCCATTTTCAGTTTAAACTTCTTCTTAATATTCAACGTAAGGAAGAAGTATAAATAAATGGCAGCAAGACCAATATTTGACCCTAGTAAAATCAAACCTAAAATTTCAACAATAATTCCAATAGCTAAATAATTATAATTGTTTCTGTAGAGTGGACTTTGAGAGTCTAGTGACACTCCTGGTACAATCACAGGACCAGAAACGACATCAAATTGTTTGGTATAAGTCGCAAGGACTAAAATGTTGATAAGAACGGCCAACAAAAAGACACCAAGTCGGATATGATACCAATACTTTTCAGTAAGCTTCCATCCACGTGCATTGAAACCGTTCGGGTTATCCATGAGCCTCTTCAAGTGACCCATTTCCACACTAGCAATTTGGTAGGTCCAATCGAAGAGGGATTTCACTTTGGTTTGTGGTGAACTTCTGTCACATGACTCAATAAATTCGTTTTTCGTTGTTTCTTGTAAATGTCTGCAACGTTTCAAAATCTTGAAATGGACCTTTTCCAACACATTATCACGAACAACTTCAATTGTACCAACTTTTGTGTTGTAGAATTTGAGCCATACTTTACCAGTTTCATCAACTTGATCAATGCTCTTATCATTGGAATCCAAATATTCCGATGAAATGATTGAAAAATCAAAATCTAGATATTTAAGCAAAATGACAATGGAAATTCCAATATTTTGAGATTTCCTGAGAGCTTCTTTGAGCCGTTCTGGCTTTTTTTCAATGGTCAAAATTCGAGCCAGCTTGTTTTTGAAGGCCACATTGCCTTTTCTAAAGATTACCATCAGCTTACACAATGCTTTAAAGTCAATCGTTTTCTTAATATAGTTCTTTGAGATTTTGTTTCCACCTTCGAGCATACTGGTGAGAAGAATGATAATTTTCTCTAAAAGTTCAAGTTCATGATCTAATACATCTAAATGACAATCTACGTCATCAATGTGGATAATATTATCATCAGGAATATCTATGATGTCTCCATCCTCAGGATCTAGAACTTTTCTCGCTAAAATTTCATTAATCACAGTCAAGAATCTTGTAGAAGAGGCCAATTCAATGGAGGTTTCAATACATGGTCCTTGGATCATTTCATTGAGAGTATCGAATGCCTGAATGAAGTTGTCCACACTGTCATTACTCAAATACTTGAACAAGCTAATGACATATTCAACACACTCTGAAACCAAGTTCACAGATACAGAGTTGAAAGGTTGGTTATACAACATTTGTTGATTTGGTAAAAAGTGACCTTCACAAAGTAGTTTGAGGAAAAGCAACACGTCTTTTGCCTGACTATTGTCTTTTCCACTGCTAAACGAGGAAGAAGTGGTACTACGTTTTCGAAGGGAGAAGTGTTCCTTGACTTCGTATGTCGATTGACGTAATCGATTTCTAATAGCCACAAAGAATGATTCATAACTTCCACTGCTGACAATGGTATTCACCACTTTACGAGTCTCTATCGAATTTAACATTTCATGAGATAGTTTAAGGGCATGTGAAACAATGTCATATTCAGCAGTAAGTAATTGTAATACCAACTCTGGAATACCAGTGTCAACCACAAATTCAGGTTTCTGATCCTTAATGGCATACTTGATGGTTTCAACGGCACCCACAAAGGTCTCAACTAAATCTTTGGAAATACCAATGGACATAATTCGTTGTAGAACCTCAATGAGACATTTGAAGTGACCTCCATATTGTTCAACAAAAGATTTGGCAAGTTTCGAGAAGATGGCCTCACTACTCTGGAAATGTAACGTTTCAATAAATGTCTTAAATCGTTTAGCGTCTTCATTGCCAGCATTGATAGTAAGGGCAGGATTGATCACCGAGTTGGGAGGCAAAATAGTAATGGCTCTATTTTTCTTGAGCTCCTTAAATTTCGTTTCAATGGAAATAGGTAAGGCAGCTCTTGAACGAATTTCCAAAATACAGTTGCTGATGTCTTCTCTGTACTTGGGATTGGCAGTGAACGTGTAGAGTTCAATTAATTGTGTGATAATGTCACTGATAATTTCACTAATATTCTCAGCAGAGTCTTTCGAGGCAGATTCTTTTGAAAAGTAGTTAGCAAAGTAATTTTTCAAAAGAGGAACGACAATGGAATAAATATACTTTTCACTCACATAGAATTCAGTTTCAATGTCGTCATCCTCTTGAGGAAGATCGTTCTTCAAAGGTGGAAGTTGGTAGGTAATGTCTCTTTCGAGTTTGCATGTATTTCTACCTTTACAACTCACATAATATTTGATTTCTTGTGAAATACGCTTGAAGAGACGCCAAATAGATGCATTGGTGAGGACATCGTTTGATTTCTTTTCCGTGTTAATATAGAGTTCGTTCATTAGTGACATGAGTGGATCTCTCACAAGTGGAATCAAATTTTCAGAGATTAACAAAGAGAGACAATCTTCAAAGGAAAGAATGGACTGAATTTTCACTTCAGCCTCTTTCACAGTACCCAGAGTACAATCACACAAGAGATAGAGCATATTGATGTGATAGTTGAGGAGAGAACCAGATACTTTGTATTCCTTATTCTCAATACGTTGCTTTCTCTCTTCAATGCCTGCATCATCGTTGAATAAAACAATAATATCCTTGCGTTCAGTACTCAAATAAATGGCAATAATGTCCTGATTTCTCTGAATGTTGGAAGTACCAATTCGAGTGAGTACTCTCAAAAAGTTCAAATGCCACGATAACTTTCCAAGATCTCCAACCTTGTCAATATATTTGTGAACTAGTTTTTCATCGATATTCATCAAAAGGTCCCTATTGTCTCGTACGATTTCGCAAAGTAATTCACTGGTGTCCAGTTTTTCTGAAAATATATTGATAAAGAATTGAATGTGAGGGAAGAGTTCGACTTGATTTTCTGTATTGCCTCTCACAAATTCAGTCAAGACCAATACTGCTTTTTGGAAAATATTGAACTTGATATTTTCTGGATAGGTTTTTGTGAGACAGGTGATCATGAGTTCATGAATTTGTAAATTTCTCAAAATACTCTGAGCAGAAGGTCCATACTTTTTGGCATCGGATACAATTCCGTTCACTGTGCTCTTAAATTCTTTGTATTCTTTTGAGTCATGTTTGCTTCCAGAGAATGTGGCATTGTTAACCAAGTTATTGAGCTTGTTATAGTAATTGAAAATGGTTTCATAGGATTGGACAAGTTTAGGAGAAGTGAGTAGTACGAGACGTTCCAAATTATTCTTCAACTCAATCTCTTGCATGTGTGATCGCAATAACATTTTGAGAGCCTTAATGGGTGTTTCATTGTTTTTATATTGTAACAATGAAAGCATGGCTGGAACAAAGTTGTGCTCCTCTGAGTCGAACTGGAAGAATGGAATCTTTTTGCTTTTTTCTTCAACTCTGGAGAGAATAGTGTCCAAATTTGAAGTGTTGTCAACGTCTTTTTCTTTAGCACTGTAGACATCAAGATACAATGAAATACGAACGTCAATTCTCATATCTAAAACATAGAGAATAATGTCACTAATTTTGTTCTTAATTTTGATGATGGTTCTATTGCTCTCAGACTCAATAAAGTGTTCCTCACCAACATTGCTCGAATTTAACATTTTGAGTAATGAGTTGACAATACCTGAAATTTCTTCTTGGTCCTGATAACTTTCGAGTTTCTTCTGTTCCAAATCGTCACCATACGGATTATAGGCACGATATAAGAATAATTTGTAACAAATCTTAATGAGTTGATAATTGAAAGTTTGATCGGATTGTGGAGAAAGTTTTCGATTACCTGCTACGAAAAAGTGGCCATGAATAAAGTCTTTGAGTTTCTTGTGGCGAGCTCTGTATTCCTCGAATGCAGTCGACTTGATATGGGCTCCTGTGGCAAGCCACTTTCGAGTGAGTTTGATAGCAGGTTGTTCCTCGATACCAATGGCATCCACATACAAGTATTCCATGAGATTTGCAAAGGCAGATCGGATCGAAAGTGGCGCCTTCGTGTCCTGTATACATTTCAAAACTAAATCGTAGGGAAACAATTGTTGAATGAAAGGAATTGCGAGACTGTTTTTTCCCGAGCATAACGAAGCAAAGAAACGGATGGAGGTGAGCATGTAAATAAAATGTTCAGTCTCGCTAAAACTCTTCAATGATTTGATTTCTCCTGTGGATGGCATTTTGACAACAGGTTCATCCTTCTCAATGCTTGGAATGATGAAGAGATTTGAATTATTATCGAGAGCTGTTTTTAAAAGTGACACTAAATCGTTTTGATTCTTTTGAATGGGTCTCTCTTCACACTTGCACAAAATGTTCAACAAGTCCAAATAGAGTGGATTTCTTTGATCACTTTCCACAAGTAACTTGAAAAATCCTTCAATTTGTTTTTGAGTAATACTGTTCAATAACTCCATATTATCCTTGATCATACCAATGAGAAGTTGTGTATTTGTGTGACCAATGGTTGTTGAAAAGTCTTTTGCTGGATGAAGAACAACACTCGAAGATTCTCCCAAAATATGATTCTGCAATTCGTGAAAATACTTTTCGAATACATATAAACTATTGGAAACGTGCAAGAGAGTAATTTGTCGAATGGCACGGAAGCTATATTGATACAATTGATCCCATTTGTCATCTTTTCCAAAGATATTCATTGACTCTTGAATGATGTTCATGATAATATCGATGAGACCAATATCTCTGAAAGCCGATTGTCGATCAGGATATGGTATTCCTTCTCTTTTCATGACATCTTGTTCTCCACTCTCCGTACAAAATCGAATGACAAATCGCAACATTTCCAAAACGGATTCAATGTCACTTCGTTGAGGTTGTTGTGTGGATGACTCTTTTATCATCTTTCTAAAATTTCCAATAACTCTAAACACTTGATTGACCACATGAAAATCCTTCAATTCCTTCTCTGAAGACATGCTTATAGAAAAGACATCGGTTTCTTTTTTTCTGTATTCAAACGAAAGATCCACAAAAAACGAGGAATCTTTCAACATGGCTATGGTTGGAGACATGGAAGCTCTTCGAGACGAAGACTTTGAATCGCTCCGAAACATACTACCACTTCGTGAAGTGATAATATCCTTTGTAGATCTCTCCGCCGCATGAAGCCATGTATCTGTTTTAACGTGACGAATTCTCACCAAGTTACGCCTTTCAATGGGTTGGCCATATCCAACAGCATCAGAAGCTCCAACTTCAGGCGAATGGAACGTAAAGAGTGTGTCATCAGTTGGCTCTTTTGTCAATGAAGGTTTCAATACTTGCTTTAGACCTTTCTTGATTTTTAGCCAGCCACCAACTCCACGTGAAGTAAGGGAACCACTATCGGATGTATTTGGAGTGTCAGTCTTTGGATCAAAGACATCGGCTTTTTGAACTGTTAAATAACATCCTGTTGGTAAGTGTTTGATCCTGAAAGGTACATTGTATCTTACAAATCCTCCTCGAAAACGATCTGAACTTTCAATTTCAAAAAGTGAGCAAATGGAAGAAAGAGCGCTCTTATCTGTGAACAATTTGATATTTTCATGATGTTGGAAAATGTATCCTTCTGCATCTTTGTGGAAGAGTCGAATAACGTCACCGATCTTAATCAAGGTTTTGGAGAGATGAACAGAGTATGAGGAAAAAAGGTTAATTCTCCACACATTAGAAGAATTAGATGCAGTTGCATTCACTTCATTTCTATTGTCTCTGTTCACGACAGGCTTATTGTACACGAGTTGTGAACAGTGGAGTGTATGCTTAGATTTTTCATTAAATAAAATGATCTTGTCAGAGAGGCGAACAGGTTCATTTTCCTAATTGATTGATTTTTAACACAGTGAAAGTTAATATGACCATGTTGGATGGATTGAATAAAATTACAATTTAAATATCATGTCATATGAATCGAATTTTTCATATTTATCAAAATTTCATGATTAAGTTTTGGTTAAGTTGTTTACCACAGAGTCGCCTCAGATAAATTAATTTAACTTTGAAAAATCAAACCTACCTCTCTAAATTTGAAATGAGGTAAAATTTGAAAGAAGGTTCTACTCCCACTACTAGCTAACGAAAGTCCAATGCATGCTTTTTCAAGCTCTGCATTTGTTCGAAGGACTGTCAAATATTCCTGAGTTTCCAAATGCAAGAGCTGTATTCTAGCGCCATAAGTGACAACTTTTCCGAGTTCCTATTTTCGGGTGAAAATTCATTGTCATATGTGTCATAACATTAATATATTGGTAAAATGTTATCAATTATAGTTGAATATAAGCATTATTTAAGAGTGGTATAGTGTCGTGAATAGAAAATGACAAGTGACAGAATGTGTGACAACAACATTTGGTGAGTAGGGAAATTTAGGAAAATATTGAGCAATCAAAAATGATATTCCGGATAAACAAAATGTGACAACAGGAGTGAGACCAATAATAATAAGAACAATGTAAATTTTCACACATCACAACTACATACTCTTTGGGCTTCAATTTTGTTTTGTTGTTCCTCACGTTGCATCTTGTTTTTGAGTCGTTTCGATTCCAAACTCTTTTCTGCATTGTTATTGACCATGGCAGCCACATTTCGTCCGAATCGAGCGGAAGATCTCCTCGAGGAAGCAATAAGTTCATGTATTCCCGTTGTTGTGCCTGATTTCGTTTCCATAAATTCATTGTATCGTTTCAATGCCGAATAGGAACCTCCTTTCATGACCATGAACAAGGATTCCTTGAGAGGTGTTTTGTAACTTTCCTGAAAATTGACACATCCACATCGAATGGGATTTAATCCACGAACTGAAATGTGAGATTTTTCATCTTCATACACCAAGGAAAGCACATCGCCATAATGTAGAACTTGATTATTGGTGGCAGCACTACTAGCGACCGATGATGATGAGAGTTCACTGAACGGAAGGACGAATCCTCCTCCACCACCACCACCCGATCCCGCAGCTCCCAACATGGCCGAATTTTGTTGAGCACCCGAAGATCCCGCAGCACGAGCTGCATATATCAGGAGTGAGTTGATGGTGCCCAATGTCGAATGGTTGGACATTGATGATGACGACGACAATGGCGAGAGAGAAGAGGTATATTTTTTTTGGATGACGGCGGCCCTGTCAGTGATCGCAGAAAAAGAACTTTCCACTACTGGTTACTGGTTAGGGCCGCCGTCATCCAATTAATTCTTTGAAATCTTTTTAATCTCACCATCAAAAGAAACAATTATCCTCGATGAATAGGACAAGAGGGCACAACAACTAAAATTCATGAAAATTATGACTCCCTCTCGCACGCAGCGGAGCTTCCTTTCACGATTGGTCATTTTTAACGGTCGTAAATTTATGTTCTCTCTCACGAAAAGAAAAAAATAGAAAAAAAACTCAGTGGAAATACTCCCCTACCGTACAGTCATACGACTCACACAATTCTCGGATTTGATTGTTGATTCTCATCTATCGGACGACTGGAATAGTGGAAAAGAGAGGAAAAGCATACACGAGAGATTATACGAATGAGGAATTTGCTCAATACTTTGTTTCAAAGAAGAATTTAGAACACTTCATAATCATTAAGGATATCCACCTTCAACCGTTATACGTTCATCTCATCAACAAACAACAAGAATAACATTATTGAACTAATTTTGATATTATAATTAACGAAACAACTTGTTCTGTTGGTACATCATTGGAAGAATCATCACTAGAGTCCCAAACGTAATTAGATTCCTAACATGGCTGAACAAATGAATGTGGATTTGGGGCAAAGTCCCTTCATGATCTCTCAGCCTACAGCCACCTTCAATAACAATTCCATCGTGGTTTCAAATTTAGGAAAAGCTCATCAATCACTGAACAATGGGAACCCGAATCAGCTCAATGGAACCTCCATTGCTCGAAGTTATAACACTTCAAAACGAGCCAATGAAAGAACAGGTGGTGACGGAACCTTTTTGACGGAAGTTTCAATTAACAATAACAACAGTAACAACGATAACTATGACAACAGAATTGTATATAATAATCTCATAGAGACTCCTCAACCCCTACGACAATCACCCGTCTTTGGAAAAGCAAGGATCTACCCTCCCATACAGGAATTGGCAAATTACATGAATGCCCTTAATCGAAAAGTTCAACAAAAGAAATTTTCTGGAATCGATCAAAGAAACTCACTTCACCAACCCATCGTCGTTCATAGTTACAAGGACTCTCAATTCAATAATGGCTTACGAAAATTACCCCCACCACCTAAGAAAGATGCATTTTATCCCCTTAAAAAGCTAAACAAACGAAAACAAATTGAGGAATTAGCTGCAGAGCTCTCGAAAAAGGACAATTTCGAGCATGACTTCTCCAAACACTCTATCAATAATGAAGATGACAAGGTTTCAGTACGATCGAAACATAGCAGTACAAGTTCAAAATCAAAGACCCTTCCTCCTTTGAATCCAAACACCCGTGAGCAAATGAGTGACGCCATCAGTCAAGCATTCTCCGATCTAAATCCTGATGCTGTTGCAGAATCTCCCACAAAACCAATCAATGACGACAAATTCGACACCAAATCCATCTTCTCCACTCGCTCGAAATATTCTCAGAAGAGTAGGAAATCGAAACTCTCCGAATTGTCCTTCTCGATTGGCAGTGATGCCGAGAGTGATCGAATTCGTCAACTCGAGCACTCGCTCAAGCATGAAGAAGAGGCTCGAAGGAATATTCTCAAAATTCTTGAGGAAATTCAGCAAAAACAAGAATTTCTGTTGAACAAATTATCGCAACAAGAGAGAGAACAATTCGAGAGCATCTATGGCCGTTACAATAATCTCATATCTGACCTTAAGAAAAACTCAGATGACAATCTAAGCGTGGCACTCTCTGCAAAGGATATTCAAGAGTTGAAAAAACAACAATCGGACGTGGGTGACGACGAGCAACAAAGGGAGCATTTACCCAAGATTGACAAGTCGGATGTTCATAGTGCAGCGTCTAGAAAAAGCGTAGCAAAGAGTGAACATGGTTCAATCCACTCTGGGTTTTCACGACCTTCCCAAGCACTTTCAACTCATTCCAACCACTCACAACGCTCGCAAGAAAGTGCATTCTCGCATCATTTAAGACACTCTCAGAAGAACCAGTTTCGAGAACATTAGGTGAGAATTGGCGTGTAAGCAACCCAGACAATAAACATCTCCTATTTTTCCAACTTGAAGACAGAATCTGTTGCGAAGAAATCAAAATGTATTTTGATTTTTCATAATTTAATACAAGACGACGAAACTAAGAAACTATTTTAAATTCTCTCCAGTTTTGTTGAGCTTATTTCGAGCCGCTAAAATGTCCTTCAAACTAACTCCACCTCCAACAGCAACACCTCCTTTTGGTTGATTTGGTTTTACATGTTCCGCTTCTTGATTTGTGTCGGTCAATAATAACGACGAGGTTGAAGTGGTGGCCGTTCGAGCACCCATTTTACCAATTACAGAAGAGGCAGAAGTCGAATTCTCTTGTTGTTCCTTCGTGTTGTTGTTTTCCTGATCCTTTTTGTGATGTTGAATGGTGGCCAAAGCTCCAACAGCTCCCAATTTCTTCTCGAGTTTGGAAATTTCCTCCAACTTGTCAAATTCATTTTGATCTGGTAATTCAATATCGTGCTGATCATTGGCTGCTTGAATCACATCATTCAATAAGGATGAAACATTTGTCCGGGTCTTTTCTCGACGAGGTTTTGAAATTTTTGCTTTTTTCACAACCATGGAATTTCCTTCATTCATGACAAGTGATGTGTTGTTGTCTTGTGATGCATTTGTCACAGAAGCATCACTGCCTTTCGATAGTGAGGATGATGAAGGAGTTCTCAATTGTAATTTCTGTTTCAATCGTTCTCCAATGATTCCAACAATGGCAACTCCACTTCCATTACGAGATTCTTCTGTTGTTTCTGTACCCGTTGTTGTTGTGTTTGTCAAGTCAGAAGAAGAATTCGCAGTCAATGTTAAAGACGAAGATTCCACTTGTTGTTGAGATTGTTTTAACATTTTCGCTAAAGAGCTTGTTTTAAATCTCATGGAAGGAACTCTTTGATTTGTTTTTGTGGTGCTTGTCGATGATTTATGTTCTTCAGAAGAATTGGATTCCAAATTTGTCTTGACTGACTTTTCCTTCTTTATGGACAAACTTGAAGAATTTGTAGTAGAGAGTGGTTTTTTAAGAATTCCTACTGGGGTTTTCACTTCTTCTTTGTTGATGGATGATAGAGGTTGTGAAGAAGTGGTCAATTTGGTGGAATTTTGATTTGTGACAGCAGTGGCTTGTTGCTCTTTTGTAATATTTTTCAATTGTTCAACTTGTTGAATGAATTCTTGTTCTTGATGTTCAAGATCTGAATAGGAATCAGGGAAAATCAAGGCAAGGAAAGTAAATTTAGACAGAATGTGCTTTTCAAAGAGAGGTGTCGAAATGCGTGAAATTTGTTTCTCAATGAAAGGAATTTGAGTGAGACATTGAATGCCAACAATCATTCCAGTCAACCACCAGATTCCAGATTTGGAATTTGACAAAAACCAGCTTAATAACATGATGACATATAATCCTACAACTTGAATCAATGTCATTTCTTCTCTCTTGTAAAACAATTGTTTTGCCAATAATTTCAATTCTGGATGTGTCAAATTTTCAATTGGAATGAAAAATTTGGAACAATTTTCCAAAACTTGTGTATTTGTATAAAACACATAAAAACTACAGCACTTGATGAGAGAGTGTGAAATGATGAGAATCAGTGGAAGTGAAAGCAAGAGAATGGAAAGAAATGAAAAATGTGAACTCGCCCTTACAAATGTTACAAAAAAGAAAGTGTCAATGATGAAATTGGAAAGAAAGAATAATGTCGAAGTGACAGTGGCGATGAAGGAATATTTGTTGGTCATTGGATAAACCAGAGCTGGAGGTCTAAATTGAAAAAGTAAGAGAACTAGTGTGTCCACATAATTCCGAAAAAGGATGAGGATTGTCCACAAATGTGTCATTTCATCATGATTCAACAATGATCAAGAATCAACAATGAATTACATAATTTTCATCATCTCATTCACACATTCAAAATGAGATTCAACACACTTACTCATGGTGACACTCATCAACAAACACAACCACACAGAAACTTGAAACACCCACGAAAAGATCATCGTTTCCATCAACAACATGGCCACATAGGGAGACAACAAGGTAAAAATTGTTTCATCCACCACATAGACGTGTTGGATTTTTCGCATCACGTCACAATAGTGAATCACATAGGAATAATATTTGTAATAACTCGAGACAATGTGAAGAGAGAAGAGGGAAAGGGAAAGTATCATTGTTAAGAGTCGGTTATTGAAGAAGAGGGTATTGGAGTGGTGAGGTAAATATTTAGTGGTGGTGGTGGGGGCGACAAGGAGGAAAAAGACCAATAATCATCAAAGATTTTTTTTCTTGTGATCCTTGATTACGTGAAAGGTGACATGCCTCTTCGAGTGATTGATTGCTGTACTGTTTAATGGAGAAGGTCCTGATCCTAATCACATTTACAGAATCCTCTCAGAAGAGTTTACAAATAATGGTCACATCCACTAACATTTCCATCTTGTAACACTGATACAAGTTCTTCTCTTTCATTGCAATTGGACAAGAGAGTTCTTTCCATATTGCGGATGGAAGATTAAACTCTCCTGTTTTGGAATTGAATTCAATATGGTCCAAGAAGGCAAATCTTGTCAAAAACAACTCCATCTCTTGTTGATGATTGCTAGCAATGGTGTATAATTGGATTGAAAGAGACTCGTTGTTGATTGGCTTGTTTAGAAAAAGTGTTTCGAAAAAACGATGCAAATTCAAAAATCGCAAGTTGGAAAAGCGAGAACTGAAAAATTTCCTTAAAAACGAAATTTGTGTTGAATAAATTGCCTCATTCGGTATGGAAATGGGTGAAGGATCTTGATGTGACTCTTGTGAGCAACTTGATTCTTGTTTCGATAAATAATATTGTCGTCCAATGTTGCAGCACGTAAGAGCTAATAAACTTCTCATCTTGGCAAAATAATTTCGATTCATGTCATTGAACATTAGATTCAAAGCAGAATGAGCGAACTCTATAAAATCGCCAACCCTCTCAAATGCAGCTCTATCGTTATCTATTCTTTTTCCATTCATAAGCATCAATTGTTGCAAAGAAGAAGCAAATTTGTGACCTCCATGGTCATTAAGCAAGCGAATGAATGTCTTTTCAACAGTTGTTGTGCAATTCCAATTGAATGCTTCTAACGGACTGCCCAACGTGATACATTCCCATAAAATGTCCACAACCTCATCGGCTACATTGAATCTTTTTACAAGATCAAATTCGTCAGAGATGTTTGGAAAGAAGCGAAATATTGTTCTGAGGCAAAGCGTTTTAACAATCAAATTAATCATGATGAATATATCTGGAGATTTGATGGTTTTACGTGTTGATAAGGTTCTGAAATTGTATTGACCTCCTCCGAAACATAATTTATCTAAATAATCAAATGTGGAATCATGTTCAATAGTTGTGTTCTCCCAAAAACGTTTGTGAAATGTTTGCTCAATATGGGATATCACATATTTAATCAATGGGGATCTCGCACGCTTTGAAGTACAAGATCCAATCTTGTTTGCTGAATAAATATCAATAAATTTACATCTCAACACTGTTGAAAAATCTTTGACATTGGCCATCTTGTATTTTACACAAGAAAGCAACGAACACACGCAAATCCATTTGATCATAATATTGACATCGTAGATGGTGTTGAAAACATTCAATTTGAGCGCTGAGATGTTTAACAGTCTATCGATTAATTTTTCGTCATCATGATGAGTCATGTTTGACAATAGCAAAATAATATTATCTAAATGAAGAGAAAGAAACAAGTGTGAAATGAGTTGATCTTCAACAGATGAGGATTTTCTCAGAAAATATACCGATATTGAAATTAAGTCTATAATTGTTGAACCTGTACTGGAGTATAGCTTATTCAACTCATCGAGTTTTCCGTTAATATGATCACAATGTCGAGAAGAGCCTTCTTCCGTTGTCGATCCTAAATATAGCAGCCAATTTAACCCTTCACAGAGTAATGCAACATTCAAAAATACATCTCTAATAGTTTCTAGTAATTTTTCGAATATTGGAATACTTTCGTCTGTGAAGTTGTTAGTGTTCTTAGTTTTTGCTAATGTAGAAAGTGCTACATGAAAAGAAATGCCACTTAATGAGCGTAATATTGTGTCGAGATGAGAGTATTCAGTATCAAATTCTTGGATAGTAGTGTTATACGCGTAATAATAAATCAATTTCTCTCTCCATGTCCAAATGATAGAATAAACATTTTCGCATAATTGAACAATTTGCTGTAAGGTGGTCTGATCATTATCCAATACTTCATTTGAATATTGAAATGATGATAAATCATTTATAACGTTCCAAAACTGTTTTCCAACACATCCAGAGGCTTTGCTTTCAATCCACCGATCCATTGATCGCATGTAATTTGCAATTTCTTGCAATTGTTTCAATAGATATTTTTGATTTGTTGTTGTAATTTCTTGATCCATGTAATAAATATCTTCATCATTCTCAATCTTCGGGTTGGAAATTGCATCTGAAAACCGTTTCACCACTCGTAGCAGGTCTTCCAGTGTTTCCATTTTTTTTCATTTTAAAAAAAAAAATTTTTATCAATTTTCAAATAACTTTCAAAATAATGTCTCAACAACCACATCAACCACATCACATGCTCCAAGTGCATCTCATTGTATTCCGAGGTCTTCCTGGATCGGGTAAATCGTTTCTTTGCGAATGTTTAATGAAAATTTTAAAAACCACCATGCTTGAATCCAATTCCAATCGCGTTCAAACGAAATTGATGATGATCAAATTAAGTCGAGATGGATTGCGAAATGAAATATTCCCAAATAGTATTGGAGGCCCGAATTTCTCGGATTTTGAAAAGAATTTAGTGGATGAATGGATTCGCACTAGTATTGAATATTTTGTCAAGTCTTTCATGTTTCAATTATTGAACGAAATGAATGGAAGTGAGTTTGAACATGATTCAAAAAAAGAAAATCTCAGTAATAATAATTATGAATTGTACATATTCATTGATGGCATGTGTTTGTCTACTTTACAATCAGTGAAACAATTTGAACATGTTCTTTCAAAATTACATCAAGAATTCTCTTCCTTAATACCAGTTGATCATCATCCTTTCAAAGATTCTTCACACCAAACCACTCTCTCTGATGATTCTGTGACCTTAAAAACCTATTTCTATTGCATTCAAGTAGAACGTGATGAAATGAAATGTCGAGAAAGTATTGCCTTACAACTGAATTGTCATCCAGCACAACATTCGAGAGATTACGATAAAGTGAAACAAAATTTTGAATCCTTGCCTACTGAATGGTTGTGTGAAAATTCTCTCGAAAATAGTAACAACACCAAAACCACCATGACCACTATGACCACGAGGAATCACTTATTAGGTGATGAAGAAAGGAGCATGAACGATTCACCTTTGAATCGGCATAATCACTCGTCCAAATTTATCATTTATTTCAATAATGATATTGAGGTTTCCATTCAGTTCAAGATTGATCTCCTTGTTCATTGGATCCTGCAACAACACGAAGAGTGACGAGAGGAATAATTCTTTCAATTAAGTTAATTAAATTTTGAGAATTGCATTCACAACTATTTAAATTAATTTTTAAACACTAATAATTAATTTTAAATAAAACTAAAATTATAATTATGAACCCAAATGTCAAACCTTTTCTCCTGTTATATATAATATATCTTTCGAAATCTGTTCAGACACCTTCCAAATGGATTTTAGAAGGCAAAGACCCAAAAGAGACTTTCTAAAAAAAAAATTTCGTTCTCCCTCTCGCAAAATCCTCAACAAGAGTCACGTTGTTGTTGTGTTATAATTATTCGATATACCGCACTACTCCTAATAGATCGATCAAAACGCACCATCATCATCACCGTTATTTGCACTTCTTTTCTCATCATGGGAAATTCAGTTTCGGATATTTTACAAAATTCGTCGTTACTCGAACACACTTCTGCGGTGATGGAATCCTCCATCGATCCTAACAACAGAACCACATCCACAACGAACTCCACTTCTGGTTCTCCTCTCACTTCATCATCTCGATCACGAGGAAATTCAAAAGTTCCAGATAATATCGGAACATTCCTTTGTGATCTTAATTTGTTAAATTATTTGAGTATTCACTTTTTATATCATTCCAAATTTTATTTGTATTTTGAATTGATGAATCGAGACTTTTTTGAAAATGTTCGAGAGGAAGAAATGAAATACATTCCTGCCAAATATTTGAAAATTAATTTATATCGAGTGTATTTCGATTGTCACGGACATAAAAGTTCGATCGAAGAGCATCGAAAGTTACTATTACAACAATCTATTCAAAATTGTGATCGAACTCATCATGTGGGTTTTGTATTACCTTCACATCTCACAAAGAATGAAAATATTTGTCGACAATGGAAGATTTTAGATTTGAAAACTTTTTATACCATTCTCGAAAGAGCCAAAATCGAATGCCATGTACATCAATTATTTAATAATCATCAACAAGAAACACAAAGTCAGAAATTCCGTGAAGAACAATGGTCCTCCTCCTCTTCCTCTTCAACAGTGACACCAAAAATCTCAACCTCTCCCTTGTCACATTCTTCTCACAATGAAAAAGCCATTCATGATCTTCTTGAAAAGGAATGTTCACACCAATGTGACACTTCCAAAACCACAGAAGAAGAAGAATTGTGTTGTATTTGTATGGATGCTCCAACAACCATTGCAACTGGATGTTGTAATTCACAATTTTGTGAACCATGTCTTCAAGCATGGAATCAAAGGAATGAAACATGTCCCATGTGTCGAAAACCATTAAATGTGACAAATTCGGAGGACAAGACGAATGCAGATTCATGGGTGACTGTTCAGAAGGATGATTTTATACTGCCACGAGAAGAAGTGGCGAATCAATTTTTGAGATTTGTGAATACATTGGCAAATCCTCTTCCTTTTCACTATTGATGGGTGGAATGACTTGTGCTATGATATACTAATTGCGTTATGATACTAATAATTATTATTATTAGAATTAAATTTTCAATTCATTTAATATTATTTATTTATTTATTTTGTTGACCATTGTGATCAACATCCAGTTGTGTATTATTCATATCGTTGTGAAATGTAGTGAAACCACAATCTCGAGGAACACAAAGTTCTATTGAACTAATCTCAAAGAAGAAAATTTGAAATTCAAAAAAATGCAAACAAGTCGATTATTGGGTTCCTTGTGCCGTCGTCGACATGGCTGTGCTCTCACATCATCATCATCAACAGTGAAGAAATCCATGACATCCTCGGGATCATTTCTAAATTATTCAGCATCATGTCGTGTTGTGAATTTCGGTAATAATAATATTATGAACAGCCCATTCAGTTCAACAAGTTCGGAAAATACCAACAACCATGTATCATCAAGAATCATTTTGAAAAATTCAATTTCTCCTCATCTCACTCAACAACAAATACGACAATTATTAGGTAAGTTTGCAACTACAAGATATTTAATAGTAATAAAAACCAGTCGGAATGTTCAACAATGATGATGACCGGTAAAATTTTCCAAAATATGCATAACAAGCACTCATGATAAATGATGATGATGATCGCTGATATGGAGTGAGAAACTATGTGGGTGCAAATTTAATTTGTTATTTAATGCTATGTTATTATTTCAGAAATCGCAACAAGTTTGTTTCAAACTAGTTAGATGACTACTCATTTTGAAAAACACTAATGCTAGATTTGGATTTAAGGATGACAAATAAAAAAAGTAATTAATTTTACAACACGGGAATGTCATTCATATATATTCAGGGTGAACATGGTACTTCATAGCATTATTTAAAAACACATGATACTGAAAATATACATTCAGGTTGAACGAATGGTTCTGAATTGATCATGACAGTGAAAATTCATTGTGTATTGCAACCATAATCATTCATGATCTGAATCCGATGAACAATCATTCAAATAAGGAGCCACAAAGAATTGAAATGAACCCATACCTTCCTCCAATCCATACAGAACACCCAAGGGTCCATTCTCGCAAATTTGCAACAACATTTGATCCGATATTTTGCTTGCTTTCGACAGGATGGATAAAATTCTGAACGAATATTCATTGGAAATTGTTGAGGTGACATTGTAAGGGTTCTTGGAGCCTTCGAATTGATTCAAAGTTTCATTGCCACTTTCATTCTCTATGTTCGTATTGTTTGTCACAATTCCACTTTGTAATTGTTTCGAATAAGACTCTGTGAAGCCAATGACAATGTCTTCCTCCGTGCCAATTGCAGAGTTTTGAATTTCAATCGTTGCTTCGAGACAATCTTTTGAAGTTTTGAAGAACAACCTTAAAGAGTCGTGAAGAGTGTTTCCAAGGTTTTGAACCATACCGGAGATGGCATGACATGGAGACGGAATTTCATAATATATTTCAAGTTTCAGACGTTCTCCCTTCATTTGACTTAAATCTTGCATGATCTGCGAGAAACAATTTGTGGACATGAGAATCTCCACTTGTACCTGATTATCGAATTGTTCAATCTCAAAAGTCTCCAATTCATGATCATTAATAATGAATTGAGACATTGAATAAGTGAACACTCGATCGGGTTGCTTCTTTTTCACTGTGATTTTAATTTCTGGATCTTTAAATTCCATGCTTGACTCTTGAAATGCTCCTTTCATCATCATTACTTCCTCGGAATGGTCGATCAACACGAATAATTCATCTTGGTTTTTTAAACCTTTTAGAGTATGAGCAAGAATTTTCAAATTCACTCCAACCCGAACCTCTTGTACATGTTTAAAGATGGAAGGAATGATAACTTTCTTTGAAGAGATTACCATGCTTGGGCGTTTCTTGTAAGAGCCAAAAGCAAGGGCGGAATCCAAATAGGAAAAAGCCTTACCCTCAAGTAAGGCTAATTCATAGAGAACAACTTTGGTAGTATCAACAGAATGAATGATTAGTTTCTGAGGGCTCATTTGAAGATGCACCAAATCCGTAAATTGACTCAGAAGGTCAATCACTCGGGAAAATAACACTGGATGATGAATTTGAAAGTAGAGAAGGCCTTCAGTTGGACGGGAAGATGTTCCAGACACTGTGTTTGGTTCCTTTCTAAGGTTTCTGTTTCTCGAGATGTGGTTAGTAGTGTTGCTGCTACTATTGTTGAGAGAACGAGCATGGAAGGAAGGAGAAGTCGTAGTTTGATTATCAAAGCCCTGGAAAGGTGAAAACGGCATTTTCTTTGAAACAATCCTTCAAGCCTTTTGATTCAATCGGTTAAATTTAAGAATTACCTCTTTAGCAGTGAAATAAACCAATCGTGTCTGCACTACCAATTAATGTGAAGAAGAAGAAGAGCAAGCCTGAGGTTACATAAATAAAAGTTGTTTAGTGATATATGCAATGAATAAACAAAATCTTAAACATGTCGACAGCTCCAGAGACTGACTTCTAGTCTTGATACTTCCAAACTCTTGCACGATAATCTCCACTACCTGTAGCAAAAAGAGGTCGCTTAGGATTCAAAGAAACGCTAATGACAGAATTCTTGTGTCCTTGCAACATCAAATGTAAAATGTTGCTTCTTGGATCCCAGAATTGAACACTTCTATCCTTAGAACCACTCACCAACCATCTACCATCTGGTGAATAGGCAACGCTCAAAACAAAATCTCTGTGTCCTGATAACGAGGCAGTGCACTGAGCTGATTTCACGTCCCAAATCTTGAGGGTTCTATCCAATGAACCAGATGCAAGACTTTTACCATCAGGAGCGAATGCAACGCTGTACACAGAGTCATCATGACCATTCAAGGACTCTAACAATTCACCAGTGGTCATATCCCACAAACGAACAACACAATCCAATGATCCTGTGGCAACTGTTCTACCATCAGGAGAAATGGCAACACTGGTGACTCCCTCTCGTGGACCAATCTCCTCATTTCCACAAGTGTGTCTACATTCACCAGTTTCCATATCCCAAATCTTTGCCTTTCCATCACCACTTCCAGAAACCAAAAGTTTGCTGTCAGGTGAAAAATCAAGTGAATAAATATCCAATTCGTGGCCCTCAAGAGATCTATAAATTTGTTTTGTGTCTACATCCCAAATCTTTACAGTTTTGTCAGCTCCAGCAACTAGATACTTGTTGTCAGGCGAGAAACAAACACTTCTAATGTATGAGTCGTCCTTTCCAGTTCCATCCATATTATTGGCTTGATCAGACTCTTCTGGATTTGAACTTGATTTTTTACCTTCATCATTTTCGTCCTCTTCGGAATGTCTGGTTGGGTTTGTGATTGGTCCGAGTGTTGAGAAGGTTCCAAACTTCTTTCCTGAATCGACATCAAATACGATAGCCTGTTTGTTACTTCCGGTGGCCAAATATCTTCCGCAGGAACTAAATTTGACGCAACAAACAACACTTTCTTGATCCAAATTGTGATACAAGCTCATGTTCAAATTTGTTGTTGCTGCTACTTGAGGATTAAATACTACGACCCAATCATTTCCTTCTTTCTTTACAACATTCTCATTTCTTGTATCAAATAAATTAACAGTAGTTTGTTGTGGTTGTTGTGGAGATGATGTAATTACAGGTATTTGCCTTGCATCATTTGGAATTCCATTTGTTTGAGCTTGCTGTGTATTATGATGCATCATCATATTATTTACTGAAATTGGCCTCTCTATAATATGTGGATATGAGTCACTTACGTTTGTGTTAGGTTGAGAAGAATTTGGTGGACCTTGAATGTTCATTCCATTCTTTGACATGGGTGGAAGAGATGATCCATTCCCTGGTTGTTGTGATGGTGCATTATGCAAATTCATCAAATCAGAAGAAGGAATCATTCCAGTTGGTGTCGATGAATGAGGATTACCTAGCGATGGTGGTCCGTTGCTTGGTGGAAAGGGACTTGTTCTTTCACGAGAGCCTACCGATTGTTTGCCGTCATAAGGTGGCAACTGTGGAGGTGGTACCCCTCCGAGCCCTATTGGTGGTGGAGGCTGTTGTCCCAACATTTGTGGAGGATTATTGGCAGCCATTGGAGGAAGTGATGGTTGTGATGGTGATCCATTATGTGCATTTGGTAGCTGATTAGACATTGGATTGCTGTGAAGTGGAGGCAATTGTGGAGGATTAGAAGTACTTCCAAGAGACGATGGTGGAGGAAGAGAAGGTGCATTAGTACCTGGCCCAGAAAGCATATCACCTCTGTTTGAACCCATTCCAGGAACCATTGGAGGTGGTTGTTGATGTAATGACGACATGGGAGGCATCGATGGAGGAATACCACCCTCTTGTCCTGTCATTTGTTGTGAGAGCTGTTGTCTGAGTTGTTCAATGGTGGATTGCATTTGTTGAATTCGATCTTCGTAGCTGTATTTTGTATTGATCATCAGTGGCAGTATGAGAGTTGTGAGTAGGCGAGGGAGAATGAACCATAGGAGAAGCGATAAGTTTCAGGCGAGAAGAGGAATGGTTTTCAACAAATTTGAGATGTTGTTTGATGAGTAGTAGATTCGGCAAGATGACGATTTGTGTGATAATGTTGTTGGTGTTGTGTGGTTTCATAGGAGATGTTCAAAATATTATTATTAATAACAACAACAGCAAAAGAATTTGAAAAAGTATTCATCGATGAGGATAATTATCAATTATTCGTGATGAGAATAAAAAAGCGTGTCAAATAACCAAAAATGTACACTCTCACACACACTTACTGTTGTTTTGCGTGAGTAAAAGCATTCTCCAATTCAACAATGGCAGAGTGCATTAATTGAAATTCAGATATTTGAGCATCCAACTTTCTCTCCAATTCATCCCGGTGCATCTTGCATACGTTGTATTCTTGTTCCATCGCTACGTAACTACTCTTGATTTGTTCCATCATGTCCATCACAACGGTGGGCCCAAGTATAGCAGGTGGTGGAGGGCCATGACCATGAACCACTGAAGGTGGATTGATCATAGGAGGCGGTGGGCCATGAGCAGATCCACCTGGTGGAGGTGGAGGACCATGGGACAATTGTGGTGGAGGTCCTTGCATCATACCTGGAGGAGGATTCCCCTGTGAGGAAGGATGAGTCGTATAGTGGGAATGAGCCATATGGGCAGCTCTTCTCTCTTGCATGGTTATTCTTGTTGTGGTTGAGAGGAGATTGTGTTGTTAATTGTTGTTATGATAGGGGATGATGATTAAATTTAATTTTTTGGAGATGGCTGATGATGAAGCTCTGGCTGATGCTAAACGGGAATCAAAAAATAATGTGAGAAAAGAATGACGAAGATGATGTGGGAAATTTTTTGATTTGGAAATTCGGCTTTTCTCTTCAACTCGGCTGTTGGTACTAATGGATCTCACCAAAGGTTGCTGATGTTCAAAGAGCATTGATCAAGGCTTCGTTGGTTTATTTTATTATCCAAAGAAGCAGCCTTTATGTTGATCATCTAGATGCTTGATCTCACTGCTTGACACCTTCTGTAAGGTCAATCGACATCTTTTGACTCTTCTTTGAACGATTGACCTCACAGGATTGAGCCTGTCGAGATTGTGAACCTCTTGCCCATCAAGAAATATACAACCAAGATCTCTTGTAATGGGTTGATTCATTCATTCATTCATTCATTGACTCGACGTGAGATAATATTCATACAAATCGTTGGATATGACATGGATATTGGTGACGCCCTTATTTTGTTCATTAATTGTGAATATGACAAAATTTCCGAGTTGAGGTTCTACCGATTGCTTACTCACGTGCATCTTGTGGAAAAAGTAGGCCTCTTGCTGTTGTAGAGCGGTTGGAGTGGAAAGTGCAAAGAGTGAGACTTGAATCTTTCCAAAAGTTTCCTTCTTGTCCAAAACTTGTCCAAGGCACCACGGAGAACCTGATGTCAAGGGCGAAGAAAATTGAGAGACATCTTCCATGGTAAAGACTCGACGACCTTCCTTAGATGATGATGCTGACATTGAACCAGCCACAGTGTGAGTATTTGTCGTGTTATTTGTTGTCGATGAAGCTACAACATCAAGAGTTGAATCAACTGTATCATCTTGTTGCTGATCGTCTGAGACCTTGTTGGATGTCTTTTTCTGTTGTTTGCTTGAGGTTGAGGTGGGCTTTTTCTTTTTGGAAGATCGAAACTTGAAAACAATATTCACGCCAAACTTTTCCTTAATGGTTTTGAGATTCTCCTTCAGCTGTTCATGAAGATCAGAGAGGTTATCAGGTACATTCTCAAGTTGTTCGATCAATTCTACATTTCTCACATAGTCATTTCCCTCCTCAATTTGGAATTGTATCAAATCTCCTAACTGCAAATCGTCATTTTGGCATTTCATGTAGCCATATTGTGTCAATACTTTTCTCATGGGTTCAATTGCTACTACGATACCAACATCGTGGCCAGGCTTGATGGAAAAGTCAGTTCTTTGATACAGGTGTTTTTTCTTTCGTTTCTCTGTTTCTTCCAAAGCTCTATCCATAAGTTTCTTCTTCTCGACAGCCTTCGCCAGCTTTCCACCCACAACGGATACCTTAACTTGATTCTCATCAAATATTTCAGTAGTTGTGAAAGCTGATGTTGACGTGGTCGTGGTAGTTGTGGTAGTTGTAGTGCTGGAGGTGTCTGTGTTGCTGACAGTGGCAGTATCCTCCACTTCTGGCTGTTGTTGTTGTGCATATTTTTCATTCTGAGCCTTCTTCTTCTTCGAAGTTTGACTCGTGGAAGTATTAATTTCTTCGACAGTGGCACCTGTCTTGAATAATTCGCTCTTCTTCTTTGGAGGCTCACGTCGTGCTGAAGAGAGAGTAGGAGCGGGGCATTTGGTTCTCGTTTTTTGTTCTTCCCTATCATACAAAAATAAATCTTCAATGTAGCCACATGCCTCAGTGGGACAAATGACTGATTTGTCACTGGCACGATTGGCTCGATAATACTTAAGCCAACAATTTTTGTGAAATTGTAACTTGCACTTATTGGAACATGTGCATACGTAATACTCATCCTTATTTGTGATGCTTTTGTTTCCAAGTGTACAGTTCAAGCAGGTACCTAACCCAACTAGAGCCTCAGTAACCTCTGGTTTGTTCGTTGGTGGTGAGGTCGTGACGTTTTCCTGTGCAGTAGCCGCTTTGGATGACATTTGTTTTTCTTGAAGCTCTTGTCTTTTCTTTTTTAGATTTTCTCTCCTTAATTTCTCTTCAATCTTTTTCTGTTTATATTCCTCCCATTCTTTTTGCCTTTTTTCTTCGGTTGCTGCATCCATTGGGATGTTAGGAACAGTGGGAAATGGCTGAGGTTTCACCGTCTTGGTTCGTTCCGAACGAACTCGTGACATCATTTCACGCATGAAGTGAGCTTTATCCGAGTCACTACTTGAGTAGTGAGCATCTAGATCCTCAAGATCATCGTCATCGTCGTCACTCTCTTCTTCTCTGTAGAAATCCTCCTCATCCTCTTCATCTTCGTCCTCAAGAAGATCAGGTACATCGTCTTCGCCTTCATCATCTTGCTCATCCAACTCGCTGTCATCATCCAAGAGAGGGGGTACATAGTCGTCATCTCTTGTTTGTAATGTGGACACTTTCGGAATATGAGTGGATGATTGTGAAGAAGTTTTAAGCGTTGATGATGAAATTGAATAGTCAGTCTTCATTCCGCTATTTTCAAAACCCTCATATTCATCCAAAAGTGGTGGAGGAGAATCGGAATCATCATCCTCTTCAAAATCTTCCACAAGTGGAGGAGGTGCATCATCGTCTTCTTCATCTACCAATGGAGGCAAATCATCAATCTGTAAAAACTTCAGTTGTCTTTGCTCTCCCATGCAAAAACCAAGCGCACTTACATCTTCGGAATGGTCTTGATATCCGTCTTTTCGTTTCTGAAAAAAGTTGTTGATGAAAGCCTTGTTAGAAAACGTTTGTTGCATTTTTTTTCTTGGCGGAAATTGAAAATGTTTGTTCAACTTGCTTTGTGACAAATCTTTAAATGACGATCTCAAGGCTCAAAAACAATATTCCTCTTTATAGGAATATTGCGAGAGAGAGACATTGAGCCTTCTTCTTCTAAATATCACTTCCAGGGCTTGTCAAGATGTCACTCCCATCATGCTGAACGACATCACTCGCCGCATTCGAGGCTGTACTTGTGAAACTCTCTCGAAAGCTCTCTCCCGCTCTCTCATTCATAGTTGGGGAAGAAGTTCGACCAAAATGATGAATCAGAGTGTCACCACTCGGTGTTGGCGTTGATTGAAACTGATAGCTGCTACTTCCCTGAGTATTGACAAAAGACTGTGAAGAAGAAATCGATGATGAGAAGCTCATTCCATTCGAATTAGCAATACTTTGACGATAGAATTCTTCATCTTGCAAATCAATAGCAGATCCTGGAGATCCCGATGAAGAATCAAGGTGTTCTGACTGAGTGAGGTAGGAGAATGAGGTTGAAGCACTCAAGTCATGTTGATGACCCATTTCTTGCAAATCAATGGATCGTTCAAAGACTGTTTGTTCTTGTTTGGTTTCTTCGACTCTCTTAATGGCCTGATTCAATTCTTTGTGAATTTCGTTCATGATAAAATTTCGTTCCTGTGACGAGTGAGTGTGAGTGAGCGTGAGTGAGTGTTAGAAATTGAAATTAGCAGTCCATATGGATTTGTCATTGGATTGTCGTTGTTTTCAAACGATCATGAAATTTCAAATTTGGAACGTTATCCTACTTACCAATATCACATACTTGTCCTCTTCGAATTTAATCTTAAAGAAGGGTTCCTCTAAGAGTTGTCGAGCGGTTGGTCTCGATGTTGGATGATATCTCAAACATTTTCGAATGAGTTGTTTCAATTCATCGTAATAGCAAGATGGAATGTAATTTTCCAATTCATCGGCGTGTTGAATCATGTAACGAATTTGACCTTCTCGATCCTTAATGTTGAGGAGACCAGTTTCTTCCCAAGGATTCTTACCACTGATCCACTCACACAATGTACATCCAAAACTCCAAATATCCGAATAGATGGCATTCTTGAGAACGGTTTTTCTGAACATTTCTGGAGCCCTATTGACATGGTTGTCAATATAAATATACCATCAATCGAATGTTGACAAGTACATGAGTCAATGAATGAATCAATGTTGTGGCATTTCAAGGTTGGCATGAGACAACTCTTTCGTGTTACTTACATGAAGAGAAGAGTTCCGCAAATTCGTTCCTCAATTTCTGGTTTTGTCATTTTCATATTAGTTGAAATGTCGTCTCTTAAAAGTAAGCTTTCACCAAAATCGCACAATACTGCCGTGTTGACATCTTTCAGCAAAATGTTGGAACTCTTAATATCTCGATGTACGATTGATCTACGAGTCTCACTTCCTTCATGCAAGTATACAAGAGCACTCAGAATTTGAGAGGCATATTTCTGGATGAGATAGTTTGTTAATTTTGGATATTTCAACTTTTCTGCTGAGCTTATTTTCTGAATCCTGTGTGTTGTGTTAAAAAAATAACAAAATAACACATAATACAATTAGAAATAGATGAATTGAGAATATTGATAGATATTCAATATTCAACAATACAAAAAAAGTGCAAATTTTTCATGAGTTTTTCATATGTAAAAGTTGTCACTTACATGGATTTCAAGCTTCCACCAGACATGTATTGCATCTTGATGTAAAACTTGTCACTTACATGGATTTCAAGCTTCCACCAGACATGTATTGCATCTTGATGTAAAACTTGTTACTGGTTGATTTGGTCGATATATATTTGATAATGTGTGGATGATCAATCTTACTCATTAATTTGACCTCTTGCTCAATTTTCCATTTTGGAATTTTAGTATTGTCACCATTCTTAATGTCGAACTCTTTAACGGCTACTCGTTGATAGGGAGGAGCTTGATCGAGACTGATCCAAAAAGATTCATTTGGGATTATTGTTATAGTTTGTCAATAGTTATGAATCATGCAATCATGTTTACAATATTCATCCAGACTTACGCCATATAAACAACCTGTTGTTAGCGAGAAAGGTGTCACAACAACAAGCTCTTGTTATAACAATTGTGTTAAATACTTACTCCATAGGTTCCTCTTCCCAATTCATGAACAGGTATCCACTCTGTTTCATTGTAAATGAGTTCAACTTCAAATTGATCAATGTGACCATTCCTCTTATCAAAAAAGTACCTCAACATGTCCTCCATTTCTTCTGGTTTGTTCACTGTAATATTTCTACCTTGACATTCATAGACCAATAGTAATTCCTGTTTCGAAAACAAACGATTGGTGTTACTGAAAAAGTTTTCTCGTAGAGAGTCCATCAAATCTTTTGGTTTCGTGTTAGTGGTTATTTCCATTCGTATTCTGTTGTTCTTGTACTTGACAAATAATTGTTTCTTGTTGATATTATTCAGTACATTCACACAGTAGTCATACAGGTTGGAGGTAATATCTACCTGATTTGGATTTCTCTTATGAAGCTCAATGGGAACAAGTTTAAAGTGTTGAATGAGAAGTTTGAGAATTGGTTTTAGACCCAACTTGAATGAATTATAACCTAAATTATAAATATATTCCTGAAAGCGTGTTTCTAACTCGGCTGGACCACATTCTTCTTTCAACTCCATTCTTTTGAAATTGATACAATCAATGAGCAAATTGTAATTGACTTGCTCCCTATTGAGAGGTTTAAATAAATCGTTCGATTTCAATAAAATGTCATTGTCGTTACTGAAAAGTAGTTTTTCGTAATATTCGTACGCCTTTTTCAGCTTTGCATAGATTTGTGTGTTCTTTTTGGAAAAATGTCGTATATAATCCTCAATTTCTTTAGTTTTTGAAACATTAGCTGCGGTTTTCCCTTCAGAATCTTTTTTGTTTTTGTCTGCACAGTGACGAAGTAGACTTTTCACAATGTCAAAATATCCAAGCTTTGCTGCAATGTGAAGTGGCGTTTGTCCTTTCTGAAATTGTATTATTTCAATATAAATCATAGAGTAGTTGATCAGTTAAGGTATTAATGAAATGTGTGATTTAGGGAGATTTAGAATCATATTCACAATGAATACATACATGATCATAAATATCCACTTTTGCGTAGTGCTCCAACAATAGGTTGACAATTCGAGTATTACCATTTCGACAAGCTATCATTAGGGGAGTGGTTCTGTCCTTGATATCATTTTGAGTGGACATGATGTTCACTTTTGCCTTTCCTTGTTCCAACAAGAGTTTTACCATTGCTTCATTATTATTTGTACATGCCAAATGCAGACAACACTAAGATTTCGATTTAACGTAGGAATGTACTCTTCAGAATTTCAAAACTTACAAGTCCATTCTTTTGAAAATAATTGATTCCTCTTAATTCACATAAAGAAAAAGACTTACATAATTACAATAATCTGCATTGGCTCCTTTCTCAATGAGATAGTTGGCAATTTGTAAATTATTGTTAGCAACTGCAATAAATAGTGGCGTTTCATGATACTATAGCAATGATTATAGAAGTATGTTTCAAATTGATGATGATTGTTTTTACGTACATATCTTGACGGTTGCTGAATATTCGCGTGGTATTGTTCCACTAACAACATGACAATATTCAGGTTTTTCCCTAAAATTGCAATGTGGAGTGGATAACCATCATACTAGAGTTTTAGAGGATTTTCATAATTTTAACAACCTTTTCCAAATTCGCTTTCTGAAAGTGTACTTACTGCTGACTCCATTTCAACGCTTGCTCCATGTTCTAACAGTATTTGGGCAGTTTGAAAATTTCCATGTCTGCATGCCATCATTAATGGAGTCTTTTCAACATTTGTCACAAAGTGTCACAATCATTTTGATACTTCATTTTGTAGACTACTCACATATAATTCCTAAAATCCAGTACAGTAATATTTTCAAATTAATATTATTATATTTTCAATTCTCGTAAAATTTCCAAAATTCCAATTTACATACATAGGTATCCTATTCAATTTTTGCCGAATATTCGAAATTGGTCATCAAGAAAGAAACCCAAAGAATAATTCCATTAATTTTTAAATTCAAATTTCATCCAACAAAATGATTGCAACAAATCATAGCACAACATACATCCTCTTCATCCACGTAATTCACTAACGAATGTAAATTCTGAAATTGTTGAACAGCAGTGTTATTCGGATGGCCAGCAGCGGCCATCATTGTAGTTCCAGCACTCAACGATCCTCCTCCGATACCATGATAAGAATGATTGTACATGATCATGGAAGGCATTGAAGTGGAGGTTGACATCGTGATGGTCTCTGAAACATTCCGAGGCGAATTTAAGGTGAATGTAGTGCCCGACATGATGACACTTGTATTCGGAATGTTTGTGATGTTTGTTGTTGCAGCAGTTTGAGAGGAAGGAGAAGTGTTGTTGCTTCCGTGATGCAGTAATAATGTATTGAGAGATCGGACATCTCCATCTCGAGCACATTTCATGATCGGATGAGACTTCTGTGGGTTTGAATGGAAATGGCAACAATGGTATGATGATGATATTGTTTGTTTGAATTGGAAATGTTATTTGGCTTTTATGGTCAACCGCGTAAGCCTTCACGAACAACGTACCGATGTTTTTACCATTTTTTTTTATCTATTTATTATTCTATCATGTTTGATCTCTTAATTGTGTGCGCTGGTATTACGCATGTATCAATATTATTAATTAATTTGGGTTGTTTTCCCTCACCCCGCCAAAATTTACCGTTCAACGAATTTAAATTTAAAACTTTTAAAAAAAAAACATGAAGTAAGATGAATTACAATTTGAATGCAAATTTTCTATCTCCGAGTCGAGCATTGACTCCATCAAGAGGTTTTCGAAATCCGCAACGACGATCGCAGGAAATGAATGATGGAAGGGTACCAAGTCCGATCCACAACATGTTGATCAACAACAAGAACAACCAACAAACTTGCTCTTCATCAAATCGGAACAACATGGTCAATTCCTCCATTTCATTCAATAACAATCTCTCGACGACGACGACAAACACCGATGATCTTTCGAATACGGAGAGGTTATTTCGACAGGTAAAATCGACTTCTAAATTGTCAAAAAATAGTAGTAGCAGCAACATTCAAATATCACCACAAGCAAGCAGGTGCGATTATTCCGTTTTCGGACCCAATGAAATTGTAAATACAAGACTGGAGCAACATGAAAATAATTTTAATAATTTGTCACCGACCAGTCTTTTCAGTCCATCATCAGTAAATAATAAGGGAAGGCAACCTCAAAATGATCCCAACAACATCATGTCACCTGTGTTTGCAAATCAACAATTAGGTCAAGCCAATAATAATATGAATAATCTTTCTCTTGAGGATGCTTGGCATGAACGAATGAAAGAAATTCAAAGAGGCGTTCATGTTTTTCACACTCTCTTTGATGACCACACGAATCCAAGAGGTGATTCAAAAGCACATGACGAATCGAATGAGAATTCTCAAACAGAGATGGATTCACCTCCAGCACACTCCTCTCAATCCAGACAAGGTTCGAAAAGTGCTGCGAATACTGCTGATCCAAAATGTTTATTTTCACCTCAACCTTACACTCCATTCCCAAAGAATGTGGTCAATCTTCAAACACCAACTCCTTTCAGAAAACACTCGGGTGACATTGAAAAATACAAACCCCTCATTAATCGAGAACAAACTCCAGGTGGGGACTCTCCTTTCTTAGATCATTTTGGAAAGGATAATCAAGACGATGGGAGTGACCCTTACTCATACGACCAGCCATGTTCTCCTTCGTTCCCAATTTCCAATGACAACGTTGTGACGACTGTCACTCCACATGTTGTGAAAGACCAGAATCAGCAACCAGTTGTGAGAGCCATTACCACAGAACAAGATTTGACAGCACCTACCAAGTTTCTCGTAATGTCACCCCAAAATTTTGAAGAACGATTTATCAATTCGTTGGCAGAAAAACCAGATGACGAGAAAAACAACAAGACTCCCATCACCAACAAACATTCTCACAAAACAACAAACAAAACAAAGAGCATCTCAAAGGAAAGCCCATCGAATACTCAATCAGATATTCACCAAATGAAAGCTCATGCCTGCCAATTATTGCATGAAGGACTCTTACAGCAAGCGGTGGAGACAGCTCAGCAATGCAAGCAACAAATTTTGAAAAATTACGGAAATGATAACGAACATTTAATTTATATATTTATTTTACTTGGTGAATGCTACACGCATCTTGCCAAATTTAAAGAAGCAAAAACTTGCTTATTGGAAGCAAAACGAATCTTAGATCGAAAGTTCAATGCGAGATCTGAAAATCGAACGCTGGCTCTATTCTGCATTCAAATTTTTAACGATTTGGGATATTTAATGAAACTGCAAGGAAAATTCAAGTTAGCCATAGAAATGTATCGAAAACACTTAATGTTGAAACTCAAATACTTTCCAAGCCATTCGAATGAAGTTGCTTCTGCCTATAACCAGCTTGGAGTTGTTTACACAATGGTTGGCTCCTTCGATCTTGCGATGGAGAGTCTCCACAGAGCCAAAAAATTGAGAGAAGCTTTATTTGGCCCTTCTCATATTGAAACAGCAACTGTCTATAACAACATTGGAAATGTATATTTATATAAGGGAGAATATTTATTGGCATTAAATTGCTACAAACAAGGAAAGGAAATTATTGAACATTGTGGAATGATGGAACATCCTGATTTTGCAACCTCACTGGTCAATATGGCAACCAGTTTGAAAGGATTGAAACAATATGAAGAGAGTTTATTATTGTACGAGAAAGCTCTCAATATTCGAGAGAAGATTCTTGGAGAATTTCACCATTCGACCATCTCTTGTTATGTCATGATTGGAAATTTGCATTTAAGTGCTGGAAATTTGAAACAAGCAGAAGATTACATTTCACATGCAACCTCCATACGTGAACATGATTGTGGTGTGAATCATGTGGATACAGGATTTTGTTATCTCTCTATGGGTAATATCAGACAACAAGCTGGTGATTTTGAGGAGGCCCTTCACTATTATAACACTGTGAAGGACATTTTCGAGGAACATTTTGGAGAAAAACATCCAGACACTCTGTTAGTCTATGAAAATATGGCCTCTGTATTAATGAGTATGGGAAATGGAAATGCTGCTCTGGATTGGCTTTTTAAAGTTGTAAATGCCCAGCAAGAACTTGCTCAACATCCCTCCTTGGCCATCCTTTTTAACACGATTGGAAATATTTTAAGACAACAAGCAAGAAATGATGAAGCATTTGAGTATTATCAAAAAGCTCGTTCCATATTCGAGAAAGTTTATGGATTTGAGCATGAATGGAATGCTGTCATTTATACCAATATTGGGCACTTGTACTTTTCCTCATTTCAAAACAAAACAAATGATGTAGAGATGATTAAGGCTCTGTCGAAAATTCCAGGCAAAGGTTTGAATCGATCATCGACGATGAGTATTCGTAGAAGTAGTATTGGAATGCTGTCACCCGAGGAATCTCGCTCTTTCGTTCAAAACTTGAAAATCAATGAAACTCTCAAGTTCTACACTCAGGCAAAATCCATACGAGAGAGACTCTTTGGACCTCACCACATGGAAACGGTCAAGTCCTATCAGAATTTAGCCATTGTGTATGCTGCCATGAAGAATTTCACACTTGCATACCAATACATTGTTAATTGCAAAAAGATACAAGAAATACACTTTCCAAATCAGGAACCAGAAATGAAGGAAACTTCACGAATAATGGCAGAAATTGTGAGAGAGAGCGCTGGCAAAGTCAATCGAAAGAGCAGTGGAGTTTTTATTGCAAGCAGTCCAGCTCGATCTAGAAACACTAATAATCAAACACACACCACAGCCTCTTCATCCAGCATGCTGGGAAATCGTTCCTTACATTCGCTTCTCGAGAATAACAACACATATACCTGAATACTCATCGTTGTATGTGTTCTCAATAGCAAGTACTCTAAGAAACTCAAGTAATAGTACTCTGATAGAGCATTAATTAATTGGTATTCAATTTAGGAAGATCTGATTAACATCCCTTGCATCGGTGGGAGAGTCACGCTCATTGTGTTATACTCCTATCCATGAACAAGTGTCGCATTTGTCTGAAATAAGAGTCACATTTAAACAAATATATGCGAAGGACTTGCTGGAATTGTATTTGGAGTGGTGGATTTTTGACTCTGTACATAATTCTGAAAATCTCCATCATGTGGTTGCTGCTTAAAATCTTCATACTTTTTTGGCAATACCTCTTCGTTGCTAATTGTATTGTTCGACGAGTGAGGTAAAAAACTTGTCAAGCTCAATAAAATGTATTCAATATTGCTCGCTATCATTTGCTTGTCATTGTCTGCCTCATCCGATACAATAAAATCCAAATAACAACATCGATTATTAAAAAATTGTTGTAACAACGAGAATAAGTGTTGAGTGGCAGCATCAAAATCTTCCTCCATGATGGTCTTGCTTTTGTAATTGTCCGCAAGTAAAGGAGCAACACCAAGAATATGCAACCCGACAACAACGATAGGAATTGAATGGAGAGAGGCTGATGCATGAAAGGTTAACATCGTCATGAATAGTTTCTTTCAACGGAGAACTGTCTTGCAACATTCATAATAACCTACCATTATGTTGAACGACTTGAAGTAGCTCATTCAAACTATGATGCAATGTCAAGTATTCTTTTCTGTGAATTACATAAACTAAACCCTTAATTTGAGCGCCACCAATGGATCTTGTTTTTCGAATAATATCTTTATCAATTTCAATAAATTCCAACTTTTTCTTTTCTTGTTGTAAGTGTTGTTTGACATCAGAAAAATTAGGCATGGTGAGATATTCCATGATTTTGTTGATTAGGAAAGTTTTTCCACTTCCGATCAGTCCAGTCACGCATCTGTTATTGTTGTTTTCGAAAGGAAAATATGAAAAACAAGATAATTGAAAGTAATGATACATAAGATTGAACATGCTTCCATTTCTTTGAAACATAGAATCCCGATCATAAACGTACATTCTTTCAATATTAAAACCCGATCCATGATGATGATAATTCTGATGATTCCCGAGCAAAGAGCTCGTTTCTAAAGATGGCGGTGCCATAGATGAAATCATAAATTTCTTTGAAGAGGCATGCATGGACTTGGAATACAACTCCAAACTCGAATAACCCACATAGTGAGGCTCTTGTTTTTGACGCTTCGAGGCAGAAGAACCCATTTTTTCATTAGCTTATTTTTTCTTTCAATTTTTTCTTAGGTATTGAATTTGTAAATCAGCAAAGCGCGAAAAGTAGGTGAAAAAGGCAATGAGGTCATCATTTGTTGAGGGCGATACACAATTTTCACCAACAACAATGGATGCATATGAAAAAGAGAAACTGGGTGGTCATGTCATTTCAACCATCCAGCACACCCTCAAACACAAGCTTTGAAATCCACTGCAAAAATCCCAAACGGGCTCACTACCCAAATCTGGTCAGACCACACCTTCGAATCTCGGCAACCTCCAAAATTTTTTCCTTTTAGCCAAAAAAATATGAAAAGAAGCATCGTTGCAAAAGATCCTCAACCACAAGAATTTGTCGTTGTGTTAAAAGAAGAAGAGGATGCTCACGAGGATGCATTGAATCACCACCAAAAGCACCACCACTGTCATGACATGCTGGAGAGATCATTATCCAACAACATGATGTCATCCAAAGACTCTACCACTGAGAGTCCATCACGGACCACAATTTCAACAATGACAACAACAACAACAACACAAGAGGTTTCTTCCTTTACAGAAACTACAAGCGAGCAAAAAGACTTTATGCAAAGGAATGACAAATCACTACTACAGTTGACATCTCTCGATTCCAATCGAGAAGTAGACCAACAACAACAACAACCACATGACCAATCATCAGCAACTGCTTCCTCCTCCACATCATCAGAACATCATGATTCTTCAAAATCTACCACCCATTCGGAATGGCAACCACCTCATCATCATCAGGAGACTCAGAAACGTCAAACATCATCATCCACAGCTTCTTCTTCCACAATAACTTCCCACTCCACCACCTACATTCTCTACCTCTACGAAAAGATTCATCAACGTCTATTCGTTCCCTTCCTCTTCCTCTCTGTTTATTTGTATTTATGTCTCTTTGCCACCGACTCTCACTTTTACATGGCATTGATTTGTTTCTCTTTAATGGCTATTAATTTACCCATCTTTAAAGATGCACTTCAATCGACAGTCATTGACAAGTTGTTGCGTAGAGTGGCATTAAGAAATGGATGGAATATTCCCAAGCTCACTGAATTTCAAACACATTTTAAAGATGAAGCATCAGAAACATTTATGAATTCTCCAACATTGAATAGTAATAGTAGTAATAATAGTAGTCACAACAACACTCCTGAAATACTCATTCAAAGAATTTACACCTACAAATTGGTCATTCTCATCAACATTTTACTCCATTTCTTACGATTACATCTCGCCAATCGAGATCCAACCTTTGCTTGGATGTGTGTTGGATTTTTAGCGAGTACCATTCACAACTTGTCGAGTTTCATTTTACACAATTCCATCTCTGTGGGTGAGGATGGATTAAGCACTGCCTTGTGGAGCTTTTTACCATTGAATGTCTTGTCAGTGGGAACGAGTGCGATTTTGGCAATTCAATACGCCAAGTATTCTGAAGCATTTGGAGTGTTGGGAATGCTGACCATATTTAATTTGGTCTTTAATACAACATCGTTTAAATTGATGGAAAAGTTGAATGTGATGAATATCATGACGAGTCGACTGAGGGAGGCAAACAAGTCGAAGAATGCATTGCTGAGCTCAATTTCACATGAATTTCGATCGCCTTTGGTAAGTTTTCCTTTGTTTGGAATTGTATATGTATTATATATGTATTTAACCATTATCAAATTGGAAAATGATTGGACTTGATCATTGACAACTTGAACATGTAATTATTGAAATCATTCCACCAATTAATTACCAATTATGGAAATATTATTCATCATTGTTTTTTTGGTACAACCACCACACAACTTTTCCTTTTTCATGATTGAAAATATATTATTATTAATCAATTTTCCATTTTCTTTTCATTAATAATAATAACAGATGAGCATTTCTGGATGTATCGAACTCTTACTCGACACTCCTCTCACACAAGATCAATTGAACTATTTAAAAACAATAGGATGTTGTTCCTCCATGTTACTCACACTTATTGAAGACCTTTTACAATATTCAAAATTGGAGAAAGGAAGTTTAGAAGTATTTGCTTCACATTTATCCGCTACCACGTGTAATGGTAATAGTAGTAGTAGTGATAGTAGTAGTAGTAGTAGTGATCATATTGAATCGACTCTCCAATCACCACCTCTTCAGAAACAACAAGATCAGAAACACAATTTATCATCCTCTTCTGGTTCTTCACAATCATCTTTAGCACGTGCCAATATTCGTTCCTTCTCCTCTTCTCCTAACTTGCAAAATATTTCCTCTCCAGAATGGACAAACAACAATTCTTCTACAGCTTCAAATTCTATTTTTTCTCTTGAGGAATGTTTGGAACATGTGAAGGGAATAATTTCGACCTATGCTCAAAATTTTTCAGTTTCCATTCAAGTTGTCACGAGTCAATCATTACCTTCTTTGGTCTATGGAGAATCAGTACGATTACAACAAATTCTTATCAACTTGTTGACCAATGCAGTGAAGGCCTCTCCACCACATTCAACCGTCTTGCTAAAAGTTGAAAATTTGAATCATGACACGGATTCATACAATCCCAACATCAAACACACTCAATTCTTGAGTGAAAATGGAAGTGTTGTTGAAACCATTATTTTCAAAGTGATTGACAATGGAAAGGGAATTCCGAAAGAGATTCAACAAAATCTTTTCAAGCCTTACTTTTCAGGATTTTTACAAGATGGTATGACATGTCACAACAGTGATCACACAAATTCTGGAATGATTGCCGCAACTTCAACAGGACTTGGCTTGGCCATTGCTCGAAAAATTGTTGCCACTAACTTTCATGGAGATTTAACTTTCCAATCTAACTCTATTCCACCCAATACTGGAACAACATTTATCGTGACCATTCCTTTTCGAATTCCAGACAAGAAAAAGAAGAATTCTCTCAAATACATCGAAGACTTGCTCAAGAATCAAAACATTCCCACTCAACTACTCTCCACAGAGGAACATTTTTCCAACCACTCGATTCAAAAAAGTCACTTGTTACATAAGGAATTATTTAAAATCAAACCAAGCTCAACCCTCATGATGGGAACTCGTTCATCGACTAATTCAATGCCTTCCTCTCCTACCTTACCACCATTTACTTCACATCATAACAATACCACAGACAAAGACAACAACAACACCACTACTCGAGTTCATAACTCTTTTTTAGATCCATCGATTCACACTTCAACCAATGTTGGTGAAACACTACGAGTGGAGAAATCTCATCCTCCTCCTTCCAATCCCAGAAATGAGCTCATTGATGTCTCCCAATACAATATTTTACTCGCAGAGGACAATCCCATTAATTTATCTGTCCTTAAACGTCTTCTCGAAAAGGGTGGATTCAAAAACATTACCACCTCTTCGAATGGTTTGGAATTAATTAATGCCTTCCAACAAAAGTTTTATCATCTCATCATTACTGATTATCATATGCCTTTGATGGATGGACTATCAGCTGCTCATGTGATTCGAGGAATGAATCATGGAAATGATACTAAAATTATTATACTTACTGCAGATACCATGTTAGAGAAGCATGAATTTATGGATTCCATTGATTTTTCATTGAATAAGCCAATTTCAGCAGAGAATTTAAATAAGGCCGTCGTGTCAGCACTCCTCTCGACCACTGTCTCGTTTGACAATCAATCATGATGATGTAATGAGTACTTGACATCGATCGAGAACAAAATCATTAATTTCGTTATTTTGGTAAATGACAAACCTGAGATGAATCCTTTCCTCCAATCGACTTGTTGATTTTTGTGAAATCATCAAAAGGTTCCACGACGAAATTGGTGAAGTGTTGATGTGGAGGTGATTGTGCGAGTGACAGCAATACGAAGAAGAGTATTAAATTTAGTGTCACCCCAATTCGTTTTTATTTTCTGTGTTTTCATCATCTCCTTGTTCTCTTCTTGATTTTTTGTTCCTTCTATTGCTTTCTTTTCATTCCTCTTTCCTCTTCCAACGTAAGAACGACATTGGAAACTTTAATCAACTCGTGGAGAGAAAGACCCTTCAATTTCAAAGTAATGAATTGCAAAAGATTATCAGTTAACATCTCTTCAACACCTTTGACAGGTGGTTGACCTCCTACCGTAGGGTCACCTCTAGGGAATATTGGTTTTGGAATCAAAGGAGGATGAAAAGGATCTTTAGGTGGCTCAAAGATAGGAGGAAGTGGTTGTCTCCTCATAGCGTCAACGACTTCTTCAATTCTTCCCTCTTCTCTTCTTGTAAACTTGTACGTGTCTCTCAATGTGTCGTCATTTACCTTGTTGTTATCACCAAGCTTGTAACTATAGTTAGAGAAATAATCACCTCCATTGTACTTCTTGGAATCAAGTTTTTCTGCAAGCGCTTTGGCTGTGTAATAATTGTTATCTTGGGTGTGGAGGATCTGTTTCACCTTCTCGTCAATGACACCAACTTTTTCCTCTCTATAAAACACCTCAATCTGCTGTTGTTGTGGTTGATGGTGGTGCCAGTGGAACACTCACAAAATTGTTTTTCAATAATCGAATACTCTCCGAGAAAATCCAAAGTGTGTTGGATCCATCATGCATTTTTTTTGAAAATGGTGATATTCTTGGTTGACTATTGTTAACAATTAAGAGAAACTCAACCATGGCGAAAAGGAATAATTCATACCGAAATTAACATAATTTCCAACAAATATGTTACGAGTTGTTAAAATTTAAATTATTTTTCACCAAAAAATGTTTTTGCAACAATTCAGGAAAGTTTGGATGGAACTTCTATCAACAATTATGTCTTTAATATCTACCACAGAGTTGTTCCACCGATAACAACGTACTCATGATG